CGGCGAGAGGGGGCGCGAAGAAGGAGTGCCGGCGGAAGTTGGAGTGCCATTGCCGTAGTAGGAGGGGTGCGGGGGAGAGGAGGATGAGTGGGACGAGGATGAAGGATGTGGTTAGGGAGGAGCCGGCGAGGAGGGTGGAGGTTGTGAGGCCTAGGGCTTGGGTGAGGCGGATGGGGAGGGGGAGTGGGGAGCGGGTGAGGGTTGTCATGTTTTTGTATGTGTCGTTCGCTCTCGAAGTTATAGTTGTAAGAGACGATGAATTTCAGAATATAGAATCCAGATGAGAACTTGGTGTTCAAAAGGAATGGGAGGTTTGTGATGGAAGTAGGTAGGTGTTGTTATGCATACAACATGGCATACTGAACAACCTTAGGTCGCAAGGACGTGGCTGTTCTAAAACAACGTGGCTGTTCTAAAACAAGACAGCACAGAGCTTCTATTTTTTCCTTCCCCTCTCCACCCTTCAAGGATGTCGACACCCAAAGCTAGAAAAAGAAATAGCAGGGTGTCATGCTTTCACCCTGGGGTTTGGAATGAAAAATGCCCCTCTCACGACCGCCCACATTTCTCTCATAAAGGACGTTGACGTCGTCCGGAGTTTGTGACCGACAAATGATCTTTATGTTGCGGGGAAGTCATATATACAGTACCATCAATAACTTGGCCTGGTTTGAATCGGGCTTCGGGTACCTGACTTAGAGTACTGTACCGGCCCGGTCCGGTAAGGCGAGAAACAACAGACCGGCCGGCTCGAGACCAGACGAGAAGGTAAGAAACAGATTCTATTTAGATAGATATATAACATTTATAAAATGGACTCGGAAAGAAGAATCTAGTAACTCGAACTCGAGTTCTCTGAGCTTATCTGATTGCTCTTTCCTCTCCCTATGAGTTGAGCCGATCCAATAAGTGTCGACCCCCCTAACGTAAACACACAGATAGAGAACCACAAACGCTCATCAAGAAGTAATAAATTTTCATTTCAGACACCAGCCAGCGCCGACGCCTCTAAGATATGAAAAGCGCAAGAAAGGCTTACGCATTCTAACGTGACAATGTTCTCGGGGTATCAAATTACCTATGTAAGATTACCAAACGAGGTAGTACACAACATCCAATTAACCCCCTCCTCACTTACAACTTTGTCAACAAAAGAGCCGCTCCCTTATTACCAATCTCCTTTACTTTCACAGCCTTCAATTTCTTCCCCTTGGCACTTGCAGCAACCTGTTCCGCTTCGAAAGCATCTCTCTTTGACTTTTGCTCCACAGTCTCTTCTTTGGATGCCTTTTCCAGCTTTTTCTTGTTGGCTTTGAGAGTTTCGCGTAACTCGGCAATATCCGAGAAGCTAGAGGATTCGAGGAGAGCTAGTGGGACGAAGGAACTTGACCCAGTGGCCCATTCAACGATGTGATCTTTGATGTTGGGGTAGAGAATGTTGGCGAAGTCTAGGGCGGGGACAACAGGAACGATGGTCTTGGTTTTGGGGTCAAAACGTCCTCCTGCAACGAGCGACTTGAGCATTTTGCCGCCAGCTGGAGTGTTGGCTATGTGAGAAACGAATGGAGGAGTCTCTTCGGTTGGCTCTGCTCCTTCCGCTGGAGGTGCAATCCATGTTTGGTCTCCCTGAGCTGTCTCGGCAATTGCTTGAAGAGCTGCAGATTTGTCGCCATCGGCCCCAAATAAGACCTCAGCAATGAACTGAGTTCCAAAAGAAGTCGCTACCAAATCACCTGCGGCTGTTTCGATTGCCTTAAGGATGTAAGGAGAAAGAGCTTTTGCAAGTTCTGCTCTCCTGATTTCCGGATCCTTTTTACTGGTCGTTTGACGGACTATGTCGACTTCTTTCAAGATCTCAAGATCAACTGCAAGACTAGGAGGAAAGAGAGCCTTTGATCGTCCTTGGAAAAGATATAGTAAGGTCGTACGGGCATTCAAATCATTGGCGAAGCTAACAATATTCTCGATTTGCTTTTGAGAATCCTTGGATAAAAGCTCGGGAAATATTGATTTGGCGGTCAGAACAGTATCGTCGATAACTTCATAAGCGGTAAGAATGATGATGTGGCCATTATCGTCATTAGCCATCAGCTGCAGAGTGTCCTTGTATGTTTTGAGAACCTGCTTTCGGTCTTTTGCTGTCCCATAAGCGAGAGTCAGAGACACCACTCTAGACCCAGATCTCGTGAAGGCCAAATTCTTCAATAAATCGCCTTCCTCATCTCCCTTGATTAATTCGACAAAGTCTGTAACCTCTTCGGTTCCAGCCTTTGCATTAAGAAAATACTGTAACATGGCATCGTGAAGAAGTGTGAATCCTGTGAGCTTCTTCTGGATCAAGTGGTTGATCAACTCAAGTAATGAGCGCATGATGGGAGCACGTTTGCCAGGATCCGTAGTTAAAATTTCGGCAAGATCTGAAGGAACTTTCTGAGCTGGGTCATTTTGAAAAAGAGCGAATTCGGCTCCATACCACTCTCGTAGAATGATTGCCTTTTGCTGTTTTGTTGCAACACCTCGATAGATATCATCCAAAATCCAGGAAGCTTCCGGGTGCTTGATAAGTCTTCGTACGTGACCAAAAAACTCGGGGACAATGGTATCCCTAATCTCATCGTCTCCCTGAACCAACAATTTGCCAATCAAGAATTTAGCGTATTTGCTCTCTGCCAATTGACGATATGTTCCTGCGAGTTCTTTGGCAATCATTCTTTTCTGTTCTGGTGTGGCATATTTGATAGCAGTTTGAACGACTCGGACACTGTCATGCTTCAAGACAAATTCCTTGATCCGGCCTGTGATGATTTCAAACAATTCCGCGACCAGGACTTTCCTCTCTTCTGTGGGTACGTGTGATTTTCGTCGCAATCGCTCCCATAATTTCTTCGTCCGAGATAGGTCATCTGCCATTGGCTTCGCTGCTTTTCGCTCCTTCACAAGCTGTTTCTGCTTCGCATGCGCTTCCTTGGACGATTGGCCTAAACGCATTAGCAGCTGAGCAATCGACTAATTGAGCACTTTAGGATAAAAGAGCTTACTGTTGGCGACGACTGCCTTAGCTCTATCAGGGTGTAGTCCTTCCGCAGGCAGAATTTCTTCATCCTCCATCTCAACATCTTCGTCGGCCAAAGGAGCACCGCCAGAATCAGAGTCCTCGGAATCAGATTCGCTGACTGCTATCTTGGCTTTCTTGACAGGTTTAGTATTTTCAATCATAATTGGCTTCGTCTTCTCCTTCTTTGAAGAAGATTTCGTGTTCCCAGACTCCCGGTCCGTCTTTCCAGTCTTTGCCTTCTTGCTTCCCCTGTCTTTCACTGCGCTGTCTTTTGCGGGCCCGTCTTTCCTCTTGGACCCAGTTCCGACCTTTGCGCCTGCAATTGCAGGCTTCGTGATGGTGGCGGAAGGCATTTTGGTGTTGGGAGATGGGGTTGTTCGGGTTGTTGGAGATAACTTTTCCAGGAACTTTTTAATCCTTATCGACGAAATTTCGGCGCCAAGCCCGACCAGGATTAGAATCTCTACCCCACGATCAATGCGACAATCTTGCTTTGCAGTCCCAAGCTATAATACCCACCACAGGCAATTCTTTACACCATGGGAAGAGAGGAGCAATCTGAAGAACGGGAGGTTCTTGATAGTATCTTCCCAGATGAAATCCAAGGTAAGCTCAGGTTTCCTCGCTATGGATCTTGCGCCAATACACCAGCTGCCCCTCCAAGCCTACCCGCAACCTACTTACACAATTACAGACATATCGGAGAACGAATTCCGAATATCGATCCTCCTAGACATCACAAACGATGGCGGCGACGAATCCGAACCCCCAACTCTGATCTTACAAGTCAAATACCCCGAAAACTACCCAGAAGAAGCCCCCATACTGGACATACTCGCCCCGCCAAATGCAGCGTCCCATCCCATTTTCAGCGTCAACTCAGACCGGGAAGCGCTGCTGGATGGATTGACGGAAACGGTAGAGGATAATATGGGTATGGCTATGATATTTACACTCTATTCAACGCTGAAGGATAATGCCGAGCAAATGGTTGCTGAGCGCCAGGAACAGGCACGAAATGCACATGAGCAGAAGCTTGCGGCGATCGAGGCTGAGGAGAATAAGAAGTTTCATGGGACACCGGTTACGGTTGAGACTTTTGGGCCGTGGAGAGATCAATTCGTGAAGGAGATGGAGGAAGAGAGACTGAAAGAGGAAGAAGCCGAGGAAGCAGCCGAGAAGAAGAGGAATAGAGGAAAGGAGACCGTGGTTCAGTTGACAGGGAGACAATTATGGGAACGTGGTCTTGCTGGTAAAGTGGAAGAGGAGGATGATGAAGATGATTCTACTCCTGCGGCGGGGATGGAGAAGCTCAAGGTTTGAGCTTTTTTGGGCGCTGGGAATAATCCGAAAAGTGCAACAACCCATAAAAAGTCTAGCGACAGGGAATTGCATCTCTGGCGTTGTATACAAAAGGGGAAGGAAAGACTATATCATGTCGATATGAGAAGACAGATGAACAGAAGTACGATGGCGTATACATAGCGTTGATACCCGACTCTTCGGACTGGAATTCTATGCATAGAATTCATTTCAGGAGCACACAGCTATAGGAAATCTTAAAACCCTTTGGGAAGCAATGTTGCCAAAGCTAGGTATTATAATATTTTGAAAATAATCAGAAACACTAGGCACCGCCCATTTCCTGATCGCTTCCTTCATCCTCCCAATCGTCTCCATCTTCCTCTTCCTCGACATTAGTGGTATCGCCACCAAGTTCTGCGTTCAATGCAGCAAGAAGCTCTTTAGCGTGTTCTCCTAATCTTTGATCCTCGTAATCCTGCTGGTCGAAAAGGCGTAGACTGTGATTCAGCCATTGTCGACTGGAGATCCAGGAAATCTTCCAGCTTTCTCCATCTTCGTTTTCGGCCTTAACTTCGCCATTCTTCTGCTTCTCGCCCATGATATACAGACCCCATCCTCCTAGATACCAAACTTCAACACTGCTATCGTCTTCGCCTACCAGTCTTTCCAAGACCTCAATGGCCTCCCCATCCATATCCGCCTCCATCAACAACCTTGCCAAACTGACTCTCGTAGGAAAATCCGGCACCTGAGAATCTTCCGGCGGTAAATCCTTCCATAAATCCAAACTTCTCTTCAACGCCGCCTGCGCATCCTCAAGTCTCGACTGTGATATCCTAACATTCGCCAGAGTCTGCCACGGCTCCGCAAACTCAGGTGTAACCATCGTAGCCTCCGTAACCAGCGCCTCACACTTCTGCTCCGCATCCACCTCCCATGAAAGATCCGTCATATAAACCTCCACAACACCACACAGCGCAACAGCCAGCTTCCTCCTCTTCTCCTCCAACAGCGCCCCCCCCTCAGCATCCAATTTCCTTCTCTCCTGCAATGCCTGGATCTGTATCCTCAAAGCACCAGCCCCCTTCTCAAACCACCCCACACTATCATCCCCCCCCTNAGCGCCCCCCCCTCAGCATCCAATTTCCTTCTCTCCTGCAATGCCTGGATCTGTATCCTCAAAGCACCAGCCCCCTTCTCAAACCACCCCACACTATCATCCCCCCCCTCCTCACTCAACTGCGCCAACCAAAGAAATTTCTCCGCGCCGCCACCTAATTCCTCCCCCACCGTCCCATCACAATCTATAGCCACCGCGCGTAAAAAGTATTCTCGCGCTGCATCAATCTCCCCCAATTCCACATGTATCTCACCCAACAAATTGAGCGCCGGTAGCGACGCTATCGAGTCGCCATCATAAGTATCCAGTGCCTGTTTCGCGATCTCCGCCGATCCGAGGATATCGCCCTGTTGGAGGGTAGCGGTTGCTTGCGCGAGGAGGACTTCAGGTGAGAGGGTGGGTTGAGGGGCTTTGGAGGGGGTCCCAGAGACGCGGTTTAAGGTGGATTTGGAGCGCTTTTTGGATTTCTTGTCGTTGGGTTTGGATTTTGCCATTTTGTAATGGGCTTGAGATGAGGGTGTGGATTGGATGGGGTGTGAGAGGAGTGATGGGAAACTTTTTTGGGGGGGTTGATGATAAAAAAATTCCATATCTGCGATTAGAGTGGAGTGGCCCGAGCCGCCGATAAGACCCCGCGATGACGGCGAGGGACCGGGGTAGGTAGAGTAGTTCTACGGACGTACCTACTAGAGTACAAGTACTGGAGTACAATGTTTCTCAATCCAGGACTTCGGAAATATATAAACGAGATTTAGACAACTTCATTAGTTATTGTCTGGGACCCGCCAGTGTACACGTTCTCTTCGTCAAAACCTCGTCCACTACGTCGAGTTGAAACGGTCAAAGAGGTAGCAGTTGCTTGCTCGTCCTGTCTCTGGAGAGCTAGTACCTAGTTTCAAATACTCGGTTAGGGAACATAGAAAGTGATAGTGAAGAGTAAAGATGGTCGAAATAACTCCTGAGATCACGCCTATAAAAGTGAGTATTTTAATGATTTTGTTGAATCTTTTTGGATTCTTCAGGTATACTAGCTCACACTTAAAACAATAAGACTCGTTACTGTCGCCTGGCTTGTACATCACAAGAGTACGACATCAGGCAATCCACATTCAAGCATATTTACATTATTATTACTATATACCATATAGCACAATGCTATTTCCCAAACACACGTGGTAAGCAGGGTCAGCGATTGGACAGTACCAAAAGTACAAATACAGTGCAAGTGCGTCTTTCCTAACATCCAAAAGTCCAACGCACACAAATCAACATCCCACTCAACCCTCCTCTGTAATTTTGATATCCTTTGAAATGGAATCCGCCGTCGAGGGTCTCGGCATATTTCCAAGTTCCTCTCCTGTCCCACTTTGTCCTCTCTTCCTGCCGGTGATATGAAACCTCGAAGTCGTCGTCGGGGACTGCGGATCCGAGTCCCCGAATTTAGCAAAGAAGCCCTTTTTCTTCGGTTGTTTCTGCTCATCATTAAGTCCTACATCTTCAAATTCCTCGGCGGTCGGTGGTTGCCGCTCGAATCGGCGCTGTGGTAATCGCGGTATTCGGGCTGAGTCGAGACTTTGTCGTCCGAAGTGACTTGGTTGGACGACGGGCGATTTTGCCGAGATGTCCTAGATAGATTAGATGAAGGGTCTTTGGATGAGGGGGTTTGAAATACGAACAAATGATCTTCTGTAGGAGTCGAATGATTCCCGGGATATGGGGAAGTGCTCGATTTCAGATTGGCTGTTATTTCTTGAGTTTGCCGATGAACGTCGTGGCCAGAAGCTCTTTTTGTCAGGAGGAGACGGCTATCAATACTGTCAGTTCGTTTGTTATTTGACGTTTAACAAGTGGTTGTCGGGGACGTTGGCGGTTTCAAAGAGTTTGCCCCGCGTAGCCCGGAAAAGAAACCAAACTCTCGGTTCCTCAACCAATGTTTACGAAGAGACCTAGGGTTCTTGTCCTTCAATAGATTCTGAAGTCTTCATGAATTGCCAAGCAAAAGAATCAAGACTTACGGGCAGGTAAACCCCACTATCATTTACAACTATTTTCACACATCAGCCCACCAAATTATTTCGTTTTTTCCCTTCCATTTGAATGCCCTACCACTCATTTTATACTCCACCGGTTCCTGACTCCGCTTGCTAGCTATGCTCTGTGTAGAGGCTGATGTGTACGAGCCCATAGTGTCCACCTTTTCAAATGCCGGTCGTGTGCCCGTCGGCGACAATGGACCCTCCCCATCCTCTGGCGCTAGGGAACCCGTCTGCACCTCGGTGCGTCTGGCGAAAGGATTTCGAAGAATCGGCATTGCAAATTCGTGACAGACTAGTATTGTCGATTTGGTTGAAAGTCGAGAGGGATTGGTAGGAGAAAGTTGAATGGTTGCGGTGTATCCCGAGGTCAAGAGGAGACAGGTGCTAGTAGAGTCAGGGTCCCAGCCCACCCAATCAAGCTCAGCCTCGGACCAACCGGAGGAGGCCGGTGGGGAGGAACAAATGGACTGCAGATCACCTTTATGAACCGATTGGGAGAAACGTCGAGATGTACAAGGAAGGTGGTTTATTGTTGGAATTTTTCCATACTTGAAGTTAGAAGAAAGTAGGAATTAGTGACTTACAAGCAACGACAAATAGCCAAAGCTCCCCATTGACTTTCTGATGCTGGGATACCGACAGTCATACTGTAGAGCTTGGGCACACTACCTAGGTATCTCACGAGCAAGTGGGGGCAGTTCACCAACAAATAAATTTCCCGTACTCGAGTACGAGTAAGATTTTAGTTTCGTTTCAAGATATATCGTGAATGGAAACAATGATGGCATGTAAGATCGAGCAGGGCTCAATCGGCTCATCTTTTGGCGGGGTCACACAACAATACGAAATACGCGCTTTCGTAAGAGGAAGGACGAAATTCGGAATAATAATGCTGGATACACACCTTCTTCAATTTACGTACATCCACCTCGTTCTTTTATGCCGCTGAGGAACAGGGAGAATACTTGTACTTGGACGCTCGAGAATTCCATCGAAGCGATTTGGTGGTTATAATAAGGTTAGAGACTTAAGGCTAATTTGGGTGAGAAAGGTCCCAGCGCAGTTGACGGGATCGCAACCACCAGCGGTCCGGTCTCAGGGAGAGTTGTCAGAAGTTGGAAGAGGGAGTCAGCAGAACTTGAATCCTTCTTCTTGTCGTCTTGACCTGCCCGAAGATCTCCTTTTTCCTGGTGATCCATGATGGTGAGGGATCTCGAAATCATGCCTGGGTTCCAGGTTCTTGGTTGTAGAATTATTCGCTTGAATTCTTTTTGGTGGGTTTGGCCGCCTGGCAGAAACTGGTAGACCCGCGAGATCTTCGCGGTTCATATGAAAATACCCGAAATTGAAGGTCCTATGGTACTTTATGTTGAGCAACTGTCCGTAACATCCGTACTACTTTGAAAGCAATGGCACCTCCTCTCATTTTGGGAGAGAATGCGAGATGCACGAGAAATGAAAGCAGACTCGAGCTTTCTTTTTCACGTCGTAGCGCCGCGGTGTTGGATTGGCGTTTTGGCTTGGTCTGCGCGCCAGCACCATACTCCGTAAACCTGACAGAGTTATTTTCTATTTTTGGATAGTAACCTTACGCTACGCTGGCGCTGGGGGCGTTTGCGGGCCGTCGACGCCCTTGGGGATAAGCATCAAACTTTCTTTTGACGTACGAAACCTGGATTTTTGACCCTCCCCCTCCATGCGGACCGGTCCTGTCAATATAACCAGGTTTTCCAGCGGACTTGGACACAACAACTGCTCAGAGTCCATAACCATGTGGCTTGTGATACCTTCTCCCTCCGTCGGTCCAACACCATTCTCGTGGTGCATCAAAGGCATCTCGTGCTGGGCGGGTCCTCAGCAGAAACAAGAGGACAAACTCTCATGGCGTGACTGAATACGAAGACGTGCCTTTCCGACAACTGGGACGTGGAGAACTGAGGACCGAGGACCCGTGGATTGACAGCCGGGGCGCGGCAAGGTTGAAGGCACAAGATCCAAGGATGCAGGTGGGTGTGTGTTGCGATGATTCGATGGTCAATCAGACCCATTTCAGACTTCGATAGAAGCAATTCATTGGTGAAGAAACCCAGCTGTTGGTACACCCCCGTCCGTTCTGTAAGCTGCAATCCATATAAAGAACAGGATTCGTCCAAGCTGCGGTCGGGTGGAGAGTTGTCAATTCGTTAAGCGTCATCGCTGCTTCAACTGGTCGACGCTTACGCTTTCGCTTTTGATTTCTCCCCTTCCCTTCGTACACAGGCTGTATCTGTATCACCTCCATTCACAATCGCTTGTCTGGGATCGTGTCCAAATCCATTCCCTCTCATCCATCTTTTTTGACATATCTGAACTGCGCCTCTTTCTAATACCTGTTCAGCCTTGTTGCGATTCATCCTGTGTACTCGAGTAGCTGTAGCGTTGGGGTATTCTGGGTAACTCGCTTCGAGCTCGACGTTTGGAGTAGACAATCACTGTGCCATCCCCATCCTCTGCCGCCTGCCGACCACCAAGACCAACGTCTAGTTCTGTTCCAACCCATCGCACTACTCCTCACCGACCTCGCTCTTCTCTTTATTCCCCAACAAGGTGTCTCACATTCACTTGACGGTGCTATATTTAGTATTGAAAAATTCAATGAAAATTTTGAATATTCTCCCCATCCATCACGAGCATCAGTCAAACGACCTCGGAACATCCTGCCGCCGCAAACACTCACGCTGCATTACTGTCGCCGTCGCCAGTTGCGCCTTCCACTCACGTCCCCGCCCATTTGGGAAGTCGCGAAGCTTTGTACCTAGCTAGCTGAGCCAACGTGACCACGCCCAGTCAGAGGTTTTTCAATCCCTCCAGAAAACCCCTCCAGGTCGAGCTCAAAATCAAGCCACACCTGCTTCTGGACAGTCGTCCGTAAAATCCTTTTTCTCTACCAACCGCCATTTTCGATCAAGCAAGAATACAATATGGGTGCATTTTTTCTGTCCTGGCAGTTATGGGAGAAGCTGACCTTTGTACGTACTGACCGCGAAGTTCCTACTTGTTTGACTCACTAACAGGCTTTAGGTCTTGGGGTCTGCCATCGTTGTCGTATTCGTCATCGGATATTCGAAGCTGTTCTGGAGAAACAGGATGGTTGCCAAGCAGGAGGTGGTTGACGAAGAGAAGAGAACCCGAATCCAGCAGTTGAGAAGCAGTGGTCAACTCGTGGAAAACAAACACGATGTTCCTTTTGGTGTTCGTGCCATCCAAAGCGGCATTCAAGTCGACGGTATATGGATATCCAACACAAGTACACCAATGCCAAGCCAAATCAACCTCACCCAAGCGCAAAGCCCAACTGTGTCCAACGCCAGTACCAGTCCTCGCAACTCTCAATATACATCTCAAAAGGTGACACAGGCACCTTCCTCAAGAAAGAGTCGATCGCCATTGCGAAGTGCTTCCCCCATCGATGTTAATGTGGAAGATCCTGCATATGAGCAAAGCCCCGGAACCCGCCAATCATACAAGCCGCGAAAGTCTTCTCACCTTCGATATGGTAGCTATGGAGAAACTCAATACAACGACAATGCACTTGCACAATTAGAGGGAAAGCCCGGTTCACCAGGAAAGAAGGTTCACGTTCATAGATCTAGAGGTTCTCGACAACTGGATCTGGAGGGCGATGCTTCGGCCGCAGACAACGAACACTCCTCTGGAGCCTCATCTGATTCAGATGCAACTCTTTCCAGCAATCTGCGTGTCCCTAATGACCGACAGAACCGTTATTCCCCCAATCGCAACCGAGGCCCGGGAGAAAGTGTTCCGCTTGTGAACATGCCATCTGGAAGACCTATGCTTGACTCCTTGCGATTCCAAAGTTCCGGAGCAGAATACTCTCAGGTCCCGCTCAATGATACGCCATATAGCGATATACAGGATCCATTCCTGACTCCAGCATCTATCGCGAACGATGCCAATCCTCTCGAGTACAGAATGTCGGGGGGCATGACAAATGAATATCAACCTTTACAATCCTATACACCCGCACCATTTGTTCCTGGCCAGCTTCATGAAAACAAAAACGCGCGCAAGGTTAATTCAGGATTCGAAGTTTTACCAGCAGGAACCTTCACTCACAATGGTCGATACGATCCTCATGAGGAAGAGTCCAGCGAACGACGACCAGGCAAGCTTCAGAAGAAGAACCCACGCACATCTATGACAGGGACCCGAACCTCTGGAAGCATGGAAAGACCTTAAGGGACATTCTAATTTGTATTTATTGGCGGCGCGTTATACGGATACTTCAGGATGGAAGAATTTTGCTGTTTGTTGGGACTGAAATGGAATGCATGGAAAATAAATCGGCGTTTTTTTGAGGGGATATCATTGCGGGCGCAAGCTTACATAGCTACGAAAGGGACATGTTATCACGATTGCGGTGAGGCTATGGCCATTGGAAGATAATGAGCATTTTCAACGTCTCTTTTTGGAAAATGAGATAAATATGCTGATTAGGAAACTCATTCTGATGACAGCTGGGGTATGAGATTGGGAGTTTTTTTATAGAGGATGAAAAGTTGTAATAAAGATAATGTGAATGTTAGTCATTAATGTCGTCTTGTGTCACTCGATTTTGACTCTACCACTGACCAGTAAGAGACTGGGTCATCGATCATCCATACAAGTACCGAGGAGATATTATGCTGGAGTTCCTGGGAGAACTGACCTGATGGTCCACAGTACCTAGATTGACCACGAGGGGCAAAAAATGATTGTCCTTAGCTATGTGTAACTGTCGGAATCTAGGAGTCTTCTTCCTGGTGAGATTTGCGCAGAGTCATGGCAAGGCCTCTTGCTATAGCGACCATTCTTGTCAAAATCCGGAGATGATGTTGCGTAGGGCTCTTGATCTTTCTCTGAATTGCGTTATCTAGTTCTAGCTGAAAGTTTTCATTCTTTTCGATTCTATTAGTTGCTGAGAGGTCGGGATAATGCAGAGATAATAATCTTTATTAGAAGTCTATTGCAAGGTGTCTTTCTGCATGTGGTATCTATTATCTGTAAATTTATAAGGGTTTGCTACCTACACATGTGAGAGGTTTTTTTGGAGGGATAATTTAAGGTTGATAAATAACCTTCTAGCTTGAACCAGGGGCAGGCAAGAGTGAGAGTTGAAAAATGTCACGTGCTAGGGCGTCATGCATCTTCTGCCGAAACGCGATACAACGCGCTTGTGGGTTGCCACTTCTAAATCAACACAATATCCACTCCTCAAAACCTTCAAACATCTCGACCCAGTCCGCACATCATTTGCCCAGTATATTGACGAATAAAGATATTGAAAATGGCAGAAGAAGTTGAAGCCTCTCAGTCTGGGGTTGATGAGGTCGGTGTCGGCGGACCAGGAGCACCAACGCCACTCTCAGCTCTTATTGTATGATTCCAACCCACGACTCGAATGCTTCTGCCAGCTAACATATCCATAGGGTGTCGCAGGTCTTACCAAGCGTGATATACAGCTGATTGTCGATGGTGGTTTCAATACTGTCGAGTCCGTGGCATACACTTCTCATAGAGTTCTGGAACAAATCAAAGGAATCTCTGAACAGAAGGCAACCAAGATCCTGACCGAGGGTGTGTAAAAGATGAAATAACTGCAATTAACTGTCTAACTGAACAACAGCCTCGAAACTTGTACCTTTGGGATTTACTACAGCCACCGAAATGCACCAGCGCAGGAGCGAATTGATTTCCATTACGACGGGATCAAAGCAGCTGGATACATTATTGGCTGGAGGTATTGAGACTGGTTCGGTGACTGAGATATTTGGAGAGTTTCGAACAGGAAAGAGTCAGATTTGCCATACCTTGGCTGTTACCTGCCAACTGCCATTCGATATGGGAGGAGGAGAGGGGAAATGCCTTTACATCGACACAGAGGGCACATTTCGACCGGTCCGTCTGCTTGCGGTGGCAAATCGATACGGTCTTTCCGGAGAAGAAGTCCTCGATAATGTCGCATATGCTCGTGCCTACAACTCCGATCACCAACTTCAATTACTAAATCAAGCAGCTTCCATGATGTGTGAAACTCGATTCTCTCTTCTAATTGTCGACAGTGCTACCTCACTTTACCGTACGGACTTTGTTGGACGAGGAGAGCTTTCATCAAGACAGACTCACTTGGCAAAATTCCTTAGAACTCTTCAGCGTCTTGCTGATGAATTTGGAATTGCGGTCGTCATAACCAATCAAGTTGTTGCTCAAGTCGATGGAGGCCCAAGTGCCATGTTCAATCCAGATCCGAAGAAACCTATTGGTGGAAATATCATCGCACACGCCAGTACTACCAGATTAAGTCTCAAGAAAGGTCGTGGGGAGACTCGAATCTGCAAGATATACGACAGTCCCTGTCTCCCAGAGAGCGATTGTCTATTTGCAATCAATGAGGATGGTATTGGTGACCCAAGCCCCAAGGACTTGGAGAAGGATTAGATCTTGGAGGGACTTTACGATGCATACCTAGGGGGATATTGAGAGATAATTACGAGTTGCGCGAACTTTTTCTTCTATTTATTTGTCTGCATGGATTATGGTCATGGCGTGGGGGGTTTGGTGCGGTGCTTTGGAGTGGCTTTTTCGTCGAGATGCGCGTACATTTCAGACATTCTTATTATGTACACTTTTGCTAATAGGAAGAGTTCACTTAAACAAATGAAGCTATTTCAGTTGCGGCATATATGAAGCATGGATAGCAAGACTCATGGATGGTTGCAATTCTCTTTCTCTTGATTTGGCTAGACAAGAATCCAAATGAATATAATATATAAGAAGGATTCTTACACTGCATGATTGCTTATAGATGTATCATGAGTGAAGTGATAATGGTGATGCTATGGGTCTTCACTTTCCGAGTACTGTACCCAAGCTCTGCAAAGCTGTGGTGGAAGATCTTCGGCTTTCTCCAGGGCTTCAAGAAGTTGCGGCGTGAACAAACGCGCATCCATTTGTTGACTTGCAATTGCGACACAACGAAGAAGTTCCTCCACACCACCAAACGATAATTGATGGAGACAGGATGGATCAAGGGCCCTTTCAATCGATCTACAAGGAGACACGGTTAGATCTGGAGTCTACCGCGCAAGGCTCAACCGTTGCGATCCGACTTCCCCCCCACGGCCTATCATTATGGCCAACGAGAACAGCGAAACGACCGCATATCGTCGAAATACCTGTCGCCGAAGATGAGGATCTCTTCAAGCAACGCCACCTTGCAACGGAAGCTTCAGTCTACCATCGAGCCAACAAGGCATTTCCTAGAAGCTTTCTGTGGAGGGTTCTCGAGAACGGAAAGGTCCTATCCATACGAGCGGTCGACTTCTCAAAGCCTGCGACGAAGGAAGAATCACACTTAACACTACGACTACATCTACCAAGTCCGGCGTTGCCATCGTGTATTGCGCTGTCGGATTCAGAGGAACACGACTCTCTAAGCGTTTTTGTCCTCACGGAATCGAACCACCTCTATACCCTCACCTTACGACCCGATTTCTTTCGCAAACCAGCTAGCACAGAAGGGAACGTAGCAGACTGGTCTAAATCATACTTGTGTGCTGCTTTTAGCTTTAAGCATCCACATCGGCTTGTGGCACTGACAGCAGATGAGTTGTTGATTTCTCTCATTGACGGAGGACTGCTGAAGCTGAATCGTAAGTCGGGGGGAGACGGTATGTTTGGATTATTAAGATACGATGGAAGTCTGCTAATGCATTTCAAGGCTCGGAATGGAAAGAGGTTTTCTACAACGAGGGCGGATGGAGCAATAGCTTTAGAAGCTTGATACCTTTCCAAGGAAGCAACACTGTCCATTATGGCAAGCACAATATGGAGCTATCAGCAGTTACATCGATAGCTTCTCCAGTCATCAACATACGTGGAATGCCATACGCCTTCACGGTATCACTCAACCATCAACTTCGGGTATGGAACTTGATTACGGGAAAGATCGCCTACATGAGAGACCTTCTGAATGAGAAATTGGATCCGAAAGAGGCTGTCAAAAAGGTGATCGACCCGTCACTCTCGCAATTGGTCAAGGTTGTTTATGGCACCGATCGAAGAGCCCTTTGTGTCGCCTACTCACCTTTGGAAGATGGCGAATTCAAGTTTTTGAGGTTTCAACCAGTGTCGGAAGATGGCGAACTCAAGGTTGATGACATCTTCCCCAAGAATAAATTGGTACCTCAACGGCCAACTAGCGCAGTGTGGACATTGGCAGATTTTTCTGTAGTGTTTGGGGACAGCGCGAACGACTTTTCCTTGTGGACTTTATGGAAAAATAACTTGACCTACCGTGTTCAACAGTTGACTTTTTCCAGCGCTGGTAACTTGGAAGGTTCAGGAAATAGGACTAAAGACGTCAATTATTCATGGGATAAAGATTGGAAGGTGATGACCACCGAGACACTTGATGAGACTCCAAAGCCGACACTATTCTCAGGAGATGCTTCAGACATTACTGACAAGTGGCTGGAGTATTTTTTTAGCCCTGGCAGATATTCAAGTGCTACTATCGAAACCGGGCTTGCCATCTTCGACAACAACTCTGGGTCTACTTCACGAAGATCTGGAAGCTTACCTGAGAGAATGTGCTCTGTGCTCGCCTCGAATTACAATATTAGCCGTGCAGCTGATGGCAGCATGGACTATGAATCGATATGGAAAGCAACTGGAGAGCAATGGAACAAGTTTTATCGGCTCATATGTGAGTTGGATAAGCAACGCGGTGAAGCCCAATCTCTGGTCATTGATCCTAATGGAAATCTTCCGTGGATAATGCTGGCCGATGGAATTACTGCTGTTCGAGAATGCAGCGATATTGAGAGGATTTGGCACAATCGAGAACTTGAGAGGATTCCAAAGGACCTGTCTACAGTGGCTACTCCAATTTTGGTTGCTGCTGAATTCCGTAAATCATTATCACCGTCGCTCCTGCATAGTTGCAAATCTATGCTACTCAGTGAGATGTTTGAGGAACCATCGCTTACAGGACCTGCACGAGTCCGAGCGTTCTACGAGAAATGCGACTTTCCCAACCAGATTGCCGATGAGGATTACAATCAGGTTGTGGACGATCTGAAGCTTTATGGCAAAAGAGAGTTCAAGGATATCACGCCACAAGTTTATGAAGCCATGTATGCCCTCATGCTTGGTCCAGTGCTTGCGAATAGAAATTCAGGACAGGCAGTCAGCGAATTTGGGCGGAAATTAATCATCAGGGGGATCCAAGAGATTATTGAGTTACATCGCAACATCATCATCGACCAAATTATACTCTTAGTCTTGATCGAGGTAGAAGTCAACCATAGTGAAAATGGCATTGGATTTGAGACTGCCGCTGTCTTTCTCAGATTCTTGAATATGCTTAAGAAACTTGAACTTCTCGACTGGCTGATCACGACTCGAATTTCTCTACCCCTCGGTTTCGATGACGCAGTGGCATCACCAGGGGAGAAAGCTAAGAAGCAAGACGGTCTTCGGATGGAGACAGTACCAGTTGTAGATGCAATAATGCGTCACCTTTTCGATTTGGAACCCAGCGGGGGATACGACATGACAGTCGGCCTGACAGCGTTCATTCAACAAATTTGCAGTCCTCTCAGCTCGTATGAAACGTCACCCTCCCTCATCCAATGCTATTTACTGCATCAAAACCGGCCTGACCTAGCTATGGATGTCAACCGATTCTGCGACCAAGATCCCTTTTCCACATATATTCAAGGAAGGGCGTATCTGGCCTCCGGTGATCCTCAAGCAGCTGCTTTACTTTTCAAGAAAGCTGCCTACGGACTATGTAAGTTTTATGACGATCGCGATGAGGGCCATACTAATCCTGCAACAGCACATTCGAAAACATATTTCCCCAGCGCAGGTTATTTGGACGAAATCGAGCGAAAAGATCTGAGTTCAGGACTCCCCAAATATTACTCTCACATCGCTGCTAAATATGAGAAGGAGAAAATGTACTCTTACGTTATTGATTTCTCGAGATTATCGTTACAATTCCTCAGACATGGGAGCGGAGATTACGAAGATAAGAGATTACGAACTGAGATGCAGAGTCGTCTTTTTACGGCCGCCCTCAAGACATCACGTTACGAGTTGGCTCATTCGGCCCTCGCTTTACTTACAAACCATCCTCTACAACTAGCGTCTCTTCGTGAGCTCATCACCAAGATGTGTGAAAACAACTGCGCAACCGAACTCACTGAGCTACCTTTAGTCGGTCTGCATGATGAAGTAGACGATTTCCTCGCTAGCAAATGTCGCAAAATCGTAGATGTCACAGTGGGAGTACCATACCATAAAATCCTCTACTCGTGGCGGATTCGACGAAACGACTTCCGAGGCGCTGCAGCCATCTCCCTCGAGCGTCTCCAGAGGCTCCAAGAATGCGGCGAAGGCGACAAAACACTTGCACAGGACGACCTCGAAACCCCCGTCACGACACAGTACAAGCTCCTGATCAACGCTCTGAGTTGCGTCGACCCGAAACAAGCATGGATCTTGTACGACCAGCCTCAAGATAGACTGAGTGCATCGAAGAATGGCAACACGGTGGAGGTGAAGAGGAGAGTCATCATGCTGGATGAGATTCGGAGGGAGTACCAGGCGGAGTTGGATCGCATTGCGGCGATTGGTAATAATCAGTTTGCGTTCCAGGGAGGCGATGAAATGGATATCCTATAATTTGAACGCGGGAGAAAGGGGATTTCATTCAAAGGGATAGACAGTTTGAGGAATTTATGTATGCGAGTAGGGGTTGGGAGGGAGGTGTATGGTGCACAATATTCTCTGGAGTTCTTGTAATAGTAAAATATGAGATGTGATGATTAAGCGAAGAAAAGGAAGGGGAGGGCTTGTTAGTTTGTTTTTTTCTCTTGATATCCATGGAAAAGAAAAATCTATTTTCTTCCCTTTGTCCTCTTCTTTTATATTTTACTTGGCATTGAATTGATTCGCTTTCTTTAAAGGGCATTTTCACCGGATATGGTGGGTCGTGAGTGAGTCTATGGTACAATACGATAAATGATATGATGGCATCCTGCTTGCTCTTTGCGTGGTGGGGCTCATTACTTTCTCCTTTCCTCTTTCCTCTTTCCTTTCCTCTTCCCCCTTTTCACCTCGTCTAGGCCGGTGATATTTGCGTTCGCTCTGGGGGAACGGTTCCCGTGATCTGAGTCTGTTGACCCGCCGCTGCGGCGATTTCGGGTGCTTGACGGTATAAGACGATTTCTGATTGTTTGAAGTATCTTCGTGCGTCTGATTACAATGTTAATTTTTGAAGGAGGTAGGAAGAGAGTGTGATTTTTACCTTCATCGATAAGCACTAAGCTCAGATAATATCTTGTGGAATACTTCTTGTTGACTTCACGGAACGTAGGGGTTAGATCGAATCCTCCTAGGAACAATCTAATTGGGATGGTCTCCCCTCTAGAAGGCGAGCCGTCCATAATCTAAACGGGAGTTAATACCAATCTGGGAAAGCTGAATATGTCATGGGAGATACTAACCTCAAATCGTACAAGGGTCTCACTCTCATTATACTGATTAGGAGCCGCACCCGTAGTCTCCCGTCTCAGAATCGACAACTCCATATGCTTGATCTTCAATCTCACCAGGAGGAAATATATCCGTCCGACAATGACGTCCTTCAGATGGTATTTCGACTTGGAGTACTCGAACTCGATATGTAGACAATCCTCGATCCCGACATCCATCTTGATGGAGCTGTTCATCTCGGGTGGTATCCGGTACGAGTAGACCCAGATGTCCTTCTCTCTGACCACGTCCGCCATCCGTCGGGACACGGTGGCCCGCACAAAGTACCGGAGTCGTACGTTGATGCCGCTGTAGGACTCGTATTGCTTCTCGATGTTCTTGAAGTTGAATTCGAAGGTTTGCGGGTGTTGGAGGTCGCCTGGCGCTGCTAGTTCCTGGCCTAGAGACAGGAATTCATAGTGGTTCCCTCGATCAAAGAACATCTCTGCATATCTTGATTAGTTTGAGCTCTTCTAATCGTGATATGTGAGGTGGTTTGCGCCGCAATGCTTTGTACCAATTGTGCCAATGAATTGGACTTTGATTCCGGTGTGTTCTAATCGCTTCCCATCTTTCGGTCGTACGGTCACGGCTCCCTTCACGGACTCGCCATCTTTGTAAAGTGGTGCTTTCTCCCGACGTCCCTTCTCGGTCTTCATATCTACCATCTGTCGGTCATCTCCATCATCCAGTACAATGTCGATATCGACGGGCGTAGAGAAGAAGTACGACATCTCTCCTGTATCTCAATTTCGCAAGTTCCGTGATCCCGTTCGTTCTCCGTTCCGACCTCAAGGTGCTGCTGGGGATGATGATATCGAGCTCACGGGTAGGAGGTGGGTGGGCGTTGGTAGCTACACCTCGAAGCTCGGTTGCGACAACAAGGCTGGAGCCTTTCTCAGATCCCCAAGCTCGGACCCCTGTCACCACTTCCAAAAATCTACACCCCCCCATCCCAAACAGCACAACTCCTCCCCAAGTCCAAGTAAGAAGCTACCATCTTACCCCTCTCAAACTATCGCGCGCCAACCCCCTACTCGCCGCGCAAAGTAAGCCCTAAAGGCCCGGCGCCATGTCTCTCCAAGGCTATGTAAACAGTGAGTTTTCCCTTCCCCCTCCTCCGTCCATCCCCTCATATACGACCCCTCTATGGGGTCTCGCTCTCGTTGGCAAAGCTTACAACCCCCTTTCTGACAGTTTCTGGGTAAATAGAGAAAGTACTAGTTCTGACCAGCGACTCGAGGACGCTGGTGGGGAACTTATTATCGTGTGATCAGATGACGAATTTGGTATGTTTTCCCCCCTTGTCCTCTGACCTTCTATTCTTATGTGGAAATATAACTTGTTCTATGGATGCTAATTTCTTGCGAAATAGGTCCTCTCAGAAACAACAGAGCGTATAATCCGACCGCCAGAAGACCCCGAGCCCTCGAGCGAAATCCCACATGGCCTCTACCTAATCCGCGGCGACAACGTAGTAGTAGTCGGCTTAGTAGACCCCGAGCTGGACGAGAGTATCAATTGGAGCGAGGTACGAGGGGCTGTTATAGGAGGGGTAAAGCATTCATGATCTTAGTCCCATCTTGAAGGGGAATGCGAAGGGAAGTGGGAGAGGCAATGTGAAAGATAAAGGGATGGATATCAATAGAATGAATGACTGAGCATATAGCCTAGTGTGATGCATGTATGGATGGCGTTTTTAGGACAGGGTGGAAGTAAATGAAAATTTGATACCTCTTGATGTTTTGTGCTATCGCTGGTGGGCTTATGCCTGGAAAGGGTGGGTGACTTTGTGATGAGGTTGTCCCAGTTACTGCTAAGGAAATCATTAATCCCTTATCCTCACAACACTTGGAAAAGGAGCTCGCTTATGTCACATGTGACTTGCTTCTTTGGGTATTGCACCAACTGATAATGTGTAATTTTCAGCAAAAATATAAGAATGTTCGCTTAGTTCCCTTACCTCTCTAGCACACTGTCACACGAATTACTAATAGAACATCTAGCATAATGGACAGAAAGCTGATACAGGAGTAAACCTCCCTGTTATCAATGTCAAATACACCAGAATGATTGCTTGGAGGTTATGTATAATATATGCAACTAGCTAATTGCGATGCTATCTTCCGTGTCAAGAAACAACATCCATAATTGTATTTCTTAATGATGCCCTAACCTTATCTACCAATAATTGACCCATCTATCAACAGACGATAGATATGTTCCAGTTTAAGATATGTTCCAGTTTAACCAAAAATTCGGTCTAAAAGATATGGTGCAAATTGGTCTTCTCCTGGGCTTCCTACCATTCTATTTACCCGGTTGCCTCTGTCGGCTTGAAGCCAGCTTCCATTATCTCCAACAGGATCTCCCTGGGTTTCCTCAGCAGCACCAACAATCAAACTTCCTATGGGATCATTAATTTCCACAGCTCCTGGACTGCTGACTTGCTGCACTCCTTCCTTCTTTCGGTTGCGACGATCAATGACATGCATACCTCTGGTCCACTGACCAGAAGTCTCGACACGAATGTCTTCTGGAGATTTGGGGGACAAAATCCAAGAGGGAGCCGAGCGTGAGATCATATACCATACGCATAATGGATCGTGCATCTCCAGACCCGGATTAGCCTGCTTTCTTGTGAGAGACTCGATCTTTTCAAGGGTTTTGTTGACAAAAACCGAGGTCCACTCAGCCAAAGGACTTCCAGCAGCAAGTAGAGGACTGATTTTGGTTTTAAAATGGTCTCGGTAAAGGAGATGTGGAGATGTGATATCTAGGGGGAATAGCGTGAGATTTAAAGTGCGCGAAAGTCCCTTTGGATACGCAGGGAGGGTGGTCTTGTTTGGCGGAAGTGGAGGCATGGTTGAGGATGGAGTTGGAGAAGTCAAGGCAAAAACACGAGCAGTAGCAACTGCATCAGCGTACGTGTTGAATTCAGCGACTGGAGTAACGTTGCCTTCCACGTCGATTGCTCCTCCCATTACGACAACCTCCTTTACTTTCAGAAATGTCTCTGGGTCTTCCGCGGCTGCAAGTGCCAGATTGGTCAGGGGTCCGATGGCAACAATCGTGATAGTATCTTTGGGGTTTTCCCGAAGCAACCGCAAAATTTCCTTGTGAGCGGGGACATGGGAAGCGCGGAAAGACTTAGATGGAGAGGCCAATTGATGAGCTTCGGCAATTTCCTCTGCGGTCGCTCCTTGCTTGGGAGGCTCAAACAATGTTTTCCAGGTCTCAGCTGGGGATAAATGAGGATGCTACTTTTTGTCAGCGGGACATCTCAGATTGATATATTGTAAGCCGCATAGTTTGTGTGATTGGAGGATTAATATGCTGAAGCTCATGAAGAATAGGCAAATAGTGAAAGGTGGAGTCGAAATATGGCTCGCAGACTCCAACCAATAGTTCGTCATGTCAAAGAAAATGCTTCTACAACATCCAATATCCCCATCTCAACCAGGATACTGATCCCAGGGTAACAGAAGTCTTATTGGTTGTTTTTGGAGGGAGGGAATATAATCATAAATCAGTGAAAAGAAACTTACAGAAGTGGTGACACCCGCGAGACCGTCCATGCCGTCTATTGTGATATTTAGCAAACTCCACAGGAAAAGAAAGGGAGAAGCTCTTACGGAAATAGTCAGCCATGAGCAGCTCATCTTCTAAGGGATGGTCCGCACCAACCGCAACCAAAGGCTTAGAGCTTGTCATGGCTTCAAAACCCTCGGCCTGGCCACGAGCTCTTCGCCAATCCATCTCTTTCTCAATAATATGGAACAAGGCGACCACATTGCGTAGACAACTGGGAGTTGAAGTTAGCGAGAGCGCTGTCGACTATGATTTGAAGCATACCTCTGGGCTTCAACGTTTCCGTACGTGACAGATATGAGAAGGAGCTCAATCTCATCCGGGTTTGCAGCTAGCGCCAGCAGCAGAGCAAGAACATCATCCACACCTAGTTGGATGTTAGGAAGACAAATATAGATGTACGCAGAAAAGCTTACCGGGATCTGTATCAATAATGATACGATTGCGCGGAGCAGCCATGCTTCTTCTCCAGCAAACCTTGGGCGAAGTGTTTCTTCTAGGAACGGGCTAGTAGCGATGCAACTATCGCGAGGTAGCTCTGCAGTGCTCTTTTCTATGGAGACCTCGTGCCCTTTTCTGTAGGTTGAACGAGCTGGAGACAGAGAAATGGTGCAGGTGGTGATAATAATAGTAATGAGAAGCAATAATGTCAATGCCGCAATTCGCATGTACGAGTACTTGAGAAGACCCCTCGCCTTTGCTCATCCCACCTTCCCAGTCACCCGTAGACGGTGTGGGCCATACCGAGCCACCCCCAGTCCCTTGCCTGGCAATGGGCTATTAGCTCACTCCTTCCCTTTGCAGCGTGCCTGCTACAGAAAGCAGCACTCTTCACAGGCTTCACTGGTTGGGACTGCTGGGACTGAGTAGAGTAAGCTGCCTGTAGCAGATGTGTCCATACCTCTTATCGTCCCAACATTCTGGACATTGTGACCCGAACACACAAACGAAAATGGATCGTCGTACAGTGCGCTAGGGAATAGAAGCTTGTGCACTTACTTGCACCGTCTTCGCACTGATGACTAGTATTTTTTAGAACATTCCTTTGAGAAACCTAAAGTAGGTAAATTTACCAGTAGTAGAGTACGTACGTACCAGGCCACACACACTGCTACTGCCCAGCTACTGCCCAGCTGGAGCGCCTGGGCAGATCGGATTGCTGCTTTATCCCTGCTCACGGCCAATCGGTGAACCACTTCCGACCCCCGTTGGCCCCGCTTAGCCAATTGAGGCTCATTCAATTCAAGAGACCTGTCTTCTCTCACGTCGCCCACGACCATAATCACCACCGACCACTGGACCTGTACACACATCTACAGTCCCTACTTCAAAAACCTATCATCATTGCCTCTTTTCCACATAGCCATCGCCCTCATTTGCGGTCATCATTCATAGACGACTCCCACTTAGTGGTTCCCCCTCCAGCCTCGGAATCCAGCAGTGAGAACTTCCTGCGAGCCACCTCAACACCATGGCTATCATGAGTACACTTGGCGGATGGGTCGCGGTGGTTGCGGTCGGTGGTGGTTTCTGGTACTACCATCGATCCAAGGCACCTCGGCCGGCCGCTAAACAACGAAGCAAACCAATTGAAGCTCGGGAGAAACAAAAGGAGAAGAAATCTAATAAGGATGGAGGGCTGAGCAACGGTGGCGACCAGCCCAGCAAGAAATCGCAGAAGAAGAAAACTCCACCAGCTCCCAAGCCAGTCCGCGAGGAGAAAGAGAAGCCCGTCACCAACGTCCCCATCAGCAAAGAGCGTGATGACGAGGTTGATAACAAGGAGTTTGCTCGACAGTTTTCAAGTATCCAAGCAGGCCATGTCATGAGTGGTAAATCACAAGTTCCAACGAAGCAGAAATCCGTCAAGCAATCCAAGGCACAGGAGAAAGCTGGAAAGACACAAGAAAAGGTTGCTCCTGTAGAGGCCAGCTCTGATAATGCCACTGCTCCATCGTCGGCAACAGGAGGCGACGCTGATGATGATCAATCATCAGTGAACTCTCCTGAATTGAAAGCAACGGCTGTTGAAACTCCGGCCTCGGTAAGCCACCTGCCAATCGCCGCTGAGGTAGAATCCGCGCTAACGTTTATATAGAATGGAGTTTCCGACATGCTCGAACAACCATCCGCCGGGCCATCTGTACTCAAGATCACAGAACCTGCCAATCCAACCATGGCGAAGAAGAAGAAGCAACCCGCCGCTTTCGAGGCCGTCGAGACCAAGAAGCAACGCCAGAACCGCAAGAAGGCTGAGGCAGCCAAGCTAGCTCGTGAGGAAGATGAAAAGGAGCGCAAGGCTTTGATGGAGAAGCAACGACGCACCGCTCGGGAGGCCGAAGGTCGCGCAGCAAAGGATGGCAGCGCTTTTATGGCTTCCAAAGCACCCGTTGAATCCGCTTGGGTTGCTCCTACCAACGGTACACTATCTAATGACTCCAAGTCCGCCGAAAAGGTTCAACTTCTCGATACATACGAGCCCACCAGCACAAAGCCAGCCAAGCCGGCTTTCAAACCTGGTGACAGCAACTATTCCGAGAGCGAACTGGCCGGCAGCGATTGGCAAAAGAACTACTCTTCCCTGCCATCTGAGGAGGAACAAGAACGTATTGCAATCGAGGAGTCGGACGAATGGCAAACTGTCAAAGCCAAGGAGAGACGCAAGGCTGAGAAGAAAGTCCCCGCCAAGGTCGAGAACTCCAGTGCTAAGGTCGAGGAGCCCAAGTTTCAAGATAACTACGGTCCACCTCCAGTCATTGCCCCTACGCCTCCGGGTCAGAAGTGGGTTATGACCACGGTTCATGTCACCCCAACTGGCGAGGTCGTCGAACAGGAACGCGTGTATCAAGACAGCGAATGGGAAGTCGCGTAATTGTACAACGATATATTGGGAGGATGGATCGGTCGACTTTTGTGGATACGGAAAAATCATCTCGCCGAAGAGCGCCGTTTTCTCACAACTAACCTCCCCCAGATTTTCCTTACACTTGTACATTGAATCGCATTTTCGTCACGTCATTATTGCGTAGCCAACTCGTCGGTATTTCGCGTCTGCATATTGGCACTTGGGAGGAATTGAGAGGCAGATTTGCATAGGGCCACTATCATGTATTCCAGAATTTTGCTTTTCAGGGGCTAGGCGTTCACCTATTTCAAGTTCGAGGTCCACGGTCTACAAAATTGCCGTGGGACAACAGAGTGTATCACAACTATCTGCCGCTGAAGGGAGTTTAATTCTCTCTGACATGCTAATCGTGTGTAGCGCAGAGGAGCATAAAATTTGGTTCTTACAATTTCTGATTTGATGTGCTGTGAATTAAAGTGCTTTTGACTTTTGTAAAGCGACAAGAGATGCCCTTGCAGCAGTTCTGTTATGGCATGTCCACCTAAGCACTACCCGCTCCCGCTGTGTAAATATGGTTCTTGAGTCCAGAGAAAGCTTCCATGTAGTTATTAGATAAGAAAGTGAGCGATGAGATCATCGATTGATGTTATAACAAGATTGACTTTGGGGGTATCACAGCATACAGACTTTTAATCTAATTCAGTTGTCAAAGAAAGTGGGGGACAGGGGGGCTTGACGTGCTTGAACCTTGTCGATCAATTTACAGTGAGTGAAGACTTCCCTGCTGTCAATGAATAAGTGTTTTGAGCTCGCTTACGAGTAGCTTAGCTAAAAACTTACAATGAGAATAAATTGATGTTTAGGCATTAATTCCGGGCGTTTTTGCAATGTTATCTATCCTTATTACCGAGACGATTTCGAGGCATTTAATATGGAAATCGGAAACCCCTCCCCACAATTGTGCATGCGAGTAACCGATCCACTGCATTTGAGCTCCTGTCACGGCTGGCCACACCAGGCTGCATGAGCCAATCACCGCTCGACAATGGCACCTTTATGCGAAACTCGGTCTCCATGGATTCCTTCCCCCAATGGCCTGTATCCCTCGTCCCTCAAGGCCCGCCGCCTCTTCGATGTTCTACTTGTAGGAGTTCCGACTTTCGAATGATTGAATGCGTTCAATTGCACACGTCATGTCATGACTTGGGACGGTAATTGAGTCGGCCTAAAGTCCACGTCTACAGTACGTCTACAGTACGTCTACAGTACGTCTACGTCTTGAATACAGTAGTCGTCACTACAGGTGGTGTGGAGAGCGTAGATAGTGATAGTCATTGACGAGGACGAGATCACATCACATCGCATCGCTCTAGCTCGGTCCGCTCCCTCCCAAGAACGCCGCTTTGCCAGCAAGCACACTACGACAAGCAGCTCTTCGCCCAATTTCCTTTCCTTCCTTTCTACTTACCAGTACTCTACTTCACTTACTCGTACTTACATTCCATACCGTCAACACAATTAATCTCGAGCAAAATCGACTCGACATCTTCGTGCAATTGAACTCGCAGCCTCTTTCTTCTATTTGTCTCTTGTCCACAACTGCCTTCACGCACTGCTTTTTCACCCGCACATCATACTGTAGAGCTCCCAATTCCTGGATCAGTGAGAGCTTAACCTCTTCCAAGTCGAAGCACAATTATCCGAGACCTCTGCGGCTTTCGACCGGTCCAGCCTCGCGCAATTCCAAAACACTCCTTGGAAAGTTGTGCTGGGCTTCAGGGGCACAGCAAACAACTGCTATTCCCGCGGGGTGGTAACATCAGCGCATACGAGGGCGAGTCGGTGGAAAATCATTCGCTTCAGCACTGCTAATCAATTGTGGCCTGGAGAATTCAGAGGTTTGTGTCTTTTTTGGGGCCCAGGAGACTTGATCGCCTCTCGAAACAAGCCTAGACGTCGATTACCTTTGCTGTCGCACCTCATGTCGTTATAAACCAAACCTTACTCTTCGCTCTTTATTCTATTCCTTACGTCCAACATATATTCGCAGGCAAGATGTCGCTCGATGTTGCTATCCAGTCGGTGGTATTCTACGTTTTATCATGCAGCACATGCTCGAAGATCAGCCACCGGCGCAAAGCGAAGGTCCAGGCGAAACGCGAGCGAGCAGAGAAACAGGCGTTGGAGACCGAGCAACCTGGCCTCTATAGACACCCGTCGCCATTCTCAACGAATCCATACTGGACCGAGGAAATAATGATGGGACCGGGGCCACCGAAACAGAAAAAGGACAAAGGGAACAAAACTCCAAGTCAGAGAGCATTGAATACGGCAGGGCATGGGAGCAGTTATGCTGGGAGCACAGGAATGAGTACTGACGCCCCTAGTAGTAGTCCCACAGCGGTTGATGGCTCGCGTCTATCCGGCGACGATTGGAATCGAAAGCGTTACCAACGAGAGGATGAGGCGTTGTGGGGTATCGACTTCCAGGGATCAGGTCAAAAAATAAAACATGTTATTGCAAAAGCAGGGGAATCTGCTGGTCGACTTTTAAGCAAATCACCAATGAGAGAAGAGCCCTATTATATGTCGAGGAATCCTCCAGTCAACGACTTGCATCCTCCGGTGGTTAGTTCACATTCTAGCCGTAGCGAAACAAGATGGATGCTTCAACCCCCGCCATCTGCAAAAATCATGGAAGGAAAAGTGAGAGTAAATAGAAGCCGAGCAGGCAGTGACGGCAGTACTATCAAGAATTCTTTGAGTCGACAAATGACCGAGAGAACACTTGATTCAAAGTTGCAACGAGGCGAGACGCCATCAAGGGCAGAGTCGAGATCAAAAACACCCAGATCGAGTCGACCAACGTTACAACGACATGAAAGCAACCGAAGTTCCTCGCCAGAATCTTCGGAAGGCTCTAGTGTTATAAAAAGGAAACACAAGCCGCCGCCGTTATCGATATCGACACCTACTATGAACTCGTCTATGGACACCCTTGAGCAGGTATTGCCGACTCTCCCCGAGCCTGTAAAAGGTTCAGAAATGAGAGAACGGTCTCCCAGACCACATTTAAAAACGATTATCAGTTCGTCAAACCTGGGTCCCCAGGTCGCAAGTGGAGATTTACCATTGAGAGAACTTTCTTCGAACTCTACCAACAGTGAAAATACCATCGGGGAGCAAACATCCACTCAGAAACCACTCTCTCCGACTACAGTTTCGAATTCAAATCCAAAGGCTTCCGAAGTGATAAAGTCTCGGATCGATAACGAATCAACGGAAAATGCTCCGGCAGCGGACCAAGTCTCTTAATTCCCCATGTTAGTGTTTTAACCCTCTAAACACTAACCATTCAACTATATACATAACCTTCACATCACGTTTCTTTTGTCCATATTCATTAGGTTGGCATCATTGCCAGATGAAGCATGCACGGAGTTTTGGAGTTTCGTCTTGCAAATTCGCAAGTTGTGCATTTTGGCGTATTGGGCAGCATGTGCCTTTAGGATAGGGAAACTGCTTATGGGAATTGAACCTAGATGGTTTACAGTACAATAAATATTTACGTTCTTCTGAGACTCTTGGAATGCCCCTTTTCTGAAGCCAGCGGTGTTATTGTGAAATGAGTTCTGACAGAAGCCGATCCCAGTTTAAGTAACATTACTTTTGCTGCCAATCACAATGCATGCGATTAAATCGACGAGTATTTTAAATGTCCATTTTCCGATTTCTAGGACGGGTATCAAATAATTTTGTTGTTCTACGTTGGTCCATCCAGACATCATTTTTAGCCACTGCCTCCAACTCACAAATGCATACCCTCTTCATCGTCCGTAGCCAGCGCCCTCATTCTTTCCTCCATTGCTCTCCTCAGTGCCTCATCATCCAATCTTCCACCCGTACCCGTGCCCGTCCCATTCGTCGTCCCATTGCTCGATTGATTCCCATCAACCTGCACCTCTCCATTTACAATCCTCCCCGTCTGAAAAGTCCCATCAGTCCACGGATTCCTCTCTCCTCCCTCTCCCCCCTCCCTCTCCCCATGCTCCTCACCCGTCCCATTAACCAATCTCTCCTCCCCCTCCTTGTTCCCTTCCGCCGCCAACTCCTCCACGGTACTAAACTCCAACCAACTACTTCCCCTACCCTCAACCTCGGCTTTCAGTAGTTGTATCCGCTCCTGCATGCGCGCGATGACAATCTCGTTCTCCTTGATCGCATCGATACAATCCTGGTCGGGGACCCCGTTGCAGGACGCTTCTGTGCCGGAGGCGAAGGGTTGGAGTTGTTCGTTGGAGTAGTCGAGGTGTGCGATGCTGTTGCGGATTTCGGCGCCTTTGAAGTGCAGCGTTTCGAGGGGGAGGTCTTTTAATGCGGCGGCGAAACGGGAGGGGTTTATTGGGGTGGTTTCTGAGGACATTGTTGGAGGTTTGAGATTGTTGAGATATTGGACTTCGGGTTGGAGTTGAATTTGTTTTTGATCTTTGGAGAGGTAATGTATTGTACTGTTCTCGGTTGGAGGGGCTTGGAGAAAGCTTCAGGCTGCGAGTGACGCGATTTGATGGAGGGGCAAAAAATCTAGGTCCGTCCGTGCTGGGAACGCTTTGGGCTTCACAAATCTGGACAATTGAAGCTTGTGATACGTTTATCCATACAGTACCGTTCCCTTTTCCCCTCAAAAGCTTCCAGACCTGAAAGCTCTCATGTTTGATTTGTTATGCCAATTGGGGCAAGTATGACCACCAACCTCTGGTCGCCTGCCTCCCGATCACTCTGTCTCAATTCTCGGCCTCTTTTCCAGACATGCTACAAAATCGATAGCCTTGCCGCAAGGCTCGCTCAGCGCCATGCTCGATCTATTACGCATTCTTCGGTTTCACAGGGCTTGAAGGGATCAAGGAGTTGTGGGTTATCCCAATGGAGTAGGGAAGCTCATGGGACGGGGGTAAGCTTTGCGCGCCAGACTGCGACTAGATCGTTTGCTGCGAAGAGCATGCCTATAGTTACGGAATACCACCAGTTACCCAAGAATTATGATCCAAAAATAGGTCTTCAATTTCGAGCTACGCCCTTGACGAAAAATGAAGTCATTGAGATATTTGGAAAAAGTGTGGATCCTATAGCAGCGAATCGGTTGCTGAAGCTATTACACGGGCATCGGGTGGCAGGAACGCTGGAAGATCCGAGTTCTATTACTACGGTTCCTGAGATCAAGAAGCGACAGAGGGAGCTTGGACTAGAATGGCTGAGGAAGACGGTCCCGGTAAATGAGGTTGCCAGTGCAGGATTGAGAGCAGAAGAGGAGCTCGCGGCCATGGGGGAGAAAGTCATTGCTACTATCTCCAATACTGACAAGTGGGAACCAAACAAAAACACACCGAAAGATGAACCATATGGAAATGGAGTGTTGAATCAAAGAATAAAGATGAATAAAGAGGCGGCGGCCAAAGAAGCGGCAGCGAAAGCAGCAGCAAGAGAGCAAGAGGAAAAAGAGAGGGAAGAAGCAATGTTGAACGATCCGGAGGCAATATCACAAAATACGAAGACATCTCTGGATACCGTGAGGCCGCAAGTAACGATGGAAACCTACGAGGGCGGTGACAGATATAAAAAGTGGTTAGCGCGAGCAAGATTAACAGACACTGACCAGCCACCTGAGATGACAAAGTTTCAACGACTATGGCCTTCTGCTCTCGTCTTGCTGGGAATACTTGCAGCTAGTTTTACATTCGTCGCAGTATACACACCACCCAAAAACTCTGCAAGATTATTCCCTGATATCCCCCCTTCAGCTGCAACAGTAGGAGGACTGATATTTCTCAACGCTGCTGTGTTGTTTGCATGGCGAATACCCCCCTTATGGAGATTCATGAATAAATACTTCATAGTCGTCAGCGGGTATCCATATGCACTGAGTAACATCGGCAGCATCATCTCCCACCAAGGATTCAAGCACTACGCACCCAACATGGTCTTCCTCTGGTTCATGGGCACCATACTCCACGACGAAATCGGCCGCGCCAATTTCCTCGCTGTCTTTCTGTGCGCTGGTGTCTTCGCCAGCTTCACCTCCCTAGCCGTCTCCGTCGGCCGCGGGTTATTAACACAGACGTCCCTGGGTGGTTCCGGGGCCGTGGCGGGCGTCGCGGCTACATACCTCTTGCTGAACTCTGACAATAAACTCGATCTTTGGGGCTTCCCCCCTGAAGACTGGCCGTCCCTCTCGGCGATGGGGCTCTTGGGGATCCTGGTGCTGTTGAATATTATTGCGCTGGGAAGGGCGATTAGAACTGGGACGCCCGAGAAGATGGATCATGTCGCGCATCTGGCGGGGTATCTGGCGGGGTTCGGGAGCTCGCGGCTTATTAGATTGAGGCTGGAAAGAAGGAAGGCTGTGGAGAAAGAGAGGAGGGAGAAATTGGGGTTGGTGGATGAGATTCAGGAGGGGGTTGTGCATAAGTAAGCGATTTGACAATCTTTGTCTCTCGGCTTTGTTAGATGGTGAGAGATGGTTGGGTGTATGATAGATGTATATATTTGTGTATATAGATGCATTATCCAGCTCCTTTTGGCTTTGAATGCTTGTAGTCGGTGCTTGACTATAATAGGGGCAGTAGGTGGCCGTTTAAGCGAGGCGAAGCGAGGTGCTCTTGTGGTTGTGTGGGTCCTCGCCCACCCGTTGGACAACATAGGCGGTAGTTATTTCGGCCTGTACACTACCAGAAACACTGCCGCTTGTTTTTTCCAGCGGGTGCTCGCCTTAGTACCCGGTGTCACCCCTGGATTCTAAATCTTAACAAGTCATCCTTGGGGCTCTAATTGTCCTTAAGAAGGGAGGTGTTGCTTGAGTAGTGTACTTGCATTTATAGAGTAATGTTCGCTATTCTTACTCGAAAGTCTGGTGCCTAAGGATTTAAATCCCGCAGAGTGACTAAGGTTTAGAGTTACTACTACGGCTCCTTCCTTTCTACTAGTACTCAGAGTATATAAAATGTCGGCTGATTGTACCGAGAATAGCCTTTTCTTCGAGAATCGTACTATTAGAAGGCGAATAGGACACAGTGTAGAATAGGATAGGTATAAGGTAGGAAGCTAGCTAAGGGGCGTAGGGAGTCTTATAAGATAACCCTGACCGAGTGGAAGCTACTAGAATACTAGGCATCCACCTAGGCAACCGAGACAGGGGCCAGGTAGCAGAGACAGGAGTGCATCAGTCTCGGCTACTGGAGGACCATGCCGTAACATGTATGTAGAATTAAACCGTGAAATCGAAAACCCGATTAATCGATTTAATTGAATTAATTAGCTAACCAAATAACCGAAAAGTCAGAAGAATTAAAGTGCGTGTTTGCTTAGAAGCTAGGGTTACCTCCCTGTGTCGTGTTACCGGAAAAAGAAGTTGAATTATAATGTGACTTGATTGATATTGTACTAAGTGTCCTAAAGGACGTCTGCAAAGTGCTTATTTCTAGTACATATACAACTTTTGAGTCTGTGTTCTACACTCCCACTCCTATCGGTTTTGTTCATTTACGGAGTAGAGGATGAGTCGGTAAATTATAAAACTTGAGTAAATAATAGAAACGTGAACTTTCTTTTGGAAGTTTCGACAGAGCGCCACATATTTGTTTTTGTTGCCTGGTAGAAGCCGTCACATCTGTCCTCTACTCGTATTAATTTAAACCCCATGCCGTCTTACCCTACGAATGACTGCTCGATTCCAAAACTTCTTCCCCTATATCAAACAATAACATGCAAGTACGTTCAATTGCCTTTGCAGGTTGCTAATGGCATCTCCGAGGACGCCAAATCCAACAGCCCTTGCTGAACATTTTCCGCCAATCCTCCTCCACGACCAAGGCACCGAAGATAGACTTCCTCGCACTTGAGGCGAAATGGCAAGCGAAATGGACGACCAGCGAAGGCAAAATCAAAGACTGTGGGATTTGGGATAGGGGTTACCACCCGCTGGTACCACTATATCACAAGCATCTCCGAACGCCTACTATCCTAGACGCCCTCGCCTGGTGCACTACTACAGAGGCTAGCACTGCAGCAAGTCGAGATAGCAATGGCAGCCTGCTTAATAGGATTCTTGAGCTCGCCAAACTAGGAAGATTTGATAGACCATCAGGTCTTCCAGACAATACTTGTATGGACATGGAAACTTGCATTGCCAAATATGGTACGGACGTGACCCGGACTTACGTGGTATTCCGTAAACAGCTGGTGGGAAATCATTGGTGCTATGAGAACGACGTTATCCAAATTCAGCAGTGGCTTCAGTCGATTCGGGAAGCTACTTTGTTAGCTAACGAATCTTACGCATTCACACAGAAATCTACCCCGCAGAGCCCCAGTATCCCAGAAGCGCTTTCCGAACCAGATCTGGACACCTGGCTGGAATTGAACACCGACACGCCACGGTCCTGGGTTCATATTCCCCCAAAACATCCCAATATATTCGATTCGTCGATGGAAGAGCCTGATTGTACGCTTTGGCACGCCGCTCAAGATGCTCTTCTCTCATGGACACAGCAGATTGGTAGACGAAACAGCCTTCAAAACGTGGAGTCTCGTCTTGTCGCGCTGACCAAGGCCATCATAGCCTATGGTGGCGAACGGAGAAAACTTCCTGACGTTCACTACCATGCAACCCGTATCTTGCTTTGTCTGATTGCACCTTTTGCCCCTGCCTTTGCGGAAGAATGCTGGGTTTCGTTACACTACGGAAGTGGTACGCCGTCAGTTGACGAGTGCGACATAGGATTGGAGGAGGACCTGGTTGAAGATAAGATTACTGAGGAGGAATTAGCTGAGGATAAAGAGCCACGGGATCTTCCAAGACAGTGACACCCGGAGACTTTGCCATCTATATTTAATCAGCCATTTCCCACTCCTGAGCCAAAGGCAAGGATATTTTTCTTGCAGGTCTCATTATTCCGGTTGAAGGCAAGGGCTGAGACGAAACCGAAAGAAGAGGAAATAAAGATCCAGCGAGGAGGTCGTCAGGCTTGAAAAGTAAAGATCAATGGTATAACCTGAGAAGTACTGTTCGGGTCCCAGGTATAACGCCTTAGTTGAGAGCTGCAAAGGTAGAAAAGGGAGAAACTTTCAGTGCAGGGAATAGTTTGTAGCAAACTGCTTAGTTTGCTTATTAGTTTTATAATTTTAATTGAAACCATGCTTAGTTTTACGAGATCAAAGCTGAGCTAAAATCTAACCAAACCGAACTATTCCCTACACGAGTAATATTAGCTGCGAAGAACGGACGCGTAATAAAGGGACGACTAAATAAAGCTGGACAGATAGATTGAAAAACTGGCATCAATTAGAGTAGGAAGCGTATGACACTATATCCAATAAAAGTATCACAAATACCACTTATCCTTCTAAAATAGAGATTTGTCAAATCTCCCATTTCTTCAGCACTTCCTCATCGTCTTAGGCATCTCTGATTTCCACCTGCGGGAGGATTCCTATTAACCTCGAGGCTGGATCATACTCCAGCCCATACGTAAGAAACAGAAATCATAGTATCGAAATTCAATGAAGTATTTGGGGGTTCAAATCTTTCGAGAGATCCCACACCAGAGACAAAAGCGACTTCCTGCTCATTTGTGGCCAGGTAGATACTCCTCAGTGCGTATCTCCTCCGCAAAACGGCTATGCTGGAGTACCCTTTTGCTTTTCAAGTAAGGGAGATGGTCCTACGTTTGAAGGGTTTGCATTTTGTTGTTCAAGGTTTCAAGTGAGACAGCAGAGAGATGTTGAAGTGTTTTGCATGTCTGTGAGAGGCAAAGCTGAGAGGAAATGTTAGTTCAGATGTTTAGCGACTTGATCTAGGACGTTAGAAGGCAAGTACACAAGGATATGCGCCTTCACTTCGACAGGGAATTCAATTTTATGGGGTGTAAATCCGTTGAACCTGTCTTGTATACCTGGGTTCATAACATTTGAAGTAAGAGACAATACTCCCATTGAGTTTCCTAAGAGAATTCTGATTTCCGCTGCTCATGTGTTCCTGTTGATGGCTTCATTTTCATGCTTGAAACTATCGGCTAAAGCTATCATTTAGTAGAGTCAAGATTGCTGCTGCTGTCAAGGTCCTTTTTGTATCTTAAAGCCTTTTCATGAATAAGAAAATCCTACGGAAGTAAATAACCCAATTTCCCAATGGATCAGATCGCAACTTGTATTCTACAACGTGAGTCTTTTGGAAAATTCGAAGTTGGAGTTTGATGTTAGTTTTACCCAAGGGCTAGTATTATATTATATAACCACGGCCTATGTAAGATTTCACGCAGCCTACACCAGGAAGCACAATCCAGATTCAGCTGGTGACATCAAAGGTGGAATGAGAGGTGAGAGTTTTCGATAGCTTTGAGGTTGACATTGTCTCGAAGGTGTATCCACCCATGCTCATTGATATTATTCCCCCCCTGTTCAATAGTCGTACGAAAGAGGTGGAACATAAGGCACCCTCGTCTCGCTTAAATTAAGGAGGTCGTCAGAATTCTAGGCGTAGTCCCGTATTTCAGCCGAAAACACACCCAAAACACGTTTTCACAACATTATAACTCTACGAATTCATATCAAAGCTTTACGTAACATCTTGTATACTAACTCTCTAGAGTATATAAGTAAAGTATTATATATGAAATCTTTCGCTAAATCTTAGTATTAAAAGAGATATTCTAGTACTTATTAGGTTTTCTCTTACTAAGTCCTTTAGTAAATTTACTAGTCTTGTAGTACTATTACAAAGCCCTCCTACTAAAATTCCAATAAGTGTAAGTAATAGCTGTTATATATCTCTACTATAATCTGTTCTTATAAGCTATTAAGTTTACCCTTTATTTTGCTATAATTTACTCAAGTAGAGCTTCTTCGGGTTATTTTCGGCCAAAATCCGGGTCTACGTATTAAATTCTAACACCCCTAGGGGGCTGGAGGAGTGGCGGGATATTAGAACTTACGCGATCTAAACAATAGTATCTATATTATTCGTAATCTTATAACTAGTAGTATATAATATTTTATCATTTTACCCGGACTAGGTATACGAAGTACGCTTTAAGCTTTTTATAGCGTAGTAAATTCGAGTATATAAGTTAAGTAGTAGTATCTACTAAACTTATAACTTAACTTACTAAGTATCTAGGTAACCTATAAGTTATTTAAGTAGTACGAAAAAGGCTGTCACGAATCACGTGTTAGCAGGTGACGAGTGAAATCAGGCGGCGCCCTGACAGGTTAAGCACTATCATGTAACTCTTATAGCAAATAGGGATGCTTAGGCTAGCTAAGCGATCCAGGGATTTCTTTCGGGTAGAATATCACGTAACGAAAACGAGCGACATGGCCGACGAGTCGACCATGGCGACCACTGAGAACGAAGGTTCTATATAAGACTGGCACGTCTGCCATTAGATAGGGGCTTCGTGCTCAACTTAGTTATCAATCTTATCATATTAGTTTGACATCTTTGATACAAGTAACGAGTTCACTTCCAAGTGAACAACCCGATAGTCTTCTTCTTATCATAGCATACCAACCAGCGAACACCCAGCCAAGTTTAGTTAGCCAGTTTGAGTATTCGTTACAAAGGCTAGCCCTAGTTTAGCGATACTCTAGACGGTTGGTTATACGCTAATCCGCTTAGTTTATTTAGCCGACTTTCTTTATAAGTTAAATACCTCGTTTTATTTAGTAATAAAATATATCTAGGAGTAAGTAATTACTTACTTTTTTATAGGTACTATAAAACAGCTAATACTACTATTTGTAATATTCGTAAATAGGAACTATTTATAGTACTAATTAAGTACTACCTAAGTACTACTCAAGTAGTTAAATCTAAAACTTAACTAAACTTAAGAACGCCACCTACTTATACCTTATTAAGTTAACTCGAGTAGAGTTAAGTAGTAGAGTAATTTTATAATCACGCTAGTTTTTATATAAAACTTATACGAGCCAAATAGGCCCTAGTTATTACTGTATTAGAACTCCATTAATAAAAGGCATTATAGACCTCATCATATAAAGACGAAGGATCTAAAGGCGGACGGATTCACTAAGGCACTCGACGAGGTTAAATTCCAGGAGTTTATACTTCGAATAATTTGTCACATGATCACGCGCCAAAACGAAGGGCACGCACTCTTAACAAGTCGCGTCGAGGGAAATACATTAAACCCTAGCAAATTTACGTTGTACTTATTAAGAGGGCTCCCGACCTTCATCATTAATGGTCTTAGCGAAGAGGAACTAAAGTAAAGGTAATGGAACAAGTGGCTGGGACAAGGAACATGCCGATAATGAGGCCAGGTCAATGATGCAATTGGGCTCTGCCATCTATTTCGTACTGGCGTTCGAAAATTATGTTCTGACTATATGTATCCGAGGACTATTAAATCCAATAACCAGTACCCTCGGTTTGGGTTCGTAAAACTTACTTCTGGCGTCACTGACGTGGGGCAATTTTCTAGGGGATGTATCGTGATTATTGATGCTCGCATCAAATGCACTCGCCAATTGAGTGGTCATGGTGATGGCGTAGATCTAGGAATTGAGCTTAAATGATTTTTAGTAATAGTGCTAGCTAATGAAAGTACAGAGATCAAAATAGCAAATTTGAGGACTGGAGAGGTTCTCGATATAGAGATACCCCCGCGAGAGAACCACGAATATTTCTTGAAGAATACAAAATCCTTGAGGTTCTCCACAACCTCTACTATCAGAACCCGAAAGAATCAAGGCTCGTGGGGAATTCATTGACCAGTTCTTTCAGGGGTACCCTTTGGTTACTCCTCGATTTCCGAATCATCACTGGCATAAAGATATTTCATACCTCTTGAGCGGTTCTACGTGTATATCAATCCAATTCCGTTAATCGTAAGAGTGTCCTTCTTGAAGAGGGATGAGGTTCCGGTGGGATGTTATCGCCACAGCCTTTATTCCGCCGACATGTTCTAGTAACCAGATACACTCAAGAGGCCCAGGGAGAATTTCACATCCTATACAACTAATAATTTAGATAGAGGTTCTAGTACTATTATAGTACTAGTTAACTGCTACTATATAAAACCTAAAATCCTACCAAAAACAGCTATTTTACTTGTACCTACCTTCAAACAACATATATTTAACTCCCTCTTCTATAGTTTTCTTTTTAAATTAGAGAATATCTTGATAATAAGCTATTCTAAATTGATATAGAAATAAGCTTTACTAGAAACTAGAATCCGTTATATACTTATATAGACTTGATACGCGCAAGATAGCTATCCAGGCTAATCTCGGGCTCTTTTCAGTATAAAAAGCACACATCGCACTATCACCTAACTTCCCTATCTAATGCCTATAATCTCACTTACACCACACAAAACGAGTACATCTCATCAACAACAATCCTCTAACTAACAATTTTATCAAAAACTGTAAATCTACGACATAGTATAGTAAACATACCCCAAACTTCTTGAATTTCTCACGGCGATCAGTTTTGCAAGAATACGCCATATTGCAAACAAACCCACGAGATCTCTTCTCTTTTACAACATCAGCATCGTGTTGTGGGGTTTTGCCGTTACTGATGTGTAGATATTCGGCCAGGCCAGGAAACCGAAGAAGTCTACCATCGAAGTATCAACACTCATATTTCAACGGATAAACTACGACACGCTCTCCATAGCCTCAAAATACCGAATCCACAACCTCAAACAGTTAATGTCCAATATCACACCACCACACATAAAACGCCTCTTCATCAAATACAATCCGAAACTATGTAATCTCCTATAGAGCATTTCATATAACAAATTATTTTATCGATGATCCACCACAACTTTCCACGAAGATGGACATCGAGATCTTGGGGACTATATAGACTACTCTTCAAATTCGACTTCTGACACCTCGAATCTCTCTTGACACCTCGAAGACGACTGTATGACTACCGCTCTAGGATGCCTGGCATTTCCTCTCAGGGGTTCTCACCATTTCCCATTTCCCATTTCTGATCCCCACATCCTCTGACGAAATACCCAGCTCACATAAAAACCAACAAACCCCAATCACATCAAGCTCCGTACATTGCCTCAATCCAGTCCAGTCTATGCAAACTCCCTATTTTCCATACTATTCGTACAGAAGGTTTTCTTGTGTCTCCATCAATCCCCATCCCTCCCGATGCCCACCAAACCACACCAAGCCCTAAGCGAGGTACAGTAGGAAAAAAAGGGGGGTTCTCGCTCCACATACTCGAGATACCAAAGACCCACCTCGCTTCACTCACTCATACTCATGCCACCACTTCCATAATTAGCCATCTAAGCAAACGCGCTATTCACAGCCTCAGCCAGGGCTATCTCTCCAACCCCCAACACGTCCCAAAAAGGGCGCTACTATACAAAAAAACAACCAAAAAACCAAAAAACAAAATAGCAAAACTCTAGCAGGCGCGATGGGGCTAGAGAAATCCACCTTCGTAGGCAGGTGGATTTTTTCCGATTCACAGAGCTTGTCGATCGCTAGTAGGAATTACATTACACACTCGACTAACCTGACCTGACCAGGTGTATAGTATCAGGTTTTTGTGATGGCCAGACGTCTTATTTGACGACGTAACTGTAATTTTGAAGGTTGTGCGCTAAATATGCTGAGGTTATCTTGAGGTTACTGTAGTAAGAGGCTGAGTGGATAAATCTGTTTTGGTACTGTACATTGATACTGCATTGGCTTTGACGCCTGGACAACTGATTGATCTACAATGATTTTTTTCTTGCAAAATGGTCTTTATCATGATGATTATATGTAAAGTTAAGTATATTTTTACTTGCAACTTGCCGCAAACATATCGTATCGCCTTGGGCCTTATAGATGACTTAAAGCGGAGAGCAGCAAGCGGGCGGGCTTTAGAGCCACGAGAACACCCTGGTGCTCCCATACCTTTTCTTCTTTAAGAAACATCCCGTCCGTTTCGCTCCCCTGATTCCCTTTCTACGTCTCGGAAAACACGGTATACCCAAACCATTCGCTCAAGCCAAGACCCCACACCTATTCACAGACACAGCACAGACGCAAAAACCCATAAAAACACCATAAACATTACCATTGCAATTCAATTCTACCATGAATCTAACAAGGGGGGTTCCATCCCCATCCCTCCATCTCCCAAACAAGAGAACAGAGTAGCTCAGAGTAGAGTATAGCCCATCCATACGCAAGGCAAGACAAGACAAGCAAGAGACCTAGCTAACAAGCCAGGTTTCGTAACGCGTATGTAGCAATCTCCCAGAGACATCACAACACCCATCCACCACGACCCTTCCCTGAACAAAAGGCTCCCGAAGTCGCAAGAAAGCAAAAAAAGCAAAACTCCAAATCCCATGCATTCGCCAATTTTCCCATCCCGCATGTTCGTTCCCCCACCCAACTGCAAAATCAGAGTAGGTACGATACTGTACAGTATCCCTCCCACGACAATTCAATCCATCCATCGAATCCATCCATCCCAATGCCAATTCAAAAAGCCCCATTCCGCATACATTCAGAAGAGAGAAAAAAAGGAATCCCTCAAAATGCAACGATGAAAGACAAGCAACAACAACAAACAACTCGAGTTTATATAGAGAGCCAAAGCAGCATGAGCAAAACCACCCAGCAAGGAAAGAATAAACAAACGAGACGAACAAACGTTAAGAATGTCGTCGGGGAATAAATCTTCGAGCCGTGGAAAAAGGTTCTCGAAAGAAGAGGAAAAAAGGAAAGTGACAAGGTACTCCCAAAAACGCCATATCCCACCACTGTCCTATCGATGATAACGATAGAAGTAGGAAGACCTCGGCCAACTCCTACGGCAAAGTGAAAAAAACAAAAAACGAAAACAAAAGGAAAAGGCCATAAGACATGAAAACTACCCCACACCCCACAAACAACCTTTCCTTTTTGTGCCTCACCACAGAATACCGGTACCGAAAAAGGCCGAGGATACTCGAGTATTAAAACAACCTCACTTCTTCGAAGCACTCTCCCTCAACAGCAACAAATCCCTCGCCGCATCCCCATCCCCTTCTCCCATCCCAAGATCAGGAACACAACCTAAAGCCCCCCTCGCGAGTCCAACGTACCCCGCCATATCCCGCTTCTCTGGTGATCGCATAACGCCTCCTAAATTCGCACGATACCGAGGCGGAGGCGGTGGCGACGAACCAAGAAAACTAGTCATCTCCCTACCCTTTCCCTTCTCCGAGCTCTTCTCCGCAGAAGAAGGACCTTGTAGTTGGATGGTCGGAACCCTCGATGTTGCGGTCCAAGGACGTGGAATAGTAGCGGAGGGAACTTGCATAGTGTGACGGGGTGGGATGGGAGAGGACATGGTTGAGGATGAGGTGCGGAGTTCGAGACGGTCGATGGGGACTTCGATTTGGTTGGTTTGGACTTTGTAAGCGGCGAGTTGGAGACGGAGACGAAGTTTTTTGGATTTCTGAATTCCCGTTCTGTTAGTTTATGGATATAGAGAAGTGGGGAGGGTAAGTATGTACCTCTCGAGCTTGTTCCTTGGTCAGAGGCGAACTTGCTCTTGGGACATTCGGGACCTCGAAAGAATTTGGTGCAGTAGGAAGTTGATCCGGTTCCGTCAGAACAGTTTGTTGGGAATCATTCAAAGCAGCATGGCTCGAGCCAAAAGAAGAGGATGGAGAAACAGAAGGCGAGGGCGAGAGAAGTTCCTCATCGGTATTCGTGACATCCTTCTATACAAAGTTGTCGGTAAGTACCATCCCCTCCAGAAACATTTCGAGGAAATAAAATAAAAACCATACCTCAGCTTTCCTACCAGCATACCCTCCAACCCTAGGACTACCCCTCTCCTGCAAATCTCTAACATCAAACCTCTTAACCCTCTTACTACAACTCTCCTCTCCCCCCACCCGTCCAAAACCCCTCTTCTCACTACCCACCAAACTCTCCACGGAACCCTCTCTCACAGCAGCGCCAGGCGTAGCAGCAGCAGCGACAACTCTTTCCATCTTCTCAAATGTGTTTTTTCCCTTCTCCAAAAGCGTGGTGGGGTTAGAAATCGGAGTATTAGGATGAATATCCCCCAAAGCGCGACGCGTAGCAGGCGATGCCATTTGCAAATAACCCACGGCTCAGAAGTCCCCTCGTCCGTTCAGTACGAAGCAGAGAACCACCGTCCTTCTTCCCGTCAAAGCGCGTGAAGAAGAGCTGTAAAATCTATCGCGTTATATCAGTAAAATACCATGGCACAAGGAACCCCATGTCAAATGCCCATTCCAGACATACCTATCTTCAATCTCTCACGTCTATTCAAATACGTCTTGAATACTTCTCAGAATAACGCACAATTCCCTTCGTACGAATTCGGTCGGAAGAAAGTTGTTGACTAGGACTCGCACGCGTTCACGTCAAGAGGTTGTGGGAGGAAGAAGAGAAGAGCATCTAGTCGCGTCTCGGTATCGATAAAAATGATGGCAGTTCATCGGCCTAACAAGGATGGACTCGGCAGAAGTGGTCGAGAGGTGGCGTTTCTGCCGAACGCGGAAGACGGTCAGCGCGGGTATTTGAGAAACCCTGTGACACATCCCGCAGGTAGCACAGGCCACATGGGTTCCTCAACCAACCTTAAAAACTAACTTGAGAGAAGTAATGAACTACGAACCCTGATATATCAACATTCCGTATTCATACTCAAATTCAACCATCTACTACAATTAGAGAGATATATCACATGTGTCAACCGAAAGACGTCAATTCGGAAAATGAAATCATATTCGCTGAAAAGCACCGCACCATCCCATACACATCCAAGCGGAATATCTCGCTATCTCTCTCTACACCATCATAATATACACAGGAAAGCTTACTGTGTCATCGAAAAGAACGCCTCGCTAAAGAATGGGTGCAATATAAAAGAGAACGAGTCCTCCCTCCTGATATAGTCCAAAAGAAAAACAAGGCCGCCAACCAACCGACCTTCCCTGACCGAGAGAGAAGGGGAATTAAAAAAGAAAAAAATCACCCGAATAATCAAGAACCACCCCAAAGGAAGAATCATGCCCCATTAAACAAACAATGCAAAAGGGACTTTCCAAATCCCCATCAAGAACGCCGTACATGCTTTTCCATGGTATATGATTCATCAATTCTCCGCCAATGCCCCCCAAATCCCGAACAAAAAAGATCCCCTCTTTTCCGTGCTCATATTAACGCCCCTTAAAAGGTCCACAAAAGGAATATCCAAAGAAGTGAAAATGATATGTAGCGAGGAAGCCTAACTGGCATCCATCGAGTAAAGGGAAGTATCAAATACGAACGGCTTGTCGAAAGCAGACTGGTCAACCACGTCATCCCATGAAAGGGGTATAGTTGGCTGTTGATCATCAAACATCAAGACATCCTCATCCTTGGCCACACCAAAATTGTTCAGATCAAACATGGTATCCATTTCGCTGGGGCCGAATGGCATCCAGTTATCATCAAACAAATCGATGCTAATATCGAGATTAACGCCGTCAGAGATATCACTATTTGGCTCAGATACACCATCTTTACTTGATTCTGGTGTGTCATTGGGCGTGATCGAGCTATAGACACTCATATCCGAAATCGCCCCTCCAGCCCCAGTTTCAAAGGTTTGAAAGGTCTGGAAGAGATCGTTTGGATCAATGGTGGTATTGGCCCATGGATCCTCAACAGCAATTTCTTGTGGGGGTTGAGTGGCACGTTTGTTTTGATCTTGGCCAGGAGTCGCTTTGCCAGTGTCCTTTGATGATGTAGCTTTCGACGGAGTACCTGGTCGAGCACCAGGCGCGCTACTCTGGCGATTCATGGATACCTGTCGAATCATTGGAGTTGCAGCAGCGGGGGTATTTGGGGCCTTCATAGTTGGGGTTTGGCCTTGTTTAGAGCCAGATGCCATCATCTTAGGAGCAGCCACTGGGACTGGCTGCTCTTGAGACATGGCCTGTTTTTGGGGCTGGCCTTGGGGATCCAAGCCAAGCAAAGATGCGAGGTTTTGTTGAGCATATTGCATGGGATCACTTAAAGGCTTGACATGCTCCTCTTCTGTGTGGGCTTTCAACTCCTCCTCGGTTTCAAATCCGACAGTGTGTCTGTCGCAGTCCGTCTCCTTGCAGCATAGAGTCGGTCTTGCCTGTGTCTTAGGCTTGACCGGTTGTTTTGTTGTCGCAGGAGAGGGTGCTTTCGCTACTTGTGGCGAAGAACTGGGGCCTTGTAAGGCTTGGTTCTGTTTTTGCTTCTTACGGGCAGGAAGATGCAAGCTTTCTTGGGTAAGGGTATTTTTCCCAATATATGCAGGCACTCCATCAGGCGGCGATTTTGCGCCGAATTGAAAGGGCGGCTGTGTGGAGGTAGGCGCGGCCGGCGGGCCGTGTTGACGACTATTAGTTCGTTGGTGAAGTTTGTTCAGCTGTTGCTGTTGCTCCTGGAGATTTGCTGCGTTTAATGGCACCGCTGCAGGAGGTTGACTGGTTTGCGCCTGAGCCGGCTGGTTGTCCTGAGGTGCCTTGGTCTTGTTGAGCATATTGGGATACCTCGTACTCAAGTCATTCACCATTCCGTTCAATACGGCACGGGCAACCTCTATCTCCTGAATATCCATTGATAAGTTTTCTTTGGGTTTTCCCATTTGTGGGTCATCAAATTCCTTGGCCAACCGGTGTTTCTAATGATTGTTAGTATATTGACAATTGTAGAAATGGGGGACATAAACATACAAGAGCGCAAAACTTTCTTGCACGGTCATCGTCTTGGGTGATTTGATACCATCGAGGCAGTGCCTTGGTCATATTGTTAAGGGGATGTAACAAAACCTCCCGTAGCATCCGCGTTACTTTGTTCTTCATTTCAGCGTTCATTGGAATTTCAGCATAGGTTTTTGTCTTGGCCTTTTCGGCCTCTTCGCGCATTATCGCGAGGAGACGAGCGGAGGCTTGAGCATTACGAGCATTCGACTCATATCTCTTGCGAGCTTCCGGGTCCAAGGCGGCCACCTGCTGAGGCGTCAAGACAGGGCGTGCTTGTTGACCTGCAGACTGTTGTCCTTGCCCTTGAGGGGCCTGAGTTTGAGATGCTGGTCGTGATGGCTGTTGAATGTTTGGATTTGGAACTTCAACCACATCATCACTTGAGGCACGCTTCAGATTGTTTTTTGGTGGTGGAGCAGGCGATGAACTTGGTGGGGCGTTGGCAGCACGGGCTGCATTGGCTGCTGGGCGGGCGGCGCGACTGGCATTGACATTCTCAGTATTTGGTGGTGCCGGCTTTGCCTGTGGCGCTTGCGCTGGAGGAGGGTGATTTGGAAGTCTAGTATTCATTAGATTCGCCTGCGGTTGTCCTGGTCGAGGTTGGCCCATATTAGTCATTTGATTCTGCATTTGCATATTTTGCATCAGGGACCGCTGTTGATGGGCTATGGCTTGTTGTCTGACAAGGAATATTCGAATCTGATCATCACTGGCAGCAGCCATCTTTCCGCTGGGATGGTTTCGCGCAGCCTGGATTTCTTGCTGCGTAGGTTGGCGAATCGTTGGTCCTTGTTGGGGATTATTCATGGTCATAGGTGCCACTGGAGCACCCCCAATATTTTGTGGAATCGAAGACATGGGGTTTTGACCTGGCTGCAAACCTCTCGGTGGTACACCTGACTGCATAGCCACTTGTTGTTGCATTGTCTGTTTACTACGCATGATAGTCTGCCAGTGAATTTTCTGGAGCTGTTTGATGCTCTCTTGCATCTCATTGCCCATATTTGGATTTTGTTGTGCCCACATCTTGAGTTGTCCCCACTTTTTGATCTCAGGAGGAACATTTCGAGGGAAACTTCCATGGTTTTGGAAGTTTATCGGGAAATCTGCATTGTCCATTTGCCGGATGACATTTAGCTCGGCCTGTTGTAGTGGTATTGGAGGTTGCGGCTGCTGGCCTAACTGCTGCATTTGATTCTGCTGCATAGCTTGCTGCTGGAGTAGCTGCTGGGTCATTGCATTCCCGTTTTGCATTGGTTGGTTGGGCCGCTGACCATGGTTCATGAATTGATTCGATGCAGCCATTGCACCATTAAACTGCTGCCCTGGCATAGGTTGCCCCGGCATTGCACCATTGCCTTGATTACCCATCTGTGGTGGTCTTACTCCGTTCGCATTCATTGCCCGCTGCTCAGTCCACTTGGTCAGTAGTTCATTCAACTTGTCCGGCGGCAGGGACAACACTTTTTGCCGTTGCTCAGCATTCATGCCTTGAATCATCGGGTGGTTCATTCGAGGATCGCCCGTCACTCTTTGCTGTGGGGTGCCTTGATTGAATTGAGGATTTCCGAACTGAGGGGCTGGGTTCGGTTGGGGCACATCGGAATGGCTCCTCTGGGATGGAGTTCTCATGGGAGCAGTCAAATTTGATAATCCTGGACTCTGCTGTGGAGGCATTGGCCCGTTTCCCATCATATCTCGCTGGCCCTGAAGTTCCATTTGTTTCCTTACAGCTTGGTTCTGTTGCTGTTGCTGTTGTGCCGCATGCAATCGTTGCTGCTGCTGTAATTGCTGGGCGTTCAAATTCAGTTGCTGCTGTTGCTGCTGAGTACGCTGATTAGGGTTCACCATTCCCTGTGGGTTCATGCCCATCACCTGTCCTGCCATTACTCCCGGTTGTGGGGTGGCATTTCGTTGGCCATTCGTTGCAGGAACAACCACCTGACCTTCGCCGGCGGCAATGACACCTTGCTGTTGCTGCTGGTTGATGTCGTTCATACTGCTGCCCATGAAGTTTCCGAATTGATCACCATTTCCCATTGCTCCCGGTGGTTGAGATTGTCCATTAAGTTTTGGGTTAGCAGAAAGCTGGTGTTGCATCGGAGGTGCTACATTTGACATATTGGGATTTTGCTGTGACATTGCGAGCTGTTGAGCTTGAGCCATCCGCTGCTTACTTGCTTTCTCTTGCCGAATCCGTTGAATGGCTTGCTGGCGGTAGTACATGACGAGAGGGTCCTGTCCCCGCATCTGGAATTCGTTCAACTGTTGTGGCGGCATGGTAGAAACTAACCGATGTCGCAGCTGATTCTTGTCCTCCACCGAAGCTCGATTCATCAACTGACTCGATAATTCCAAAACAAATCCTTGGTCTTCGGGGGTCATCTGTTGCTGGTTCGGTGGTCGGTTCAGATTGTTCTGTTTCTGTTGCATATTGAATTGAAACTGTTGTTGCTGGTTCTGAACCATATTTTGAGGCATACCACCATTCACCATCCCCATCGGCGGCTGTTGCAGCTGCTGGCTGGGGAGAGGAGATGCCTGCATCTGATGTTGGAGATGTTGGAATCCTTGCTGTGCTGGCTGTTGAGCCATAGCTCTTGGGGCTTGCCCTTGCATGCCGTTCTGGTTCATCATCATTTGCTGCTGGGCCTGTTGCTGAGCTTGTGCCTGAGCTTGTTGGTTAATGGTATTCTGAAGACCCGCTTGGTTCTTATTCCTGTGTTCAAGTAGTAGCTCTAACTTTTGCTCTACTTGCTGCTTGTAATGGGTCTAATGGTGTTAGTTGATCACTGGATAAACTGCGTCATTCCGTGATTGCCTACCTTATCGTTGGAATTCTCATAGATTTCCTTCTCGAACTTGATCCCAATTTCAATCATCTTGTTCAGTTGAGGAGCATTTGTCTGATTTTGACTTGCCAACCGAAGATTTCCGATGCTGTTCATTCTTCCCGTCAACGCTGTCCTCCCACCACATCTCGCCAGAAAAACTTACATGTTGAGAATTAGACCGATGCGTTCATGGATCAAGACCTGGGTCTGCCAACCCGTGATCGGGCCAGTCTGAGCGCTGACCGCGCTGTATATTAATTGATGAATGTGCTGGGTGGCATTTAGAGCGCTCTGAGGGGGACGTTGTTGCGGAGGCCTCTGCTGCATCATTTGGCCTGGGCCACCGCCCATGTGAGGTTGAAAGTTTTGTGCCATTTTGAGAGGGTGTGTGACCTCGCCACGCTCCTGCAATCAGGATATCCGACTCGAAGGTTTTGGTACAGGTCCACGACCCGACCGTGACCGAATGCTGTTGAATGTTGTAGAGGGCAGACGAGAGTAGCGCAGTCTTTGTGTGAAAGCGGTATCAAAGTCCAAAATTCTGGGTACCCGACGGGAGATAGAGCGGAAGTCGTCCTCTGGTATTGACAATCGGCGGCCAGCCGGTGGGTGGGCTGCACGTTGCCTTGAGATGATCTATTATCTCCACATGAAGCTAGTCCCTGTGTTGCGCGAAGAAGTAGTATTGGCTTAGGTTGACTCGTTTGCTATGAGGGCGTCGCAGATGGGGAGGGCTGGTTCGAGGGGAGTCTTGCGCGAGGGTGCGTCAAAGGAAGGGAAGTCGTGAGGAGGGTGAGGCAAGGGTGTGAGGGTGTGGACGTGGGTGAGTATTTGTCTGATTGAAGGATGAGGCTCATGAGTGGTTCGGGCGATGAACATTCAGAATCTGGTGGGCGGGCGAGAGAACCACAACCACGACAACGACGTCGGTACGGACGATGAGAATGTGAGATTTGGGGGTCTCTGCGAGAAGGGATGGTGTTGTTCGAGGCTCCAAGTAACAGATGAGTTGATGCGAGTCTTTTTCGGGGGTGGAGTCCAAGCGTGAGCGTGTACGAAACCAACAGGGTGTCGCAACTAAGAAGGTCCGGCGAGTGAAAGGCTACCGCAACGATTCAGATGAACCTACGAGTGGTGCGAGTAAGTGCAGGCGACCGGGAGAAAAGTGCAGTGCAGTTCAGTGAAGTGACTGTCTACCACCACTGGTCAAGTGAGAAAATGAGGGGATCGTGAATATGAATGGGGGGTCGCTGGCGGGTGTTGTTGTCGCTCTCGCTCTGGTGCCAGGCACGCTGTGAAGCTGGTGGAGGAAGTCGGGTCGGGATGAAGTCTACTCGTAGTGGGTGAAGGGCGAAGTGGGTTCTCCAGGTTATGAGGCGCTTGGGCGCTCCTCACGCTGCGCAAGTCCGGCAGGCGAGAGACCAGCGATCTCCTCCCCCTCCCCCTTTCCGTCTCTACTATTGGTCCACACCACTGGCTGTGTGCTCCCCCCCTGCGCGGTGGGCCCAAGAATAAATACGGAGTGAGTATCTGAAGAAAATTGGATGAGGATACCGAGACGGAGTGCGCTAAAAGAAGGGATCCTTTGCTTTGAGGTTTTGGGGATACTCGAGTATGGGCATTTGGGGTGAGAGGCAGCTGGCTCGAGGTTGGAGTGGCAGAGGGACAACAAGCCTCTGCCTCTCTGGTCAGGCGACCACTGGCCACTTCTATAATCTACGAGGCACTCGTACACATCACAAGCTTCACATCAGAGGTCGTGGAGACGGGAGTACCTAGCTACCTGAGTACCAGTCTCCGTACCAGTACCTGGCCTAGGGACTAGCCACCAGTCGAGTACGGTACATTCCCGATAGTCCCCTACCTAGTCCTAGTAGTTCTCTGGCGCCAACCATCACATCACGGGTACTGCGAGATTCGCTTCAAATGGAGGTGGACGAACGAAGCAGGTACTCCGCAATAAATGATAGAGGAAGCATGCCCAGCAGCATAAACGAAAAGCATACTCATACCTCTCTATGGCACCTAGATGGGGATGTGGATGGAAATGCGGAGGATCAAATAGCAGGAGTGATGAAGGCCTTAGTGCCTCCCGTCTGTATTTACTACGAGTAAGGCTAAGACCAAACTTTGTACTTCTGCTTCTAGCCTAGACAGGAACTCCCAAGGACTGAACGGTCGAAATGAGTGAAATGAACTCTTCGAGAGGCTCCAGTTCTCGGCAAAGCCGACCACTCATAACGCACTTCCCCAACAGTAAATTGATAATCAATCCTCTTCATGAGTCCTCCGGCCTCCAATTGCTCATTTGGGTGTTGGAGTGCTGAGTGCTCAGCTTTCCAGCTTCATCCGTGTCAGAAATGGCCTCCCGTTCCCCTCCCTCCCCTCTCCCTCGAGCCTCCCTATCCGTCAAGCGAGCGCGAATGAGGCACCCACCTGCACTTCAGTTGACTGGCACAGGCACAGTTGCTCGCCCTCGCCCCTACCGATAGGGCTGCCAGCCTGCCCGCCTCCAACCGTTCAACGACCATTGATTTGATGACAGGAGAAGCTGATGACTCTCCCAACTAAGATTTGGACGAGATCCATCCTCGCCACCGTCTGATGACCCCAGCAGCCACGGTGTGAGATTTGGGCAAAGGCAAAGGAGGCCCCAGCTACTGGTACTCGTACCATCCATACGGTTAACTGTCAACCTTAACATACTTGCTTCGTAAAGCGCTCTGTTCTGCTCTACGCAGCGGTTACGATACTCCTCCACCGAGTGGTTGCCCCCCTCTTCGGGACGTTCTGGCACATCAGGTTTCGAAATGCAAAGTCTCCGTGAAATCTTAGGGGTCGTGCGAACCAAAGTCGGTCACCCCCCCTCCCCCAAGCCGCAAAAACTCCAGTAAACTCTAACCTTGGACGGCACCCAAAAAAGACGAGACTGGACTGGAATAGACAGGAATGGATGTTTCCTAATTTGTCTGCACTACCTTCCTCATCATAACTCTATATATTTTGGAGATGTGGTGGTGGTGATGATGGTAGTGGCTCCTCCGTGACACACTGAAAGGAAAAAGATGCTGATGATCACCATATCATACAATATATTCCCTTCCCTCCCCCCATGCACCCGCTGGATGATCGGCATGTCACCTCTCCCGCCAATTGCCAGTGCCAGTGCCATTATTGCCAGCACCCAGAGCGACAGCCCTGTCCGTGTCGAGGGTCCCGTACGGTGAGGTGTGTGTGCCCAGGATTAATGCTTGCACCTGGTCGTATCAAAATGTAGATGCCAAACCACACCAGAGCAACAAACTTCCTCACCCAACACGCCCTGCACCGGGGAGACGATGCTCAGCTCGATACAGTACACCCAGGCACTCGAGAATGGGCGTCTTCGAAAAAGAAGGAAGAAGCAAAGAAATACGTCCTGGTGCACTTGCACTTCCCCTTTCAGACGAAGTCTCGGAATCGCCTCCGGTGTGACCTGCCTGTGGTTCGATCCGTATGTAGGGACCAGACCAGTCAACCTCCGTACTCCACCACAGTCCCCTGACATATTTCAACGACCATTCTCTTCCTCTCTCACTCAAACCGAACAACAATATCTCAACCATTAAATCTTCTTCTTCCTTTTTTCATGCCTCTGCCTCAATCCGGGAAAACAGGTAAATGATTCTCTAGCCCTTCCACTTGTCCTACCTTCTCGCTGCCCTCACCGGGGAGGGGGAAAAACAGATGCGGTGGTTCCAATCAGCTGCGCCAGCCATCATGGCAATGGAAGGGAAGTGGCGGCGTGCATTGCGTTGCGTGCATGGCGTCCATCAATATCCCGGCATGGCTTAACTCTTGTTTGTTCGCCGGCAACTTCTTAATCCATGTTGTACAATATCAGCTCTTTCTCTCGCGCAGATAAAAGAAATCTCTCCGTGATTAAAATCTCTCGTCTCAAGATATTGAGAGAGAGAGGAAATCCCGACGCGATTGTTCATTTCTTTTCTTCAGGTGGTGAGTGTTTGTGAATGCGTCGGACCTCTTTTCTCCCATCCTGGAAAGAAATGTGGGGTGAGGAAGGGGCTGGGCTGGGTATTCTAATCGAGATGCGGTGGTCAGGTCCCCTGGCCTGGGTCATGCTACCTACGATCCACCACCTGGGCAGGCAGGGACCCACATCCTTAAGTGAGGTGATGGATGATGAAAGCGGCAGTTTCCCGTCCCATCTCAATCCTCCTCAATTACTTATAATTTAGGAGAATTATTGGAATTTGCTCGAGGCTTTGCTACTAACTTGAACGACTGTCTTTTGATCTTATTTCCAAACGTTGTAATGTTTGGAAGTGGTGGATAATTGCGTGGAGGATATCGCGAAAGGAGGGTTGGTCACGTGAATTATCTCTCTTCTCGAGTCCTGGGTTTACCGAGTACTTGGAGATTTGGGTGGTAGTTTCTCAAATCGTTCCTTCAAATTGCCTACTAAATCAAAAATTACCATGATATTTCCAAACATCACAGAAAGTCCTTAGCATAATCCCCCATAGCCTCCAAAAGATACCCATCAATTCCCACCGTACTCTCCTGGTACTCCTTGCTAAGCGATAAGCGAATCCTACCCCTATCCCAAACCACGTGTTAAGACGCGTAAGCAACGATCTATAGGTCCATCAAATTCGTTTAACGCGCTTAACGAAAGACATACCTGTGGATCGTTTTCTTGACTATAGTCTTTTGCATTTAGTGGGTGATAGCTTGTGGATTAGAGAAGGGAGATACTAGGCGTGATATTCTGTTTTGTTTTTGTTTTTGTTTTTGTTTTTTTGTTGTTGTTTTTGTTTTTTTTTTTGGAATAGTAGAGGTAGATGATTAATTTTTAGAAATGAAAAATGGGGAGATTGTTTGGAGGGAATTATTTTGGTTGGATGGATGGATGAATGGTTTTCTAGGTTGAGTTTTTTTTTTTTGCGCGCGCTTTAGGGAAGGATGTGGTTGCTGCTTCTTTTTCTAGATTGTGTGGTGGCTTTGAATCGGTGGATCTGGGGGATTATATCTAGAAGAATTACACGATGAGTTAATAGAGAGAAAGTGGTTTACAGAGGTATAAGAGAAAGATCCACTACCAGATAATGGTTTGTATGTTTTGTGTACAGAAATGTTAGTCTCGAGGCATGAGAGGAAAAGCTTGTCGTACTATAGAAGGAAATAAATGAATGGATAAATAATCGGGAGTTACCTACTCTATATATGTTAAGCATAATATGAAGTCGTTTGCTAATCTTTGTCCGGGAAATGTTTACATATTACTTCCTATCAAGTAGAATCACTAAGATATAGTACTGGGATGGTAGACCATATTCCTGTTTCTAATTCTAATTACCCTTATATAGTACCAGTAAACTACCTACCTACCTACAAAACCGTACATCGGTAGTAAGAAAGAGAAAGCGGTAATTACTCGAAAATACGTATCTTATGATAACGTTGTTTTACAAAAGTCACACAATCGGGTGCGCTATACCAACACGTTGGGATAATGATTATCTCTGATTCTCTGGCTTTCTATACACTGGACTTGGGTAAACTAGGGGAATTCCTTTGCTTGTACTAGAGTTTTTGTATATCGAATTTTGACGTTTGGTGATTTGGATCTTGTAAGTAACAATCGAGAGGAGTTTTGCACGTTTACACACTTACACTTACCAGAAAAGATCCAGACTCTTGCTAACATCATGTAATGATGGGCTGTCGTCAAGTGTAACTTGATGGTTGTCTTGGCCTCTCCACTTTGAAGTTTGAATTAAGATTCGGGCTACCTACAAGAGTATAGACTACCCGCAGTAGCCTCGTCATGGGACTTGAATCATGGTCCCGTGATTGAGGAAGATTGTTTCAGGCGGTGAGCCTTCGGGTGTGAGGATTTTGTTGCGGGGTTGTTATGTGTATTAACCGATATCGACTTGGCGAGGGGATGTAGGAGGTAAGAAGAATGAAACTTATAAACTCATCCAAGGTTTTTATAAGAGGCTGTGCGATGTTTGGAGGATCTAATGAGGATGTTTTGTGCTAGATTCTGGGGTTATTGAGATGGTTGCGTTTTTTTTTGTTTTTTTTTTTGGTTATGACACTCGCTTGGATCATTGTTGTAAATATTAAATTGTTCTAACATATTACAATTAGTGCTCTTTGAGTGTCGATTTCATGAGGTGCAGGACAAGGTACGATGTGCGACAAATTCTAGGTTTCCTAGATAGGAAAGGGTGGTGATAGGGAGTTGGATTCACCAAGGATTTTCCACAAGGTCGGGATTTGGAAGGCATGTTTACTGGCCTTGAGGCTTTGAAGTGTCGGGTTTTCTTAGATGCCAGCTAGAGTGCGATAGGTGAAGGATTTCTGATGTTTCCTGGATTGGAAGGGTGGGTGAGAGGGAGTTGGATTCACTGTGAGAATCACGGCGAGTTTGAGACTTGGTAGGGGGCGAGGGGTGTAGAGGCTCATATGAACTGACTGTTTAATCTAGACACATTTTTGTTATCGCAACTAAGCTACTAGAACTATATCCTTGCCAGGTAAATGATAGGTCTCGTGATCTTCTTGGATAATAGACAAAGGTAGAGAAGTGTGGAATTTCTTTATCTATATCTTTATCTACTTAACTCGAATACTTCATGAAAGACTTAACAATAAGATAATAGTGGGGGCTCTGAAAGAGAATTATTAGATTGTTCGATTACGACAATGAATCTATCCACATCCAACCATTTGTGTTGAATTCTAGCCATAACAAAGTATTGTGAGTGAATAAACAGACTTTTATACCTCCTATATTGCAGCTTGCACTTTTCTCTCATTATCTCATATCTCAAACTCACAACAATCCCAACCACAACCACAACGAAAACAACTATCCAACTTTTACAAACCACAAACTTTGTTTTTCAAGATGTCTACAACATTCATGTCACTTCCCCAGGACATTCGGGAGAAGATTTTGATGACAGCTTTGTCAGTCGAGAACAATTTCGTCTACATGAATGAGGAAGATGCCGAAGATTACGAGGTAAAGCGAATCCATCGAATCAGCAAACTTGTTTTCTTCAATGGCGTGAGAGATTTCTCTATTCACGATCATCGGCATTGGGAGCACCACCTACGGCGACTTAGAGGGCACGGACGTCAACTTAAACGACAACAACCATACCACGAAGACTGGAGAATCCTTCCATTCGACAGTGATGTGTTCTTTGAATCTCCCTGTCCATAGCTTTATTGCCTTCGATTCTTCGTTGGAACTCCTTGAACATGACAACCGGCGTCATTCTCGCTCTAGACGTCAAGAGGAAGCAGAAGACCCACGGTCCGACCAAGATCAGGAGGAAATCTCAGACGATGATGATGATGAGGACGATAATCATGATGAAGTAAGAGAAATATTAATTCTCGGACCAGCTCAACCATGTAGGCCGGATCGTGTTTTGCTTCCTCTTTTGTTGGCCAACCGCCAAATCTCCACTGAAGCGTCAAATGCTTTCCACAGAGAGAACACTTTAGTTAGGGTAAATTTACACGTTTATTTCACTTCCTCAAGTCTCTCACTGTTATCGTTCATGTTGTTTGTACTTCCTATGCTGCCACTACGGCTAGGAACCCGAGCACAACCAGACGTTGCTCTAACTATCGACCTCTGCCAATTTCCCGATGGAATCAGAGAACAAAAGGATGATAGGCCTTACCCTATGTTTATAGAGTCTCGTTACCTACCTCTCTTGGTGGACTGCATAAACACATTTGCTTCCAAATGCGGGTATGAAAAACTACTTCCTGCCCTCCATGCTAAAGGCTCGTTTTATCAAAAGTGGATAGGACATATACCAGTATATAAAATCGCACTGGGGTTCAACCCCAACCCGAGCTACAGCAAAGAATACACCGACAAGCGACCAAGTCGATTAATCAAGGGCTTGAAGGGTTTTAGATACTTAGGCCATATGGATGGAGATGGAGAAGTTTGGAAACGAGATATCAAGATCGATGGCTTAGATGATGACCAGCAGGCAGAATTCTTGAGTGCTTACAATCTTCCTCCGTTTCCTCCTGAAGAAGATGAAACTGTTAAGGAGCAACGCAGGATTTATGAGGCACTCTGGTCGCGTTATTTCAACCAATGGACTGACGATACTCATTAGACTGTTTCTAAGATAACCTGTCTTATGTAAGTAGATCTTAGTTTCCAAGATACCCTTGAACTTTACGATTTCAAATTGATATTGATTTCTTTTTGCATTATTTTCACCTGCCTTTCTTATGATCTCCCAGTCTCCATATTCTAACCTCCACCATGTTCAACATCTTGATTGTTTGACCCCATTATCAAGTACATGTTCCATTAAGAATTAGAAGGTTATCGAATCATTCCCAGAAGAGGGGATATATTCCAATCCAAGAACGGTTTCTTACAATCTAATAAAACAGTAGCAACCTCTCTAGCTCCTTTATCGTCGCGTCGCGTATATGCTAATCACAAGATTCGAATACACAAACTAGCCTGGCTATATCTAGTATGTGACGAGGTAGAAGTATGAAGTATTAGAATCATCACGGAAGGCAGAATGCCTTGAGACTAAGTGGTACGCCCACGAGCCCATGCGGTGGTGCCTGGTAGTGCTATGATACGTTTCGTGGTACTACGGCCGAACTCCAGGAGAACCTCGCTTCGCCTGATCGGTTATCCGTTAGCCCAAAGTTTTAATGATATGTCCAAACACGAATGCTATGCCACAGTACAGTACAGTCAGTACGAGTAAGAAATTTCAAAGAATTGGTCTATTTGTCACACTTGATATCCGCCCCAAGGCTCCCTCTATGTACCTCGAAATAGAACCCGCTCAAGACAAAATGGGACTCTGGCCATCGAAGCGAATCATGTGATCGTCAAAGCAAAATTTAATTCAGGTGAGAACTATCTACAAAATCCACAACACATTTCCCATCACAGAGTAGTCTGCTTCAAGACACCAACTACGAATCCTACCCCAAAAGAAGCTTTTACCTACACTTTCAATCTCTCACGTGATAAACAAAAACAACCATGAAAAACTCATTATTCGTTTCTATCAATCTACTATTAACGTATTTCTAGCAAAAATATCAATTCTCACATGACTATGTAGCATAAAATGTCATCTTCGACCACCCCCTCTCACGGCATGAACAAAATTCATGAAGAATCCCCTCGCTTCCCAGAGCGGTAGTATCGCACATGTACCCAAAGTGAAGAACACCCAGATGAAACTGATAATGACCCATGCTAGGAAGAATCCCTGACTAAAAATGTAGTGTGACAGGAACATGGGAATGGGTATTATGAAACTATTCGAGGTCTCGTTAGTTTGTGTTAAATAAAGTGGGTGGAGAGACGAGAGGAGGAGGATAATGTTGGGAGGAAGAGGGGGGACAAACTCCATAATCAGCGTCAACACAACCGCAGCAATAACCGCCAGCCTAAAAGCCCCATTGAGTAACTTTGGATCCTCCATGATATCTCTATCCTCTTTGTCCTCGTCCTCGTCCGCGATACTTTGTCCTTGTCCATGACTAGCACCTGTTTCCCTACTCTTCATCTTTTCCATGTCCCTATCAACATCACCCGGAGGGTCCGATGAAAGTTCTCCAGAACGGTCTCTCTCCCCATCAAACGTCCCCTCCTCAGAAACCACCGCGTTAATACCCCTCGTTATCTCCCAGTCAAAATCATCCGGCTTCGCACAAGAAACTGCAACTGTGATAAGGAGACCCATCAACACGGCGCTCACATTCCCCGCTAGAGTAGGATAATTTCCAGCGGTCGTAGCAATTGTTATCTCCCCGTAATACTTTTGAGCAGTGACCAACCAAGCCGTAAGTCCGGACGCAAGTCCCCCCAAACAACCAGCGATGGCACCGTATTTACTTTGTTTCTTCCAGGTCACGCAGAAGGCTGCTGGGAACACAGCACCTCCAATCAAGAGACCCATAGTAAGGAAAAGCCAGCCGAGGTTGACGCCGATGAGGTTCCAAATACAGGCAAAGAGGGCCATTACTAACCCAAAGAAGAGAATCATGTAGTGTGAGATGGCGATTAATTGTGCGGGAGTGGCTTGGGGCCGTATGTACATTTTGTAAATGTCGAAGGTTAGGATGGAGGATACAGCGATGAGCTCGCTTGAAGCAGAGGATGTTACGGCCATGAAAAGGGTGAGGAGAAGAGCAATGGCACCGTGGTTTCCAAGGAGAGCAACGGCCGCGAAGGGGGCGGTGAGGCCGGATGAGACTTGGGTTGGACTCATGGCATTGGGGTAAGTTGGGAAGGCGGGATTGGTGGCTAATCCCACAGCTGCGAGGCCGAGAGTTGTTGCGAAACCGAAGGGGATTGCGAACCAGGCCATGCCTCCTAGGATGTAGGCTTTGACTGCGGTTGTGGGACGGGAAGCAATTGCTCTTTGCCAGTATCCTTGATCGAGGAAGACCGTCCCCATACCGGAGCAGAGTTGGATAACGCCGAAGATGAGACCGAAGTTGGATTTCAAGGTTAGATATGAGCCATCTTGGTTTCCATCCACGGGACGTAAATTTGCTGCTTGTTGGAGAAGCTCAAACATTCTCTCGTGAGAACCGATCAATTGATTTGAGGTATACACGCTGAACATGAAATACAAAATGATCACCATGATAATAACAGTGTGAGTGTAATCACCTAGAAAGTTTTCGGTATTAGCCCAACTCAAGATGGCGCAGGCATGAGTGAACTTACACAGAAATGTTGCTCTCAAACCACCCAGGACCACATAGACACATACTCCAAGTGGAATCAAGAAGATGGCAGCATAAACATTCATGCCGGTCAAAGCAGTGACAACGGCACTGCCACCAAGCAACAGTTGACTAGCCACTAAAATATTGCAAAGCAACGCAAAACATATGAAAACAATATGTGCTGTTGTTCCATATCGCTTTTGAATAATTTCAAGGAATGTGTGACAACGCGGTGCATTTTGCTTGACTTTACAGGCAAGTATAGAGAACATGAAAATCTGCACGGTTGCTCCAGCAGCATCTAAAGTTGTCAACAGAGAAGGAAAGTGGGGGAAGTATAAAACCAACACTAAAAAAAAGTTAGTTTCCGTACGAAGAACGAATGTCAGCGAGTCAGATTACTTACCCAGAAAGGACCTGCAATCCCATAGGAATAGGCTACAGAACAACTCTGTAAGAGAGTAGCAGCCCATGTCCATGCAGACACGATACCGGAGGCAATCAATCCAGATTTCACACTTCGACTAGCAGTGTTGAATTCTTCGCTTCCTTTCGTGGAATACTTTGTGTATCGGTTCTTGGAAGGAATTTTAGCTGGGCATCTGATTTTCGCTAGTAAGACATAACTTACTTGCACGTATGAGAGTCCTGCCATGAGGATAGCGAAGAAAAACTGCCAATATTAGACTTTGCAGGTTCTGGAAAACAATCTTTACATACCCCAATCCCAACAACAACTCCGTAACCTGCCCCCTGAGGAAGCAAAGGTGCAATCGCATCAGTGGCCATGGTCGCGAGCGTAGGAAATTGTAAAGGTTCACAGAAGGAAAGAAGTTCAGAGGTGCGCGGGAATGGTAGGTCCCATAGGGATATATACTTCTGTCAAACAAACTTCTATCATGACCTCAACCATAAAATATTCCATGGCCCACTTTCCTGCTCTCGCCCCAAAGCTTACGGCTAGTCTACAAGGAGTTATTATTCATTAGGAGGAAATGGATCGTCAGATTTCTCGATAAGCAAAAACGAGAGCTCAAGGGCGAATGAATCGAAGATGGAGAAGGGGAATTAAGCTCCAATGGACGATATCGGAACCCCGATTAGAGGTCGCCGGTGACGGTTGAAGGGTACCTTGTTCGTGAATCTGTATCGAAATCAGGTACACAACAGCCATTAGTGACCGCCGAACTAGATTCAAAATGCTGCAGCACCCAATTCGAAGCACATGATAAGGCTGTTCCAACCTTTACCACCAGATCTTGCATGATAATCATGTGGTAGAAAGCACTAGCAAGGAAAGAGCTTGTACAAATCCCGAGATAATGGAGAAGTCCCACTGCGCGATCTATGTGGAGGACAAAGTTGGAATTGGTTTCAGAGGGTGGCATATCAAAAAGGTACCCCTGAGGATTCTCTTATCAGATTGCAATGAGTTCATAATTCCCCACATGAGCTTTCCCATTCGAACGTTACCACAATTATATTACAGGGATACAGAGGTACAAACAAGCATGAAGCGGGCCCTCCCACTTTCGAGATAAGCGAATCTTGGTGCATAAAAGACCAATTGGAGAACACAAAGATATAAATAATCTGGTATGTGTACGAGTGTAAGCTCGTCATGAAAAAGGAAAGATAACACGACGAGACAAGCGAAGGTCTAGAGCGCAACTATGTACCTGAACATAAGTGGAGTGCTTCAGATCAGCCGTGCAAATCCGAAAGAAGTTTATTCTTGAAAATTTCATAGCTTAGAAGCTCTTATTTTCAAACTATCAGTTCTTCTGCCTTCGTCTGCCTGTTCAGCAACACTAAGACCAGGCAAATTAGCAGGCATGATTCTTCTTGGTGATGCCCCTTCAACAACAGAGTATTTTGAGAAATCAGTAACACCCTCATGGTTGCGCAAGAAATCTTCATCGAGGTCTATCAATCCGTTGACGTCCTTGACCGGTGCCCGAAGCATTGCAAGAATTGCATCCGAATATATGGTGGCTTTTCGAAGATCTTTAACCGTCTCCGGATCAATTTTGGTCATTGAAGCTGTGGCTGCCGATTGAATGGACTGAACCAATTAGTAATTTACTATCCGAAAATGGGGTGTAACATACTGAAGCGGGCCAGATACTGGTAATAGCCATATCCTTTTTACCCTCTCGCTCGAAATCCATGGCTAGTCCTTTGGTTAATACGCTCATTCCAACCTTACCCATCGCATATGCAGTTTTCCCCCTGAAGAATCGAGAGTATATGGGCGGGGAGACAACAATAATCCGAGCCTTCCAGCCATTATCCTTAAAATGTGGTAGGCAGGCTTGAATGGTGCCATAAAGGCCTTCAACATTGATGCGTTGCATGAGCTGGAAACGCTTCATGGGGGTGTTCTCGACGGATGCCCACCAAATTGCTCCAGAATTGTAGATGAGCACATCGATATGACCGTATATCTAACTATGTATTTAGCTGATATTCCTGTCTCCATATATCGCCACGGTCTCCGTACCTTTACGGTCTCATCCACGAGCTTTTGTACACTCTCAAAATCTCTTGTATCAACAGCTATAGCAGTAGCCGTACCTCCGGCCTCTTTGATCTCGCGCTCGACTGTGCTAATTGTTGATTGCTGCGAGTTTGGATCGGGAGGGAATGGGTTCGTTGCGGTTGCATCGCTCGTAGATTTCGCTGCTACCACAACTGCAATCGATTATTGGTATATATCTAGCTGGACCTGTAGACATACGCTAACCAGCATGTCCATTCTTTGCAAGATCAATTGCTACCTGCCTGCCAATTCCTCTTGAGGCTCCTATCACGAGGGCAACTTGTTGAGATGTCATATTGTGTAATGTGCTTGCCTAGACTTTACGACGGCCACGTAGAATTGATTGTGTTATTTTTTGGATATCATTCTTATGATAGCACAGAGCTGGTTTGATATAGGAAATACGGAAAGGTGAGGACGGCTTACAGGAGTATCTAACTGGAGTGAGAGGAGTGTGTTTACTGATCACCACTGATCAGCGACAGGGATGATGGGACCTCGGCAACTTGGCTTTCACGCCCCCAGAAGACAACACCAACAAGGTGTGAGTTTAAGATCTAACTTCTCTCATACAACCTCCATGATTAAAGATCATGGAATAGTTGAACTTAAACACCGAGGACCCAAAGTAAAAGTTGCTTATTCCCAGTAATACGCAATAACCCAATATCATCCCACAACACATCAAATCGTACCGGCAATATCTCGTCAAAATGGGAGGTCATATCGATTGCTACATCGACATTGCCTCATTCTACGGCTACCTCGCCTTCGTGTACCTTCGCAAGCAAAGAGAGAGCTTAGCAGCTCACAACGTAACCGTCGAGTAAGATCTACCACCATCTATCTTCTTATCAAAATGCCTACTCACACATACACAGGTTCCACCCAATCTTCCTCGGGGGCATCAACGTCGGTTCAGGAAACCAACCACCATGGACCCTCCCAGCCAAAGCCAAATACGGAAAATTCGACATGATTCGCTCAAGAAACTACCATGGAGGATTAAACATCGAACCACCTTCCTTCTTTCCACCCTTGACTTTACTCGTGAGTTCCCTTCCCTCAGTACCAGTATATCCGAAAATTAACATCTCAATAGCCTCAAAGAGCCCTCACCTTCATCAAATCCGCCTACCCATCTGAAGTCTTCGAAAAGATATTCCTCTTGCTCTTCCAAAAGCTCTGGACTCCACCATATCAAATCGATGTCACTAAGCCTGACTTGCTCAAGGGCGTTTTATTGGAGAGTAAGCTGTATTCGAGCGAGCAGGTTGAGGAGATCATGGGTAAAGCGGTGGATAAGTCTTGGAAGGATTTGTTGGTTGAGAATACGGGGAAGGTTTTGAAGTTGGGTGCTTTTGGGGCTCCTTGGTATGTTTATTCCTACTTACCAGTATTACGAATGAACGCTAATTAGATTTAGGATGTGGGTTCGTAATGATAAGGGAGAGGAAGAGCCATTTTTTGGTAGTGATAGGTGAGTTTTCCCTTCTTCAAATAGAATCTACAGTTTACTAACAGATATAGATTTCATTTCATGTGGGAGTATCTCGGTCTACCATGGCAAGATATCGAAATCCTGCCTCCAAAGAACGATAGCAAACCCAAGCTATAAAGCTCAAAGATCCAAGCAATTTACTTCAATTGAAATTGGGATTGGAACTACACAACAAAATATCCGCTTTTTGTAAAATAGACCAGGTAGAAAAGCACCCAATGAAGCAAATCAATCAATCATCATACTTCCCAATATGCGCCTTCATAACCCCCTCATCCTCCCCCTCAACATAATCCTCCCCCTCCTTCAACACCCTCTCAACCTCCTCCTCTACCCCCCTCTCGCCCTGCAACAAATCAAACCACCCACTCACCCCCTCCCTCTCCAACAATCTCACCCCCACATCCGCAACATCCCCCCTCGTAACCTGACCCCTCGCGCCAATCTTCCCAATACCCACCCGTTCCGTCTCCTCCTCATCACTCAGAATCCCCGGTCTCAGACAAATCCAGCCAAAACCCTTTCTCTCCCGTCCTTCCACCGTGAGGACCTCGTCGGCCGCGAGCTTCGCTTTATAGTACGTGGGCATGACCTGCGTGTTGATTTTCTGGACTTGCGACCAGTCTTCGTCGGCCCACCACGGGGCTCTCGAGCGACGCGAAAGTAAAGCGGAGATGAGGAGGAATTTGGTGATTGAGGGGCGGGCGAGGGAGGCGCGGATGAAGTTTATGCAGGAATCGCGGTCGATGGCTTTAGTTGTCTGCGGACCGCCTTTTCCTCCTGCGCCTGCTCATATATACTGATTAGCTTATTTCCTTCTTTCATTCTTTCTTATACACGTAACACAACTACCATCACCATCACCACCCCAGAACAAAATCGCAAAAAAACAACAACATACCAGCACTCCAAACAACCCAATCAGGCTTAACAACCATCCAAGATCCTCCCCGCATCCTCCACACTCTTAACCTCCCCCAGACTCTCCACCACCACATCGATTTTCCCCTTCCCCGGTCCGGGATTCTTCTCCGCTGCACGTAGGATGGCTGCTTTCTGTGCGGGGTCCCGGATGAGGGATGTCAAGGTCCAGTTCCGGGCTAGGATTTTGGGTGTCATTAGGAGGGACACTTTTCCGTGGCCGCCGAGGAGGAGGGTGTGTGGCATTGTTTTGTTTTGTTTGTTTGTTAACGTTGTAAAGGGTATGTGGTTGATGGGTTGATGGGAGGTTTGGGTATGATGGTCGTAGAGCATTGGTAAGGTAGGAGGGAGGTATTGAAGGAAGAAGTTGTTTGAGTGTATATATATGCAGTCGTAGATACAGTAAGTGAATACAAAAAGCGCAGGTACTCGTACTTTTCAGCTGAGCCCACCAACAACGTAACAGCTGGGGTTCAGCTCTCACTTATATACACTCCTCCATTTCCCCTCCAGACCAAGAATTCTTCCTTCCCCTTCTTTTTGCAAGAAATGATGATGATGAAGTAAAATCCAAGACCGATCATCACATATTAAATCACCCAAAAATCCCACTTATTACTCGAGTAGACCTTTCCAACGCGTCCACTGCAAAAAGAGTGAGAGAGACGGGAAACCCCCCAAAAAGTATCAACCCCGCAATGACGTTTTTTCGTAACCCCTCCCTTCGCGATTGCCAATTCTTCGGATTTACGGGTACTCTAGCCCCAGGTACAAATTCGGATTTAACCCAGAACCCACCCACATATCAAAACAAACCTGGTTACAAGCATTAAAGAATTCGGAGTAAAGAAAAAAGAAAAAAAAACAGAAAATACGAGTCGTAGAACTTATGATAGTACCATTCGAAATTGGTTCTATGTTCTCACTAATATACACATGAACAAAAGACGTAAACCTAGTGCACCAACTCCCCGTGCTAGCCAGTCCAGTCCAGTTCAGTCCAGGTTCCACACATCAAAGTCACGCCCAAGTCCAAACTCCAGTTAAGTGAGAGCAGAAAAGAAAAGAGTCACCCAACCACCAGCCAAACCAGCAGGTATCTTTTCCCACCTCCCAAAGAAAGAAAAAAGAGGCTATCTGATATGCATTATTTTCCTTCCCTATTTACTACCACCATATGAGAAAGCACCGAAAGCGCCTCCTGGTGTTAATGGCCCTCCAAGTCCTCCATTGTTGATATGTGATGGGGTTGCTGCTAGGCCTGCGTTGCTGGTATTGGGCGTGCTTGGAGTGCCATTTGTGTAGCTATTCCCATTTTGCTGGGGGGTGGTATTTTCCTGGAGTTGATTGTATTGGTGTTGTGGAGTAGAATGAGCTTGGGGAGGTGCACCATGATCGGGTAATCCCAATCCCCATACCTTTCCTATATGATCATCACTAATATCACCCTTGAAGATCTTGTCTCTCATCTTGAAGAAAACCTTGCCAGTTAATAATGAGTCCGAACCAGCTTGATGCGCTTGGCCCAGTCGTTTGACCTTGAAGGATTCAGCAAGGCTCTCGAGTCCTTGTTTTAATTCAAATGCCGACAGAATCGTCTGACCCTCTTGTGGAAGAGTTAGTTGGCCTTGAGAATGTTGTCGGATGGCGTATTTCATCAAGTATTTGATGTCGTAGATACTGGGGAAGAACTTTTTCATGAGCTTGTCAAACTCCGCCTCGTCGTCTGGTAAAGGTAGTCGCAGAAGTACTTTGGCGAGATATCCGAAGTCGTAACCACCATGGAACGATATCCACCGAACGTCCTCGTCACAAACTAACCCCGAGCTGATTAATAGAGCACCAAAATCGAACGGGTCAATACCCTCCTTATCGAGCCTATCAAATTCGACCTGGGCGGATTGGAGGGCTTCGATGGAAGCTTGTGAATACATGTCATCCTGCAAAGAGAATTTAAAATTGAACTGCCATGTATGCGGAATCTGTTGAGTTGAACCGTATTTTCGTCCAGGCACAGGCATATCGTTAGGGTCCATTGATGCTGGGGGCGACTCGCCATCTTCGTTGAACAAGGTGATGCCGAGTTGAATTATCTTCAATAAATCCACGTTACATCGTAGACACTGGTAATGATAGTCACTCTTGCCATTAAAAGCTCCCATCGGCCGCGCTACAACACCTGGAAATTCGGTGTCCTGGTGGCATGTCAGTCAACGAAGGTTCTCTCCTGGCGGGCAACACCTTCTCACCATTGCAATGTAAGGATACTTGGCCACCAAGTTTCGCAGATTGCCCATCTCCTCTTGCAGATTGCTCTTCCACACCTCTCGTATCCTGCCCGTTTTCGCAACCCCTCTCGTGCCGTGTTCACTCATGCCGTTGTGTCCTTGTTGGTGTACTGACGCGCCGGCAAAACTCCTCTGTGCTTCCTGACTTGCCAGCCCGATTCCGCCTGGCATTCCTAAGCCAGAGCCACCAAAGTTTCCTACGCCTATAGCATTTCCTGCGAAGGGACTGTTCATGGAATTGGCATTCATGAAACCAGGATTGCCGAGGGAGGGGGGAGGAAGGACTGGCGTATGGCCCTGAGAGTGACTCGGATATTGCTGCTGGTAATGGGCGAGATTATTGGGCGCGCCGGCGAAGCGTTGCATCCCCGGAGCCATTTTGAATCAGTGTGCTATGTATGCTAGTCCGGAATGGTCGAGGGAGGTATACGGTTTTCATAGGCGCTGCGTGACCTTGGACGAACGTGCGAAGTGGGATGAAGACGAGATGCGCGCGAGGAGGTAAGTGAAATGCTGGCGAGAGCGTAGATGAGTTAGGGTGGCTGTTACTGGAGTGGCCGCAGCAGAAGATTTCAGAGTTCAGTCCTTGAGTTTGTTGGCTGGGTTGGGTCGCGATGTTGATGCCACTCGCTTGGTCTTGCTCCTTCGTCGGTAGTGCAGTGGGCCGCCGCGATTGTCGGGTGAGTGTGATTGGCCTTCGATATCGCGATTTGCTTACTAAGGACCAAGTTTAAGGTTTAGCGCGCCAAGTCCCGACCTGGCGGCTCCAAGTAGAGGGCGAGCCCTGAAGCCTCAACTGCAATACTGATACAGCCTTGTGTACAATATCAGATCTGACAAAATGCAACTCACGCAGTAGGTGTTCAATATATTCTTACTGCCACGTTTAAGCTTTCTGCGATACTAAGCCCTCATACAGCATCCGCAGAGCCCCTCGGGCAAACCTCACTGGCTTCGACCCCAGAGCCTTCGTAGCATCCTCAGGCTCTCCAGCGAACGATCCATGGCGGAGGAGGTAGGCACATCGAATCTTGAGTCAATTGAGTGCAATTGACGCTAATGGGCTGCGTGCAGAGAAGCCTGGAGATACGCTGGACAGTTCACGCGATGGAACCGATTCAAATCCGCCTTCCCCGGATTGGGCATTGCGAGTGTGGCATTTGCGGCATACTGCGGATATGAGTACATGTTCTTGAAGGACGATCACGCACATGCGGAAGGAGGCCACGGTGAAGGCCACCACTAGATCCGGAGAGGGAGAGTGATATCGGGACTGCTGCATTGTACATATGGGACGAATTGCGCCTGGCGAACGACATGTCTTCCAATGGCGACTCGCCAAAGATTTCTTCCCGTCGGGCTCGAGGGGGGTTTTATGCTTCTTCCTGGATTCATTGGGATATTTGGTCAATGATTCATCGAGACTCGGCGCATCTGAAGGTGGGGAAAGGCAGAGCGAAGGGGTTTGGGGACCATGCCATGCTTTGCCATAAGAGAACAAGGACAGGAATGCGTCAATAGTAGCGCAATCCTTGTAAAGTACTTGAGAAATGTCCAAATACGTAGACTCACACGTCTTGGTCGTTGTGTCTCCTATGTGTTTCTGCTTGCTTCAACTTGAGTATTATTTCCTAGACAGCTACTTACCTACCTGTCCCTGCTTAGGTCTTGTGCACAGCTGCTACTGCACCCAGTATGGGCAGTCCAGGACCGCTCTAAGTGTACTACTGTATGGCCATGGTTACCTAGCACTGCCTAGGCAGGTAGAGATAGAGGCTGAGGGGCGAATGGCAGTCGGTCAAATTTAGGTTGGCTGGCTCCAGGATCTAGAACCTCATCGACCGCCTTCAAGTTGCTCTGGGCCACCTCTGGCCAACCTTGGAACTCCTCCCACCAATCATTTCACCACCAGTCGCATCCTCGCGCCAACGAAGTTGATAACAATGTAATCAATGCAGAAATTTCTCATAAAGCACTTATATATACAAATAAAGAACATGTTTGGACACCAATCCTCCGTCTTCATACAGTAAAGCCCTAGCCCTAGCTCTAGCCGTAGGCTAGGTGTGAGTAGGTATGCTGTGCATTAGCATTAGGTACTCGGTAAGATTGTGTTGCAACTTCGGGGGCTTCAAGCCTGGTGCGTGCCGCTCCGGGTGGCGACCGCTAGAGCCGCTGCGTTGCGCTAGCATAAAGAATTCCAGATTTCAATAGGGTCCCTACCCTACCGTGCCTACCTAAAATGACCCAGTCCTAGTGCCAGTGCTAGTGCCAGCCAGTGATTTGCCGATGTGATGTGGAAACAACAAAGTCTCCAGTTCTCATTTCTGTACCGTGCCTGTTTTCTCCTCGACCATGACAACGACGAGCCACCGAGGCAGCGCCTCATCGCCAGATCCCACCACGGCGTCGGCGATGCGTAATGTTGACCCAGCGTCTGAGACTCTTCGGGACATGACCGAGAGCAGGCGAGCTTTGGAGCTGCGTAGGTGCGTAGTCGTAAGATCTTACATGTCATTGTACAGTACTCGCAATCCAACGTTGACCCCTTGCCCTCTCGCCCTTGTCTTCTCACCCCCCCTCTCACTCCACCACCGGGCACCCCTCAACATCACCTCCACTTTCTGCTCCACTCTCACAAATCAATTCCTAACTTTCTGTCCGCCAGATTCTTTTCGCCTTCTCAATATTCCAAGCCTTCAGACGATTTGGGCTTCAATGAAAGTCTCAACAATGACGGGGCGCTCGATGCTTACGTCGAGACAGTCCTTTGGAGACTTCGCGGCAAACATGCCATGGTTAGGTGAGATATGCCCAGAATTCCTCGTATATCCCAAATCATGGCTAACCAATCTTTACCGATAAGTCTTGTTGATAGAGGTTAGTGGAATGTTATCATACATCTTCAAATTTCAATGGACGTTAATCTTGTTGTAGGAACACAATATTTCCTTGCGGGTTCTTGTCGGAACGCTGCCATCAATGATGATGATGACGACGTCGTTCAAGATAGCAAATGGTTTGGATGCTCAACTGTGCCCACCCCAGGCGGCCTCTGCGAAGTACGCTCTTCAATCAGTCCTCCTATTGAATACGGCTGATACTCATTAGAATACACTTGCTTTAGACGATGCAACTGAATACCCGATATTCGTTGTCCCGGATCTGTCTAAAGACGAGAGATTTGCCAATTTACCTGTTGTAAACGGCTCTGTTGCATCATTTAAGTTCTATGCTGGGGCGCCAATCACAACAGCTAGAGGAGTCAACATCGGCTCTTTATTCTTATTTGACGACAAACCTCGGGATAAATTGTCGCTGGACCACAGAAAATGTAAGGCTATTTCCTCCTCATTTTGCATCAGAATTGACTCCAATTCAGTTCTTCACGCTCAGGCCTCTAATGTTATGAAACATCTTGAGTCGAAACGAGAAGCTGCAGAACGGCGCCGAGTGACACTAATGAGCAGGGGACTCGCTATGTTTTTAGAGAAAACGTCCGAGGTGAACGAGGTTAGAAATGTTGATGACGAAGTAGATGATTCTGGGAATTCATTCCTCTCTGACGCCACAGGAAGAGAGCCATCCTCTATTTTGGATAAAATACGGATGACACTTGATCTCGCAGCAGAAATACTTAAAGGGTAATGATACGATTTAATTGCTCCATCTTATCAGTTCTTAGGCGAATGAGGGATTATCATGTCATTTCAACCCTTTTCAAATAACATGCTGATATACATCTATAGATCGCTGGAGCTCAACGTTGGTGGGGTTGTCTTCTTGAATCATACAGAATCCGACTACTCAGATAACGCATACAACGATGCGTATATTGACAATTCTACCGACCTTGGGAAGAAAGTCCAAAAAATAGAAGACTCTTACGCAAAGGCACCTCCGTCGACATCATTTGGCGGAGAATCATTATCTCAATTTGCGGTTCGGAGCTCCACTGATAAGCACAAGCCCGCAAAAATACTCTCAATGTCTGCCGCGAAGATCGCAGCCTGGGATCCTGAATCAACGGTCTTGGACAGTAAGACCTTACAGACGTTTATTAAAACCTATCCTAATGGCAATGTTTGGTATATGGACGAGGAAGGGTACTTTACTTCTCTTGAGCAAAATCAGTAAGTGTCCACTTCAATGATTCCTCGTTGCCTCACACAAAATATTTGATGCCCTAGGAATTGGTAGACAAGTGAAACTTTTGGGACAATATGAACAAATCCAGATGGTTAACATGATTGATCTGTCTGTGTGTCTCCCCCACATACCGAATCAAGTGAAAGAGTCACCGACTTACTTGAGGATGAGCGAATAGCACGGACTTTTACGTTCGATTCAATCTATACCCAGATGCTATTTTTTACGCTATGGACTTGTTGTTTTGGGACTGACCACTTGAATGCTTCACAGATGCCAAGAAAAGGGCAACGCACCATCCAGTCGCAAAGGATCCCTATCCCTAAGCGATGCCACGAAGCAAGCTGCAGAAGCTGCAATGCTCGGGAGTATCTTTCGGAAAGCCAAGCAGATCATTTTCTTGCCATTGTATGATGCAAGTGGAGGTGAAAACTTTCTTACTACCAACTTAGATCGCAGCTAAAGTCTACTAGATCGATGGTATGCCGGTTGCTTCGTGTGGAGCCTCTCTGCGGTACCCGTATTCTCCGTGGAGAATGAGATATCATATCTATCTGCCTTTACTAATTCCGTAATGGTGGAGATCAACCGCCTAGATGCAATTACCGCCAACAAGGTGAAGGGGGACTTTATCAGTAGTATTTCTCATGAGTTTAGAAGTCCTCTGCATGGGATACTCGCTAGTGCCGAGTTTCTTCGCGATTCTCCTTTGGACAGCTCCCAGACCGAACTGATCTCCACCATCCAAACATGTGGAAATACATTGCTTGTAAGTAATTTGCTTCGGGTTGGGCTCTTGGGGCTTACTGTCATGTAAGCACACCATAAATCACGTTTTGGACCACAGCAAGATCAACACTTTCGAGAAAACCGATGACAAGGGTGGGTCCATTCTTTTGACTCAAGCTGCAAAAAGATACACGCTCATTGAAATAGTAGGGTTATTAAATGGCCTTGTCCAAAAAATAAATCTAGCACTACTCTGCGAACAAACAGTCAATGGAATGATAGCTGCAAACGAATATCGCAGCCCTGCAAAAGATTCTACGGCCGTATCAGACCATATTTTAGATCCTTACCAGCCTCAAACTCACCTCGGAAGACGCAATCCTTTGGCCATCATATTAGACATTGAAAGTCGGAAATGGTATTTCAAAATCCATGCTGGTAAGAATGTATAGACCTTTACTCACTCATTCGCTTACTAATAAATCCAGGGGCTGTGAGTCGCATAATCATGAATTTATTTGGAAACGCACAAAAGTATACCGACTCTGGTTATATAATGGTACGACTAACAGTTCAGAAATCCTCCGAGACAACCGATATCATCAAGACAACTAACAAAACACTGCACTTATGTGTCCGAGATTCTGGACGGGGAATGACCCCAGAATATATGCAAAGAAAACTCTATCAGCCATTTGCACAGGGAGACAGTTTTGCGCCTGGTGTTGGGTTGGGATTATCTATTGTGTGAGTGTCTCCAATTTTCTAGCGTGGGGTCGGCTTCTAATGTGCGTAGTTGGAGCATCGTAAATCAACTCGGAGGTAAAATCCAAGTGAGAAGCGAGCTTGGGAAAGGAACTGATATCGAGGTCACCTTGCCTCTGGAAGACGCGGCAGATAATGAAGATGTGGATGACCAATTGACGTCTAGTAATCCTGTGGCTCGCTCAGATGACGCTCAAAATTATATTGATACGCTTTGTAAGCGTGCTCCAGACATACACATGAGAATATACCGGAAACCACACGAATCCGCAAAGCACGACGATGCATTTTGGGAGTGCATCGAGCGATATTGTTCGGATTGGTTTGGAATTCAATTTAATCAAGGCTTGTCTCCTGAGCCTGATCTTATAATTACAGACGAACATGATCCATCCAAACACTCTTGCCCCAGAGTTCTGTATGTTCACAACGCAATAGTTTGTGATACATACCACGATCGAGGCGAACAGATATCTGCAGACATCAGCTCTCCTGTTGGACCATTCAAACTCGCCAGGGCGATTCTTCGACTTCTCGACTCTAAGGGGATTTTCCCAAACCGAGCAGATGTTGGGACACAGACTCCTCTTGGATCAACAGAAGAACGGCTGGTGTTGAATGGGATCAAACTTACCGACTACGGCTTTCCACCGCTCTCGATTTCCGAGGTGACGGAAACACCGGTGGCGCTCACTGATATTGATGAGATGTTGGAAGAACTCGTTCCCGCACCACTCACACCGCGGAAAACCGTGTCGTCATTTAACGGGCTGCCACTTGTGCTACCCCCAAACCGGCGAGGTAACATCGAGATTCAAGCACCGGTCACAGCACCAATTGTTGTTCCCCAATACGTGAAGCCTGCGTTGGCGGTATCTGAGATACCTCCTACTAGTACGAGTACGGGCCTACGTATCCTGGCGGTCGACGACAACGTCGTTAATCTCCAGCTTCTCAAGCGCTACTTGCAGAAACGAAAACAGGATACCATCTCCACGGCGCGGAATGGACTCGAAGCGGTCGAGGTGTTCAAATTGGCTATGAGTGACCCGGAGGAAAGATTTCGTCGCTTTGATGTGGTGTTTATGGATATTTCCATGCCAGAGATGGATGGGTTTGAGGCTACGAGGGTGATTCGGCGGTTAGAGTCAGACGCCGGGAGGTCGGTGGCTGCGGAAAAGAGCGAGGGGAATGGAGATAGTGATCGCAGGGCGTATATCGTTGCTCTGACGGGATTGGGCAGTCGCAAGGATAGGGATCTGGCCGTGGAGAGTGGGTTGGATGATTTCATGACGAAGCCGGTTAGTTTTGTGAAGATTGGAGAGGTGTTGAGGAGGATTGCGGGGGAGAAGGAGAGGAGGGGGTCGATGGGCGGGTAAGTAGCTTATTGGCCTGGAGATGCTGGCTAGGTGTGGTTACTTGGGTTGTATTATTACCTGGTTTGATGTATGGCCAGGGTTTTGGGGATAGATCATGCTGTGTGTGTGAATGAATATACGAATGGACGGACCCCAGAGTTGGGGGGTCTTGGTTGGTCGGTCGGCTTTTGTGTTGGAGCGTAGATTATGTTAGATTTATGATGGATATTATGATACTCGTACTGTACATATCCTCTTGTCCCCTCTTGTTTTGTATTAGACTTCCTTTCACCTCATCAACATTTTTGCACGTCTTAGATTAGTGAGTGACATCCCATTAACGCATATCAATGATCTAGTTCAAAATCTCGCTTAATGGTCTTTCCCCCTGAATCTTCTTCAACTGTTTCAACAATATCAATGAATTCCTAGCTCCCACCCCAAGAAATATATGAAACTCTGTACATTCGGAGAACCTGACCCCTTTCTCTACTTTCTGCTTTCAAACACGATATTCTCTCATCAAGCAGGAAAGCTTTTTCTCACTTATGCAGTACCTTTCCACCCAAGATGTTGTTTCGAATGTATGAAGAACAACAATTCAAGAACCCAACAAGGGGCCCAAAAACTGATAGATCAGCGCCGTAAAATTCGCAACACAACACCCCTCATACTCTCCGTAAACCAAGGGGAAAGCAAGATTAGAACCAACTTTATCCTCATACGCAAGACGAACCAGTGTCTCCTTTGTAGGATCATACAATGGCCATCCATCTGCATAACTTAGCAACCCCTTCGTCGGATCTTTTGCGAAAGTCGTCCATGCTCCTTGGATATAACTCGCAATTTCCTCCTCGATCGCCGTCGATTTTCCGAATGAATCCGCGGTTCCAAATAGGACAGGTAGTTCGGCGCCATCGTATGCTCCTCCTTCAGAGCTGATGTTGGTATTTGGGAAGATACCGTGATATCGTTATCGCCAGGTCGGATTATTTGATGCTAGACTGTGGTTTGCGCGCAGGCCGGATGGACAGGTATATCCTGCCAAGTTATACGCATCCCAAGCCCAGTCTGGGAATGTGGTGTTTGATAAAGCTAGTTGGGTGCGGAATAATCCTCCTTCGTAGTCGGTGTTGCCTATCAAGACGGGGATATTGGCTGGTGTTCTTTGGGTATAGTCCGAGAAGATGATGGTGTTGTCTGCTGTTGGTCCGAAGAGGGAGAGTATGGCGTTTAATCCAGTGTTGGGAATGGCTTTCATTAATGCGTCGACTTCCACTTTGCGCATGCATGTTAGGATTTCGGTGGAGTTGGTAGAAGCATTGCCACAACCGAGAGCAGCAGTGGTGCCGTACCAATTTGAGGCAGCGGCTTCTTGGGTATATGGGAGACCAAAGCTGTGGACTGTCCCGGATTGTGCGATAATCCCTGCTGCTATTGGATCCGAGGCGCAGGCGTAAGAGTAGAAATCTGTTGACATGGCACCAGCTGATTGTCCGAATAACGTGATTCTTGCCGGATCTCCTCCAAAGTTTTCAATGTTATCTCGAACAAAGTCCATCGCAAAACGTTGGTCTAGTAAGGCGAGATTGTTTTGGGTGTTGGGATTTCCAGGAAACCCAAGAATGGACAAGCGGTAACTATCCAGATTCAGTAGACTTCTAGGAGAATATGTAAATGGACTTACTTGAAGGACACGATAATCACATCTTCCTTGGCGGTGAGAGCTGCACCGTTTTGTATGGGCAGTGATGATGTCCCACCGTTGAATCCACCTCCATGTATGAATACCATTACAGCTTTCTTTCTTTCCCCCGTTTGAGTTTTTGACCAGACGTTCAAGAAGAGACAATCTTCATCATATGCTACGCCTGGTGAATCACTGACGAGATTGAAGAATTGAAGTCCAACGGCGGTGATATTTGAAGCTGCGATTGTCTCTGGTTTGAAAGAAGTCCCTGATGGAGGGGAACTGCGTTGAGGTACGCATGAGAAGCCCCAAGACTCATCAGCTGGAGCAGTATAGCAATTTCTCTTATACTTACGAATGTAGATGCGTTGATTATTGAAGACCCAACATATTTCACAGGCGCTGCAAATCTCAGGTCTCCAACAGGAGTCTGACCAAAGGGAATCCCCAGATATTCAGAGACCTCAGGATGGTTTGGTGCAGCATGACCTAGGATATTTCCGCTGCTAGTATTTACGATTTGGCCTACTGTGAAATTGTTTGGAGGACAGTCGTCGGGTGCCTGAGAAGCAGAGGCGAATGACAGGAACCATGCTGTGAGGACACCGAATAATTTCATGATGAGACGAAGAGGTAACGACAGGCAGAACAAAAAGACAACGGAAATTCGAGGCTTTTGTGGAAAGGCATATATTTTGCGGGAAGGCGCAGTCCTGATATCTGCTTTGTGCGACTCACGACTTCCTTTCGCTTACGGTAATCTACCTACCGCAGTGCAGATTGTGCTTGCTCTCAATACATACAGAAAATCCAGAACTTCATATTCATATGTAGTATCATCTATAGGTGGCGCCTTTGAACTACGACAACCATGATTCATGTCTAGTTTGACTGTACACAGTATCGGTGTCACAGATGAAATGCGGATGGGGCCGAACTCGCTTGCTGGAAAGTACTGCGGGTAATCTTACAGTACGAGAGGAGTAGTAACTGAATTTGGCATCATCTCCGCAATAAAAAGACCGGGCATACAGCTCCGTTTTTCCTTCCTCCTTATTCCTAACTAATCAAGCAAATCATGATGGGAGAAGGCTCGCGGTGGACAAGAAAAGTGGTAGAGGTTCAATCTTTTTAACTATTAGCGTAAGTTAATTCTAAGTACTAAAATGTACAAAATATCCACAGGAAAACAATTCCCTTTATTGTCCTATCGTTTTAGATTAGTCATTTGAGTTGGTAAAGTAAGTAATATAATATAATGGTTTGTAGTTAAGTTAGACTGCCTAATATAAAAGAAGTCTCTAAGTAGCTTCGGTGGTGGTCTGACAAGCGATATGACATCAACTGAATGAAGGATCACTTTAGCAGAATATATAGATGATATGACGAGATTCAATGTAGTTGGCTTATAGCAGATTCTTTGTTTCTTTTCTGGGTCTTATTGACTTTAGATTTGTTATTAATATTGACGCCCCCGGGGCCTTTTTAGCAAATTCCACATCACGTGCAAATCATGTTTACAAGGATTTTCCTCAATGCACCTGTCTGATATACTCGTAAAAGGCTCCATTAAGCATTTTAGGTAAATCACCTCATTCGAATCTTTCACCTTAAAATTTGTAAGCAGACACTTGGAAGGAGTAGCCGAGAATTTTATTAGCTAACATGGAATGGAAGTGCTAATAATTTAATTCACGTGTTAGAAATGTGATGCCTGAAATCGGCTTACTGTGCCTTAGGTTGCGAACACGTACAAAGAATGCCCATCTAAAAATAGACGACAGAAGGAGGGAATCCACCGCCTGGAGCTGGAGCCGCTCGCGCTTTACTTTCAACCCCAGATTTGTTTCCCCATACTCCACTCTACACCTCGACCCCCGATCGAAGATCGATGATGGACTCCACAAAGACACGGCCAAAATTGGATGAGCTGCCAAAAGAAATTCTAATTCAAATTTTGGGACATCTTCCAACACAAAGAGACCTATGCGCCACCTGCCTAGTCAACCGTCGTCTGAACTCGGTTGCCGATCCGGTTCTGTACAAATCCATCCAATTTAATCAGCCCAAGCATCACTTCACTTTTTCCGAGTCTCTTACGAAGCGGCCCCGACGCGGTTCTCTCATTCAAGATGTGAGACTCGAATATCCGAGTTCTGAGTTGTCCGACTTCATCTTTCTCAAAGAAAGTCGCATTGATGGCTTTTCTCATACTATCTCGACAATGTCAAACCTGGAAACACTCGAGATTTCGGTTCCAGAATCACTTTGTCATGGTATTGGGACTTTGTTTAATGGTCCTTTTGATCTGGCATGCTTGAAAACTTGTGAGTAACAAATACTGTGATCGTTTTTGAAAATCATGCCACTTTGATCTCGAAACTCATATTGACATGCATTTAGGCTCTCTCTTTTATCAATGCGATGATGGTGGCTATTGGGATCTTAAAGAGAATATCCATATCTTTGGTCATCCTACACTTGAGAATCTCACCATCACTAGAGCAAAACTCGATGAGAAAGGATTTGAAAGCGTTGAACAGCCCTCAGAAACCGCATTGACAAAATTGCAACTCATTGAATGCGATATCAACGACGAAGCCCTTTCTGAACTGCTTCTGTTCCCAGACGCATTGAAGGAAATTACCATCACCCATCTCAAAAATCCTTCGCCGCCGCTTGAGGAAAGTGCTGACGCTACGATGCACGACTATTTTCTTGCCTTGACTTCAGCTCAACACACCTTGGAATACATCTCAATCGATTTCCCATCTCTGGGTGGAAATAAGGCTTTGAGATTGCGTGGCTTTGAGGAGCTCAAAACTCTTCATCTTCGAGATTACCAACTTTTCGGACAATCTTCCATCTCACCTCGACTACATTCCGTTGCCTTGCCGCCGAATCTCGAGACGCTCAAGTTCTGGAATCCGATTGGTGAGGATGAGGAGGTTGCCGAGCTTCTGTGCTATGAAATTGAGAATATCGGGATTATGGGTCGAAAAATGCGATGGCTTATTATTGAAGGAGAGGGAGTGGTGCCGCCAAAGATTCATGAGGCTTGCAATGCTTCTGAGAAGCATTTCAAACTAGAACTCCAGTGAAGCGGTACAATAATGGATGAAGCTGGTCACAGGTTGAAAAGCTTCGTCTACATACGACTTGCTGAGTGCGGCGGTGTTAGGGACAGCACATTTTCGGGCAAGTGAAAGACCAACCTGGATACTCAGGTACACTTGGTATACAGGTATTGTTCTTATTTATCTCTTGGTATATTAATCGCTAATCACGTTGTGTAGCTGGTTTCATACACGATAGATAGAGCGTAAACCGTCATTTTCATAGATTATAAATTGGGATAGGGTAGAGAGCAGAGAAAAGTCCTTTTTTCGCCAGAGGTAGACAGTGTTTTGATATTGGGATTCTTTAGAATGATACAAATGCGCGTAGTAGATAGATACCCCCTGTTTCTTTAGAAAAGATCAAGAATGCATGGATTCGAGACTTTCACCAAGTCCCGTTAACTTGGAACTTTTGTTAAGTTTTGTCTGTTTCCGTGCTTTTCCCTCGCCTTTTTTACGTCGCTGCTTCGTAAAGACTGGGTGGTGGCATCGGTCTCTACGAACCATATACTAGCGTATATGTTCTACTAATTTGTCCCACATGTTTTTCCATTAGAAATTTCGGAACTTGTGTAGTGTCCGAATATCTAGCAGACTTGGGCACCGATATATAGATGTGATAATAAGGGGGTACTCGATATATATATCGTACACGTGAGGTGGAAAATCCGTAAGTCCGACCCGGACTAATAAGTGTGCTTATAACTTAGACCCACTAATTATATTATAGGTACTACTATAACGCTTGGATTTCAACTACTATTGATGCGAGAACTTTGTTTTACTTATAACTAAAATTTATTTAAGCCTTCTAGGTCCTTCAAGTGTTTATTACAAGAAAGAGGTCACGTTTTAGTCATGTGACCCGACTATAAGTCCTTTTCTTCTACAATTTGCCCTCAAAACACCCCCAAAAACTACCCTAAGATACGATGATATCCTTAGATCTGATCCGATCGATATCGACATCGTGGAACTAAATATCGATATTATATTGCGATAAATATCGCGAGATGCCGATACTTATCGCATCGACGCCCAAGTCTGACAAGATACACTTTTAGGAAAGTTTTTAAGCTCAACCGAGAGTGCGGTCTATATGACGTACTCGGCATTAGAGCCTTATCCCCCGGCTCTAAACCTTCCATATATCATCCCTATATTGAAGTCCATATCTCTCTATCTTTTTACCGCCATTAGTGATGGTAAGTACACCTACTTTCGAAAAGCCTACCTCCCGGACCTTTCTGTCCTACTCTCTCTCCCTCTTGTGGGAAAGTATAATCTTATGGTTCCCTCTATAGAGATATATAGATAGATGTAGAAAAAGAATAGAGAACATTAACTTAGTAGGCATTTCTTTTGTACCTAGGGAACTTACGCTGCCCCTAAAACCCCGCCCACTCTACTAGGATAATAGGATTATGACATAACGTCGATGTAATGTGAAGTTAATACTCTTTTGACTTCGTTCTTTCATTGGACTGTGCTCCCACAGGAATCATATTCTAATTAATAACCCAGGCCGAGTCTTGTTGGAACAGAAATAATGTTACACGATCCTAAGCCAGGTTGCATACTACACTGCACCAGGGCAGTAATGGAAAGGGAGCCTCTTCTTCTGACACCGATTTTCAACTTCAGTCAACCAAGATCGCGAGACGGATTAGTGCTTACCATCAAAACAGTCAGCATTCACTTTAACTTATATCCGATGGTCTCAAGCCTAAACTTCAACCGATTCTGCGAATGAACACACACCCTCTGGTCATAACGTCAACACCATACACCCAACATGGTTGAGAGGGCCAACGCATCGAAGTCATGTGGGCCATGCAGGTCTCGAAGGACCAAGGTAATCTAAGAGACAAGATATTTGTAGTTCTAAGAGATACTGAAATCCATCAGTGCGATCTTGGTTACCATTGTGGCCAATGTGTGCGTGGGCAGTGGAATTGCACACGAGAGGTGCCGAAGTTAAAAAACATTAATGCCTTTGGAATGGGACGATTCAAGTTATCGACGGGGACCTCCAAAATAAGACCTGAATTCGATTTTACATCCGATCCCAAAAGAGCCATTTTGGCAGTCACACCACATTTGTCGGAAGCGCTCGACTCCCGAGCTCTGTGTTACTTCCGTGCTAGTTTTGTGGTCGGCCAATTACGGTCTTTCGTTTACCTCGAGGACTTCTACCAGAACGGAAGAGATATGAGCGACTGTCTTTCACTCAGCATTCAATCTGTGGGAATCGCGTGTCTAGCAAGGAACAGCCATTCCCAAGAGCTGGAAGCAGTCGCTAGAAAAACTTATGCATCGGCTCTCCAATCCCTCAATAAGTCCCTGAGTTCCCATAAACTCACAAAGCAAGACAGTACCCTATCTTCGGTCATGGTGTTAAACCACTTCGAAGGACTCCTACCATCGAAGAACTCGACGACACAGGCATTGTCAAGCCATCTTCAGGGGGCCTCCGCGCTCCTGAAGATTCGTGGACCTGAGCATTTCAGATCTAGGATTGGTTTGGATCTCTTCGCCCACTTCACCTCGTACATCACGCTTATTTGTGCTCAACATGAACTCCCAATACCAGCAGAGTACTTGGAACAAGAAACATAGAGACTTTCGTTGATACAACCGACCATACGTGGCGTTTCATGAGCTCTATAGCCAACTTCATACAATTTAATACAGCGGTCAGAGAAGGCACTATTAGCACTCCAGATGCCATGATAACCTGCGCCAGGGCACTCGATGAGGAAGTCGCTGGGCAACTTTTTGATTTTTCACTATGGTGGAACCCGAAAACCATCATGATAAACTCGGAAGTGAAATCCGAACTGGTGTATGAATCGTATTACAATGTCTATAAGGATTACCGCGAGGCTGATAGCTCAAACATGATGAGAGTAGCACGCGTTATTTTATCCGACATCCTCACAGATTGCGAAGAGTTGCGGAGGAAAGCCTGCCCGAATGAAAAGGACGAAGGAACACAACCCGGACTAATCACCGAAGAAATGACAAGCCAAATATGTGCCAGTGTACCACAACTTGCTGGCTACATACCAACTCTTTCGTCACCAACACCACACAACCTACCACGCAAACTCCCATCTTCAAATTCTGCAGCGGCGCTATCACTGTTATGGCCGCTTTTGGTGCTCGGAAATTCAAGAAACATATCCGCCAAGACGAGGGAGTGGATTATTGATCAACTCAAGACTATTGCTCTGGCCTACGATATGGAAAGATGTTGGGATGTTATAAGAATTTTAGAAATGAGTGAAGAGGAAAGAGCCAAGATCAATATCTGGAATGTCTTTGAGAGTAATGTGAGCAATAGTTATCGCAGTTTCCGTTGTTAGTTGGGTATTCAAACAAAAAAGTGTCATTTAAGCGTACAACTACTGGACTACTAGTTAGTTTAGGGTTTTAGGGTACAAAAAGCTATGTTTTGTCAATTGATGTTATAGGCCAGTAAAGTCTTTGTTACTGTTGAAGTGGATGCTTCTCTCTTCCGTATTGATTCCGAAGTCATCATGACATTAAACAGTAGTTACTATTATCCTCCTAGTTTCAAAAAAGCGATTCGGAGAAAAAGTGAAGGCCTTAAAGAGTCGAGACCAAGGACCCTGGTAGCAGCGCTGATTGGTAGAGCACTTATTCAGAAGTGTTGGTGGAAGAGGCTCAAGTGTCCAAAAGGCTTTAGAACCGGTACTATTGCCATAAGGCGGAAGGGTCATCTTGAAGTGTTTGTAAACCTTGGTAAACAAGGGTTGTGAGGATTGGAAAGTGCTTGTTATATATATAATCGTCTAAGCGAGCCACGTTTTTTTTTCCGGGTCCTCCACATGAGAAGAAAGCTTTGTTACGTAAGTACATGGGGTGGAAAAATAGGTTCGTCCCTTGCCTCGGAGCTCGACTAATTGCGTAACAAGACCCCTATGATTGAAAATAACCATCATATGAAGAAAGTGTGGAGTGATAGACGCGAAAGATTAGACGACGAGGGAATTTACAGTCGATAGTGTATATTCGATGTTTGCACTAGCAATGAACCGTCCATGTCAGAAGTAAGTTCAAACCCTAAAATGAGCGCAGCATTCTCGTCGCAGTCCATGACATTAAGATTGGTGAACGGAGAGGGGAGTTGTGGAGGTTGAGTCGTCCCAAAGCACCAGTACTCTCCAAAAGTCGCCCTAGGGAAAAGCTGCGAGGTCAAACCGAGTGATGATGCCAAATTTGTTAGAGACCCCTTCTAAAAACGTCCCAGAGGTCTGCGTTCTCTTTCCAAATGGCGTTCATAATACGACCAGCTTGAAAATTCGCCGATAATACCGCAAACGATACCAAACCTACCGTTGATACTTGCGCTTCCGGCAAAGACGTGTGTCTTTCTCCGCGAATCGCGAAATTGGGGGTTGTACCATTGCTAGATAACAGCTGTACAGCAATTAATACCTCTTTAGTTATCTTCGGAGATGATGTTTAAGTCGGGGCAAAGGAATTTTCATGTGTAGACCAGCATGAGCTCGTAGACAGTACATAGTCACTACTGTTTGGGTATGGAACTTTGCCAACGGTCTAGAGCGATAGTGACATGAACTGCGGGCATCTGAGATCCAGGGTGTGATTTCTGAAACAACCAAAGAACGCCGCTGGAAATAATGGCGAAGCGGCTCAGAGGGCGACTCTGCTATACAATACTCTGAATGCCATGTGTGAGTCCATCGAGAGGTCTTCCTTGGGGAGAAAGTGACGAGGTTAAAGACTGGGAAGTTACATTGTGCTGTGCTCTATGGGCAATCATGGGGCAATATTGGCAAACAGTGAATAAGCGTCCCCGATCACTCAAAGCCTGCTCTGCTCACCTTGCTTCCACGCAAGCTGTAATATGATTCGTCACACACAACAAAAACACCCGCAATTTACGCGAAATTTCCACACATATCCAAATGACACATCCACCGCCACCAAAAACTGGGATTAAATCTGTCAGCCTGGCCCAGTCAGTTAGTGTGTGCTCCCACAAGCGCCAACTTCCAATGCACCAACACCACTAACTGTTTCGCAAACGAAAATGAAGAAAATTGAGGAAAAGAGAGTGTGCGCCGCCACTGGCCTGCGTGGATAGATTTGCTAAGCTAAATATAAAACTCAGTACGTCTGGTTTTCGACCTGGCCGCCGAATGGTGATGGTTTTTTTGCTATTTTTGGGGGGCTCTGGGAAATGTCTGTTGCAGATTGTGGGCATGGGAGAACGCTAGGGGCTATTGAACGAGGATAATAAGGAGGGGGGACAAATCGAAAACTGAGGTAGTCTAGCATTTGAACCTTGCTAGGGGCTCCTTTGCCATCTTTTACTACTTTTTACTCTTTTTCTGTTAGGAGGTTAGAAGAATGTGTCGGATTACTCTTTCTTTCTTGTTTTGTGGATTAGCAACTACCTATAGTATAATGGGTATTCAATGTCGTCTTTTTTGTCCACCAATAGCATGATACTAATTAGCACTTAGAGATAACATTACTTATCCAAAATTTGTACTGACTAGGAATTTGGTCGGCCAGATAGGAGCTCTTACATACAAGTTTAGCGTACAGTTTTGGCGAACAACTATGTATAACAAAGAGAGAATACAACACTGAGATAGATTCTGACTAGCGTCTTTGCAAGAGCTAGCCGTATCACAAGGACTATCTACTCAATTTACCAAGTGCTGTTCGCAATTCATTTCTAGCTCTTTCTAATCGTTCCTTCCGCCCAGTCTGTTTTAGACGCACCTCCGCCAGACAGAGCTATGCAAGTGCTACGCTAAATCCTTTACGTTCATGCCTACGTGTTCCCTCCTATTCTCATCTATAATCTTCGGAAACTTTAATTCAGAAGTCTTTCGGTTTGGTCTACTCGAAGGCCGAAGCTCGTTACAGACTGGAAGAGCGAGGTCTTATTGAGGTTATACTACACTCCTAACAACATTACATTTGCCCTAGCATTATCAGCCTGGTCAATCTTTCCCGGCCCAAATCCCCCATCAAGCTCAATATTCAAGTCAAGAGTATCGTTTCCATAACTTTACGACCTTAAGTAATCCCGAAGCCATACACTTTTGTTCTCCACATCCTGGGTTAGCTGTTATGACTAAGACCAACTGTGACTTGATTATTAGCACTAACTCAATATTCCGGGAAAGGCTTTAGCAATGACGAGTGTCTTCCCTCCAATTTATCCTTCTCATCCTAATTCTCCAAAATATTACACGAAAAGTCTACGCTTACATCTGGTCTAATCTCCAGCCCAGCCAACACCACACGGTGGATATAGTTAATCAGCTCTTTAGATTCCTCCTCTTATCGCATGTGGCCTTTGTTTTACTCCAAATGGCGGCTTCGAAATGGAGATAATACAAATTGTCACCAGCCTTTTAGAAGTTAGAACCCCTCGACCCATTTATTGGGCTGTATTGAAACCAAAGATTAGTAATTTTCGCCTAACTGGGGGTGTTGAAGAATATCTCTGCGATTATCATAGGGTAGTGGAATATTCTCTTCCTGTAATTCTATGTTGGTTTTGGATTATGGCTCGGGATCTTCGTATCAATAGCAGGGCCAAAGTTCATGTCAAGTACCCGTCCCCCCGTCCATGATATTGGTGTAAAGCTGTGAAACTCTAGCGGTGAGTGTGGCCAAGCTCCTTCTATATGGTTTATAAAGTTGGCAGAGACGCGATGATCGCAAGTGGAGTTATCAGAGTATTTGTTTTAGTGTTTTGAGCGGAGAGTACCGGCACAGTATATCAAATATGATATTCAGGATGTTTACATAGGTTATTGATCCCTGTAGGATGTGGCAATTGAGCCCCTGTTCAAAGCTTGTAAAACACTATTGACATGTGATGAGGGGTGATTTTTGTAATACACCTGTGATAGATTTGGTTAAGAATTCTTACGGCTATAGGCAGACTATTGGTGGAGTAGGTTTAAAGTGGTTAGAACAGATGACCGACCTTTTGCAGCTCCTGGCACATGGGCACTTAAGTATTGTAAAAATGGAACAGGCAGCTAGGTAGCTAGGCAGTAGATGCTCCATCATTATGAAGGCAAATAACCGTCGCTGGTGCCAACGACTTGGAAGGCAGTCATCATGGCACGCACCCGTACGACTGCGGGAGGATACATGCGTAAACTGAAACCACTGGCCCAACATCAAAGAGACAAACGGAACTTTCTTCATTGTTTAAATCGATATCACCCGTACTCCTTGCCCCATCCCATTCCATCCCATCATAACACATCCCATCATATTCTACACCTTGTTCTGGTTATTCCATGCTATATCATCGCCGGAGTTACCGGATCCAAGAAAGAAAAGACCATGACCACCAGGGTATTACTACCACAACTGCGCCAAAAACATAAATACAACCCAACCACCCTTCCGTACAACCCAAACCCTTTTTTCGAAAGAATGTTGGAACCTGAACCCAAAAGAACATTTATGTGTAGAAGTATGGATGTCAACAATGAAGCTGTGGGGACTGCGTGGGCCTTGAGCTCAACCCTCCACTTTTAATTGCGGTTTAGCTTTGAACTCTAAATCTCAGGATAACCCGGTAGACTCAACGACAGACGCACCAGCACCTCAACGACATCTCTACTACAATCTCCTACCACATTATTGACCAGCTTTTGTCACCTCCTATTTCTCTCCAACGAAGAACACCTTGGAAGGTGGTTTTGAAGCACCACCAGAGGGCGCACTTGACGTCGTCGATGCAGTATCCTGCCGGCTGAAAACCGAAGGTCGGATGGAGCTCCTTGAGTACTGGGAGGATCCGGCGATGGTTCGCAGGCTCTGGCGTTCTAACATCTCGTCTCGTGTTGAGCGGACGGGGCGTGGAACAGCGGAGATGGGAGAAAGATCAGCAGTGTATTCGCCTTCATGGAGGTATCGGTTTCCATATGAATTTTGATTCCGCGGCGGGAAGAATTCCCCACGGGCGCCTCCATTACGTGTTTGTCCACTCTGGTTACTCGAGTGAGTTGATGAGGCAGAGCCCTTGTATGACCACTCTGCAGATGCCTGCGCGTCATACAATCTCTGCCATGATTGGTTCTCCCGCTCACGATATTTCTGCCTTCGTTCTTCGTCTTTTGCTTCTTTGTCTATTATCATTCTATTTGTTAGTGGGTATCTTCTTACATTATACAATGTGGTTGGAAACGTACGCGAGTCTTTATAGTCTCTCTTGAAATGCGTGATTGCCCTCATCGGGTTATCGACGGGTTCGTTGGCTCTCTCGTTTCGTTCTACTTGCTTCGCCGTGGTATATTCCCTTCCAAGGATGATTTGGGAGACATCGCTATTCTCTAAGATCTTCAATTTGACTGTTCGATCAAAGCCAATTTGAAGGTTTTCCAGGTGTAGCATGACGTACTTTTTGGGGACCCATAGTTCTGCGAACAATGGAGATTTGTATGATTTGAGTCCTCCAGGAATGACGATTTCCGAGATGTGGGCGCCCTCTGCTAAGAGAAGATCAAGTGTCGCTCGAGTTATGATACTGGTTGAAGAGCCGGTGTCGAATAGGGTAGCAATCCACACCAAAGCTGCTGCTAGGACTTCCACGTAGTTAAAGTCTGGCGTATCATCGCTATCCTCGCTCGAAAGGCTTCGTCGGTCTGCTGCAATGTTGGACTCTGTGGTAACATAAAGTGAAACGTGGGATTTGTTGCCAGTGTTGTGTTGATGTCCTGTGTGGTAGTTGTCACAGTTTTCCGACCTGATGTCCTGGTTGTCGAATCTTCTGGTAGTGGCAGATGGGGGAGGCGGTTCTGTTACGGTTCTAAAGGACCGAGTAACATCGAATGAGCTGACCCAAGACTTGATGGAAGTATTGTCACCTTGAGCCTCTTTCACATTGTCGTTTCGTTGCCTATAGGCGGGGAAAACGCCCTTTTCGACAGAATTGCCAGCTGATGAAAGTTGTTTTTTGGGCCATAGGGGAATCTTGATCCGGTTGAACCAGTTGTATCAAGGCTTACAGGGGCTCTTCTCATTCTGCGAAGCGTAATCTGCCGTTGGGGGTGGTGTATGTGGTTCGATGGTGCGTTTTGGGGATTTAGCGGTGTTGATGTGCTTCGAGGAGGGAGGTGAAGCCTGGAACAGACTGTCGTCGGACTCTACTGCGATAAATGACGACGAGGGAGTACCTGCAGAGGTGAAATATTCATTGGGAGGAGGGGTTTGAGCTCCCTTTGCCTGCTGCAAGTTTCTCCCTTGCTGGAATGCAGTTGCCATTCCCCCACCACCCGAGCTTTTGGGCATACTTGGTGTGTGAGGACCTCCGAGTCCTGAAGGCTGAGTAGAGCTGTGCTTGATAGTCATCTACACTTCAATAACGAGTGTTGTCTTCATGCTGGTTGTGTATGGGGTGGGAAGTGTGTGGATGAGCTCTGAGCTTTTTGCGGAAGACGGGTTTACTTAGCGCGATGCCACCGCAGGGACAACTGCTGTGAGTGGTACGAATTCTTCAATTTTTCAGGGTGAGCATTGTCATAGGACAGTAGAAGCTGTTAATACTTTAATCAAGACGATATGCAAACTCTTGGAGATTCAATCCAAGATATTAACTTGGAACGAAGAAATATTTTATTGTATTCATCTATATTTTATCCAGTAGAGGGACGGCATTAACTACCACGCCCTGTGAAGTGTAGCCCGTGGAGCTTAATTGATGAAGTACTCTGATTCTGGGAAGTTCAAGTCGCAATGTTAACAAAGCAGGTCATCAGAAGAACAACCAGGCACTGCTTACTCCAAATATCAAGCCCATATCGTCCATTTTTGGTTGCCTCTCAGCTGCACACAGGAACTACTGGTGCAGGCAACTTTTGAGCCACACTATCTGCTCTACTTATCGTCCCTCAACATCCCCCAAATCTACAGGCCGCTCTTCAAATAGTTCGGCTCTATTATAATCATAATATTTATATTTATTTCTTACGCGGTTTATTTTCAAAAGTCAGAAACCATGGCGTCAATTCCACTTCAAACACACCAGCTTGTAAAGCCGTGCTAGCAAAACCTAGGGTTCTACCCTATTAAAGCCCTGGAACCTGGGAATTCTCAAATCCTCTTTCCGGGAATTTTCACAGCCTGCCAAGGGGGTGCCTACTATGTCTTAGCGTCAAAATTACCCCTGCACTAGGTAGTTTGCATCAATATTAAATGGGGCGGTACTTACCCCGTACGAGTACACTGAGTAAACAGAGCTTTAATCCATTTGGTTCACCGAGGGTTGCTTCACGTGATTCATGTTGAGAAACCCGAGGCGCACAGCCTCCTCGCATCTCATACATGAACCAGTTGAGTTATCTATCTTCTCCTTGGATTCTTCACTTTTCTCTTAATACCTTTCCAAATATTAGCAAATCAGGGACTCGAACCCGAGGGAGACCAAATGTCCGGGTATACACATCTCGCAAATTTTATGGCAGAGAAGGACCACCCTATTCTTCGAAAGTATAAGACTCTTGCGGCTCGGGATTTACTGTTTTTGCAGGCTGAGTTATGCCATCTCGAGTGGAAATATAAATCAGTCTTGAATGACGATGAGGCTCAGGAAGATGAGAGGCAGTTTCATGCTCGGGACTGGATTCTTTTGGAATCCTCTGAACGACGTGGACTTGGTGGGGAGCAGTGGGCTATTGCGCTGGAAATAAGAACAAAGTTACGGGAATATTGTGAGCCTCATCCAGCCATATGTATTGTCTATCTCAATATATCCAACATACCTGATTTAGATGGGGTTGTACTAATAAATGATAAGATGATGCGATGTTGAAATACTCCCATATCGCCTCGCTTCCCCAGCCTAAAGAATCCGAACGGAGTTTTATCCACGACTGGACCCAAGACCCAAGTCTAGGAGGAGGATGCGGTTTCGGTGGTCGATCTTGGTAGCCGCAAACAGCCATCGATATACGAGGCTATTTATCAAAAAGATCTTGCCATGCTCTCAGATAATCGTGGGGAGAATGATCTTTTTACCCGCCTCATTGCTGGGCCTCTTCTGAGCTGTTTTCATTTTACAAGAACCTATAGAATGATATGCATATTCTACCATCCTCCGATGTACCTCGTTTCAAGTCCACTAACATACTTGTACTTCCTATTAGAAAACAAACCCACCTAATCCAGAAGCTCCTCCAACGCTCCCGAACGCAGATCCAGAGACCCCTGGCTTCCACTATTACGACAAAAATAAAGTCGAGACAGTAACCAATATTCTAGGTACCATACTCTCGAGTTTGGCACCCCTGGTGTCGATTGTGGTGTTGAGTTATGTGACTAAGCCGAAAGCGAGATTGGGGTTGATTTGTGCTTTTACGTTTTTGTTTAGTACGTGTTTAGCTATGGCTACGAGAGCGAGGATGGTTGAGATTTTCGCTGCTACTGCTGCGTGAGTCTTTTGTTTTTTTTACTTCATGGTGTGTTGGTGGAGGCTTGTTTACGGAGAGCTAGCTGAAATGCCGAAGAATGCTGGGGAGGGGGTCTTGTATTTTGCTGATCGTTTGTTTGAATATAGTTTTGCTAGCGTTCAGGTTGTGTTTATTGGGGGCTCGAATAGCACGATTTAGGATTGTAATGCTTGGTGGTTGGGGTTGGGGGGTGTCTATCTACATTGGGTTTATGGTATATTTATGGCGTTTAGTCATTAGTGAGTATTTTTTAGAGTATTCGGGGTCTTGAGTAAGAGCAGGTTATCTTGCTGAGAATATCCAGTTGGCGATTTGGGCAATGAACTTTGGGGTTCCTGCGGGGTACTGGTCCAAAATACGAAGATACCATCTCATCTGCTTCCTCAAGGCTTAAAGCGTCTCAAAATCATACTGCTACATGAACCAATTAAGTTGTTTAAAACTGTTTCAAGTTGAAAATATTAAATTAAGTCTTATAATTTCTTGGTCAGACATCCATGCAATAAACGTACTACTATCATAAATATCGGAAGCTTCCGCAAGCCCACGCTTTGAATTAAGGCGGCAGCGTCATTTGTTGGATTCTAAAAGAAGGAGAATGAATTTTCGGTGTGGATACAAGAGCTACCTCAGATTGAATGAGGCTGCTAGAGCACAAGGCTTAAGCGGGCGGAAAATATTGTGATAACGTACACAGATAAACAGAGCCTGGGCGTAAGGTGTCTGCAGTAGGTTGCATCTATAATGGAAACCTTTATAGCAATTAAGGGCCATCCATAGGTTATATCTAATAAATCTCTGTTTGGAGTCCATTTGCGTTTCGTCATTGTTTCTCTCTTCTTTCCACTTAAAATGTTTACTAAACAATTACACCTGTTGGTTTCACTAAGCAAGTGAAGTGATACGGTATAACTTCTTTGATTTATGTTCGTATGGCTTTTTCTGAAAGAGACTGTGTGCTAGCTAGAAATATATGGGTGTGTATGCGGCTATCTTAGACAATATCATGTGACTTTCCCCCCTGCCACTACGCGAACATCGCGACAACACCTTTAGGCTTTACTTGTTAGATACTGTACTTCACTTAACAATGTTTCATGATTTTGATTCACTCATAAAACTGGGATTCAAAACTTAAAATCAGGCTCATTGTTAATATTTAGGATGCATATAGTATAGACATTCGAGTTGGGGGCAAGCAACACTATCACGTCTTACGCTATATTAGAGATACAATAGCAAAAGATGCGCACCCTTATGCTACATTACTATTACAAGTTATTCATTTCTGGCATTTATAGAGCTATTTTTTTTGGAATGGATTACTATTTTCCGGGGGTGGGGGTTGGGGTGTGTTGCACTCATTAATACTAGGCGGCGGGCATTCAGAAGAATTTGGGTTCTATTGACGTGATTAAATCATTTCAAGATAGTCATTATTATTTGCTCAGATACATACATATATATATATATATATAAAGACATTGTCCCTAGAAAGTTTTGAGAGCTTGATTTTTTTGGTTTTTATTTGTCCTTATGTGGAGATAGATGTGGCCAAGAAGTGTTACACATATTTGATTTTGCCAGTTCGCTAGAAACTTTCTTCTTATGATAGGATTCTTCGTTCGTTGTTAGTTGCCGCTTGGGATGACTCAATCCAATGACAATGATAATGACTCTTCGTATGAATCGTACTCAAGGCACATACTTCGCCTCTCCCTTACATATTGGATTTCTTTTATTTCGCATCACTCGACAGGCTTAAAGCTGCCTGGGTAAATTTGAGGGAGTCTAGATGCAATGCGAGAGATTAATGCACCTTCAGGGGGGCTGGGAAGAGGGAAGGGAATTGATCGCCCGTCCTCAAGTAAGCTGACTAAGCCCCTGTAACCGTTTCTCAGTGCAGCGAAAAATGCGTAACTGAAATACTTTATTCAGAGTCAGACAACACAAGTACAAGTGTACAAAAAACCAATAAAACATGGCATTCTCCTAGGCGACATTTAATGTAACTCTATAGTGGGATCCCTCTTCCCTGAATTACGGCTGAGTCTGATGACCAGGGCTAAATTCCCAAAAACAAACACGACGCTGTTAGGTTGCACTGCGCCACTTTAACCGCCACGCTGACAGACAAAAGAGCCCAAGGGAGAGCCCAGCTGGATGCACAATAAGTAAACCACAGTATTCAGTATATATTTCAACTTGCGTCCGCTCTCTTTTCGCAGAGCCTCTTGGGTTCTCTATTTACCGTAGCTATGCAAATGATCAAGGGCTTGATGAGGGGTCGCAATACCAACGACCGAAGAGACAGAAATCCACGGTATATTTGGAACCCAACAGAAATGCTTTCAACGCGATACTAATACCTAAGCAGCACGAATCCGATTTAGAAATCAAAATATGTTATCATGGGACCGTCGAAGAAACCGCCAAGGCAGCAGATATATCAGGAAACGACCGAAACGAAGTGTCCTCGAAATTCGTCGAGCACACCCTCAAATACTCAGATGATATAAACCGCAGCGACGAGACACATAAGGAGCCATGGATTGAATTATGTTGGAGGTTTAGTGGGACGGAATATGGGCCGGATGGATTGAGGAATTATCGATATAAGATAGAATTCGACGTGATGGATCCCTGGGAGCTACCTGCCACTGTGGTATTCGGGGATTGCGCTAGAAGGACAGAAGAAAACCCGCAGAGTCCAGATCCGATTGATCTGGCGTTAAATATGGGCTGGTTAAGGCCTCGAAGAAGCTCATGGAAGAAGATGAAGAAAAGAACAGCGAGTTGGACCGGAAGTGAGGAATACAAGAAAAGTCGACAACAATCACTTTTTTCACCACCGCCATCATATTTCTCCGAGGGTCAAGAAGCGAAAGGAGGGAAAAATACCGATATTGAAAAACTAGAAGCACCAGAGCTAGCAGCAACCACCGAAAATAAACCCAGAAGAGATGCAAAGTTACCCACAACGCCCGAGGTTCCACCAGCTACCGAGAACAGCAAGAGACAGGAGACAGTTCATAGCTTTAATTCGCATTCCTCGGGGACCGATTCACGAGTATATCAACGGATTTGGGACAAAATCCCACCATGGAATCTGATCTTTGTATTGGAAACATTTTTGAGAGTTTGGTTTTGTCGATGGAACCGAAAAGTCTCACTGATTCACGTCAATATTCGGAAATTCATAAATCGGACATTCATGAAGAGAAACCTCAATCAATTACAAAGACAGAGCTGAAATCTGGGCCGAACTTGGGAGTTCCAGAAACAGTTGAAGAGGAGCCAAAGAACGAGTCTTCCTCTTCCTCAGAACCAGAAGTGACAGAATTTCCAACAGCAAGCCAAGAATCGAACATCAGAACCATTTCTACCGTTCGAAAAGGGGCTCCAGCAGACGAAGAAAAAAGCGAAAAGCTCGATAATTGTGGAATAGAACATAAAGCACCTACCAAAGACTGGAAGGAAAACGATGAGCTTCACAGCTCTGAAAGTGACAAAAACTGTGGTATATCCGCATTTAAAGCACCAGAGGAAAATGAAATCATCACTTCACCAATGTCACAAACCAATAGCACAAACGTGATTGATGAAGATGGGCTCCAGAAAGGGAAGATGAACAGGCTTCCAGCGGCATGCATGAAGCCCTCAGCAACCACAATCTGGATTCAGAGAGCAGTAACTTGCCGTATAGATGGAGAGATTCTTAGAATCACGTACTTGTGTTGCAACGTCTGAACTTGTAAATCCAGTATCCGCACCCAAGACAGAAGAAAATCTTAGCACAAAAAAGACTCCTATTCATCAAACCAAATACTCCTCGCAGGCACGAGAGAAAGGGCAAAAAAAACCAAAAATAGCTGGCGTTAAACTATATGTACCCTGACCAGACGAGGTCCTGGATCTATCTCCTGCGCCAGAGGCGAAAGAATATTGGACGTGGGCTGACGACGTGGGCATGTATTTCCACAAAGATCCGGAGACGCTTTCTGTGACTTGGTATGAGGAGTCTGATGATGAAATGGAGGATGATTAGGGACTTTTAGGGGTCGGGGAGGAGTCTTCACTACGTTGCAATGTAATTTGGAGGCTAGTATATAGTTTTTAACGAAACTTATAGCACTATCTAAGAGCACTGCCTGCACAATTGGCACTTTAGTCGTGGGTTTCGCTTAGCTTGTGGCAGACCTTGCTTCCATCCATTATTCATAGAAATCACTTCCAGGCTTGAGAAGTTAAAAGAAGTGCACTCAAAATGGGGTAAAGCGTCCAATTTTACAATATCTTTCCTATATGACAAAGTCGTTTAGGAAACATATGAGCTTCAATTCGACTTAGTTATCGTATCCAATCGTCTCCACTTCGATTGTCCTTTTCTTTGGCCTCTCCCGTTTTGGTGGGTTAGACTCGAGTCGTTCGCTCTCTTGACTCTATAGTTTTGAATTCTCAATTCTTATACTTGAACCCTTTGCGCTGCAGCCCCCAGGTTAATTTTCTCGCGTTATTCAACGCTATCAACTATTCTCTAGCTCCCCATGACATTGGGCCCCATCTGCCGCGCAGCTATTGTATTTCGAGGCTTCCGGTTATATCGCCTTTCAACTACAGTACGCTTTTAAACATAGGAAAGCAATACCTTCGGGCTCTTTTCGAAACAGTCTCAGGCCCCTGGGTTCCCGCTTGCGAGAAATTGCAGATTCAACAAGGTTTTCGAGATGATCACGATACCGACAGACCAGGGAAGAATGCTCTCCTTCAATCCATATGGGCAGAGAAACTACGCCTCCAGACCATTGGGATCATGATTCATAAGCAAATTGATAGTTGGAGAGGCTCGGATAGGTGGTTGTCTTTTCCCCAAGAATTTGGTCATCGCTTTGACGTCGAAACCACCTGTGTTAGACCAAACGGCGCTGAACGCAAGCATACAAGAAGCTCTCCATCTAATCAAACAAAAAGACTCTGGGTTGAACGTTTCTTAGTATACCCAGATGATCCTTTGAGCGAGCCATTGCGAGGAAAGGAAGAAGAAAAGGAGCGCTATTCTGTAGCAGTATGCAACTCAAGTTCTTCTTCAGAACAACCCTTCTTCGCTGAGTAGGGCCTGGATTGCTCCTACTTCCCCAGTGACAGGCTCGCCAAGAACGTGCCCTGGAATTCGTTTTGCAAAGATGGAAGCCCTCTTTATAGCTACTCATCTACTGCCAAAGCAATTACGCGATAGAGTTTGATGTTATCTTACCTTGGGACTGGGCGCGGAAGACTAATCATAACTTCTCTCCTACGGGTATCCACTCCTGTTGCCAGCAGAGAAATACCTTTTAGAATTCCATAGCGCGCTTTGATTGGTTGAGAATTTACAGGAAACATATAAGGACACAGTGTCCAGAAGTCACCTGTAAGGTGCTGTTAGTTTATAGATGACTTAGTACATAGATATTCACTATAGGATCCTTAGTAAATAAACAGGGGCTCGCTTAAACTTCTTATCGCCCTTTCTTACTAGTTAGCCTCAAGGTATATAAAAATTAAGTTCCTATAGTATAGCAAGGTTTATAACTGTTGACTAACCACTTAGAGAATTAGTAGTTTTGAATTTCTTCTAGATCTTTTCGTATTATTATAACATGCCCCACGGTCTTAGCCGAGACTCCTATCTTTACTACCTAACCTGTCTCCGTAGCCTGGGTAGATACCTAGTACTCTAGAGCCTTCTACTCGGTCAGAGTCGTCTTATAAGACTCCCTACTTGCCCGTTAGCTAGCTTCTCTCCTTATTTCGCTTATCCATTCCACGTTATACCCTCGTCTTCTAACAAGTAAGATCCTAAGTATAATTAGCTAGACCGATTACAAATAAACAAGAATTCTCCTAATTATAATAGTTAATAGTTAATTCTACTATATAATCTAGAAAATCTTACTATAGAGATTCAATTTCTATATCTTCCGAGGCTAACTTATATAAATAGACTACTTAAGCTTCCCCCTATCCATAAAGTAAAAAATATATACTTATAACGTGGACCCTAAATAAACCCTCCTTACTTTCTTTTAGAAAAAGAAAATGGCTATTAAAATCTTTCTAAACGAATAATAATCTGTAAAACCTTACAACTACAACAGACAAACCCTAAACCCATAACTCCACAACCACGAAGCCCTATATCCAACATCCTACCCTCTTCTCCATTCTCGATTCTAGATTCCAGACTACAAGCTCAACTCTCGACTCTCGACTCATGATACTCTGACCAGCTCAGAAAACCCAGACAGGAAAGATCAACCACTAACAAAAACAAACACATTCTAATTCCTAGATAATATATCTACTTCAAGGAGAGAGAAAAAACAAGCTCAGTTAAACCCAAAGAGCATTCATTCATTCAAACATAAAAAAATAAAATATACATATAGAAAGAATACCCCACACTTAAATCTATCAAGATCTACCATCTCATCTCCAACGCCACATTCATGCACTCTCAATCATAACTACACACAAACAAGATAATCATCACATCTATCCCATTCATTCATTCAGCGCATATTCCCCATGCAAATATCAATCCGATGGATCTACAAAAGCGCGAGATCCCCGCTATCTTTTGCTTCTTGGCCCAAGAAAGAGAAGATCAAAAATATGTACGCCCATGCATATGCTTTATTTACCACCCAAACCCAACCCTCATGATAAAAATGACCCCCACCGTCCTTTTAGGGAAATGCTGTTTCCTTTCTTTCCATTCGTTTCAAACCAAGAAATATAAATGAATATTTTGTTCATAATTTTAGAATGATAAAAGTCTTTTAAGATGACTCCCCTTCTCACAATCACTGGGTATCGGTGGAAAAATGCCTCCCTTCCTCTCAAAAACTTCCATGATCGAGTTGACCGCTTCGAAATACGACTCGCCTGTACGCTGAAAGCCAAGTTTGCTCCATTCATCCTCGGGCACCGAATCGCGGATGTCGTCCCAGACAATACGCCAGTTCCGCATCGCAATTTTAAACGGTCGTGTGATTTCGTGAATATTGGCCCCTGGGATGGTGCACATGGGGTTGGAAAATGTGCTCTTCCACACGTGGGTATATAAATCTTGGAAGTGTTAGAGAATGTTTGTGGGTAAGGACTCGGTCTTGACTTACAATGAATGAGCATCTGCATGTCATAAGGAGTTAAATTGCCCGTTCTAAGGATGTTCAGTTCTCGTTCGACAGATTCTGATGGCGTGAAGAGGACAAGGTATGCGTCCTTGATCTTCATTTTGCCAACCGGATATAATGATTTGCTTCGAAGCTCAGCATAGTTGACACAAGCGAAAAACCTATCATCACTAGGAAATTGTGTATCTAATTCTGCCCATTGGAATCGAGGGGACACATTGTTGAAAATGCCAAATGCGTGATCTAACATCACAGCAATAGTGGCAGTGCTAGCTTGAGTCAGAATTCCATTTTCGAAGCACAACAGATACAGGAACTCACCGGATCATAGACTCTCTCTGAATCCACGCACTAAAGGTCGACTGATCATTAACATGGCAAATTGGGGGATGTTGCACTGTAAGCATGTCATGGTGGTGGAAGATCTATTGATACGTTAGTAAAATTGGAATCCACCAGCTCACTGCCAACCTACCGAGACAATTCGCTGAAACCTTTGTTGGCGAACTCTTATCCTAGCAAGTGGATTTCCTGTCCAGAATTGCAGTACTATCATGAGATAGGCCCCCTGTATCTCTTCAAGTTGGTATCGCTGCCACTCGAGAGACGAGTCTTCACCCCGCACAATATAAGATCGATCTGGAAGGTCAAACTCATCACTCAGGCCCGGCACGGAGTATATGTAAGACTCTGTTACGTCAAACAGAGATCTGGTCTGCTCCACGTCTCTAGGCTCCTTTGCATACTACCACGAAGAATCAGCAATTATTTTGAGGTGGTGATACGATAAACCAACCATTCCACCGAGACCCATCATGGCCAGAACCAAAGGTAATGCTGCAGTACAAGGGTTGAAAGTAGGTTCATGAACCATGGGACCATGTTTGTGCCAATGACGAAAGTACAATTTAATGTTTAGAACAAGACTATCGGCAGTGATGTGATCAATGGCATCGAGCACCTCTTTCGAGGGCTGGTGCGGAACATTCATAGTATTGGCAGTATACCTCAACTTGTTCTTGATGTCAAAGGTCCTTTCTTCCAGGGCATTCCGATTCAGATATAAGCTATCAGCTCCCACGCCCGACCATGGTATCAGATTCTCACCCGGCATCTGCCAATTCTGGGTTGCTCTCTCAAATGTGGTAAATTCCAGATTCTTCAACAAGGCCTCCAAGCCATTGTCTTGCAAAAGCGGCTCTATTGGCCCCTGCAGATATTCTTGGTACCCTGGAACAACTTGATGGGCGTCGATGCCCGCAGGAGGGGGTTCATAGACGGCGCGAGTCGCCGTTAAATTCCTGTACTCGGCCGTGTGGCTGTTTGGACTGAGGGTCGTAGATTTCGGAAACTCTTGGAGAAAATCGGCCTCGCCCTCACCATTCAGCAAAAATCCAATCGAGTTGCGATCCGAGGTCACCAGGTCCGGCGTGGAGCGCGAGACCGAGGTTGCTGGCGTATCGTCTGGACTCGAGGCTATTTTCATCCTCCATCAGCACTTGGCCAACGACATGCCCGCTCGCTTCCATAGTTCCCATTCACTCACCTGCGGCCGGTCGACTTTTGACACACATCCTCCCAAATTCTCGGCACTTCCTACACGGCACATTGTTGTCGCATTTGACTTTCAACCGCGAACACTCATCGCAGGCGTGTCGCTTTCGACCCCTCTCGAGGGAATTGGGGATGGCAGCCCCGCCGCGACGCTCGCAGCGACTGAAGTGGTCCCGGAGCACATCACTGCGCGCGCCCAAGATCAACACACGGACATGGAACTTTGGAGAGTGAGGGTATTCAGAGATTCCGAAATGGGTGGGAGAGTGAGGGCGAAGGTGAGGATGAGGGTGCTTGGTACATACCTGCGCTTGAAAGTTTTGGAGCAGAACTTACAGCTGTAGGGCCGGTTGCCAGAATCTACCATACGCCAAGAGGTCAGATGGCAGCACAAACAAAGTGGACGTTCAAGGGATTTGGATGGTCTACTAACGCTGCTGTTGATGGCGCAGCAGATGGGCTTTGCGCTGGAATTTCTTGCTGCAGATATTGCAGGTCGACAGGCTCTGAGCCTCCATTCTGGACCACCGGAGAGCAAAACATGGACGTGTAGGATTTGGGACTGGAGAGGGCTCTACGTAGGTAGTCACTTATTTGGGCTAACCCAGGCTAATCCAGGCTAACCCTTAGATGTAGGGGATGCATATGGGAATGGGGGATGGGCAAGTCTGGCGGTGCTTGTCGGACCTCGAGCTGCTTGGTCCCAAGACCGGGATTTGAATGCTGGCCCCATCATTAGGGTCTCCACACTCCAACTGCAGGTGCACCTGGGCACTCTACGAACCCTTGAATCGCACGGAAGCACCCAGAAACAATGGACAGACAGCAAGTGGACAGATAGTGGACGAGGAGGCGGCTTCAGGGCTTCAGGCTCAGGTTCAGGGATCACCAGATGGAACGACTGAACGAGCTGGGCTGCATGGGAGAGGGAGAAAACTGTGCAACACCGAAATTGTATAAAGGCACGGCATTCTTGTGCCTAGCGAGCTTAGGTACGGAGCGTAAAGAGTACTTGCTAGGTAGGTACGGTACTCGAGTACTACTGGATGCTGATGCTGATGCTGATGCCGATGTTCATGGGCGGAGAAGCCCCCCTTTCAACCCTCCAACCCTTCAAACCCTTCTCCTTAGACCCTGACCCTTCGGCCCCTTCAACCCCTCATCAGCCACAACCAGGATGGAAATGGTACGACACGCGTACTCTTGTACGCTCCCTACTTACCTAGCACAGTAACAGAAGCGACAAGATGGCACAATGAGCAACCCGACCAATATTTGGCCATTGGTAGCATTCTCCTTAGGGTACGACGGTAGGGATTTCCGCCCCATCTCCATCTCCGAGGTTGAGGTTGTTTGGACAAAAACATCTCGTCAGCCAGATTGCCTTCAATCCACTATGGTACTACAGTACTATCCACAGTTTGTCCATGCCCAAGATACCACAGTCAATGGCGCCACACATCTGGATCTTCTCAGCTCAGTGTGCTTGCTGCTCCAAGCTCTGAACCCAGATACCCACTTCACGAAGCTGGGACGCCGTCACTGGAACGCGGGAACACTGAACGCTGGAACAACAACGTGTGACAGACGCAGCAACAGATCTGATCAAACGCGACCTACGCAAGCGCCAAATTCAAGACGGCTTTAGATTTTGGTATTTCGAAATGATTCTACGTTGGCTTGGGGAGGTCTTGATTTTGCAGAACTGGGAAGAACCCGATTAACCGATTAACCGTGAGGCTGCATCTATTGCTGCTGCATCCCAATCAAGCCAGGCACTTTTCCCCTGTTGAACAGTCGAGAGGAGAACTCAGCGCACACATTCCGCTCCAATCCTACAGTACACAAATGTGGGGAACTAGCTACTCTACGGAGGATATATAATCACATTTTCTAGCGGCGGCACAGCAGCCCCCACCGGAGAAAGTGACAATATGACTGAATTGTCCATAAACGATGGGACGAGCCTCAACCGAGCGCCGAGTTCCGAATTGAAATCTGGAGTTTGAGTTTGCCTTGAAGTATATCAGAAACGATCGGAATCTGCTTGAAAAAGAGCTCCAAGCGAAGCGCGCTAGCAATTTACCGACTATTGCCATACTTACTCTTTAAAGGGTCGTCCCTCGGTTGAAAAATGACGATATCCTTGGCCTTGCCGTTACCAAAAGCCGTGAACGCCAGGCAGCCCAAGCACACGGGTTGAAAAGCCGAGGAACGTTATCGACCGGATCCCCTCCCCTACGGAAAACAATCGCCCAAGGTGAACCCCTGAAGTCTCCCCATATATTACTCAGATTATTGCTGATCAGCCTCCATTCTGACTCGGTCCCAACGACATTCAAATGACATCTGAACAACAAAAAATAGACAAAATCCACATTACCAACTGATTCAACATCGTCATACCAAAACAAGACCCAGCTATAATATTCCGACGAAGCGACCGGGAAAATTCCAAAGCCATCCACGGCTCGATGCTTCCGATGACATACTTTGGAGCCAACACCTGCCACATGCAAAGGATATAAAGTGGACAAATCAACTGTTAGTACGGAGATAACACGGCTATTACCCACAGGAAGCGAACTTGCTTACCTGCAAGGGCGGCAAGTTCACGGTAACCCGCTTTCCACTATTCCCGGCCACGATGGTAATTCCCAGAATCCAGATGTGACGTGGGGTTGTCGGAACTGATCCTGAAACCACTTTTACTCACTGAATTGGGACTCTTGAGAATCAGCCGTCCTTCCCTCCCGAAATTTCGGCAGTTTTTATGCTTGTTATACTTCGTTCTGATATTGGGATTCGTCCATGCCAAGCCATACCCAATTGCTTACTCCAAGATTCGTCATCCAACTGCTACAGGGAAGGGAAGTTTGTGTTCATTTCAATAAGCTTGTTTCCACTACAGTGCCGCGAGTTACCGTCCAGAGCTGCGGGAAGGTGTGTTGTCTTGTTGATAAGGCCCACAAATGATTTCTGCCAAGCAGTCGCTAGTTATGTTGAGTTTCAGCATTTTTACTTCTTGTGAAGCTGCAAAGTAACCTTACTTGTAGAACTCCCAAATACGACGCACCGGAATCCGGATAGTCTTCGGGAACACCAAGCAAAAGAACCAAGATTTGGAAAACTTTAATACAGGTATGGCGTTCTGGACCAATTTCACAGTCACTGGTACTCGTACGTCGAGGAATACTTTTGGCTTGATGTTTACGTACTTACAGGACTTACTTTGCCACCGGAGTGGATTCAAAAACTCCTCTATCATGTCATCATGGCGGTGGGTAAATGGGAAAGTCTGTCTCAAAAATGCAGAATTCAGAACACCGATTTTTTTGTGGACAAGCTTCGCCACAAGAAGCGCAGAAATTCTGTCACAAAAACCTCTCAAAGCTTGAGCTTCTGTGGGCTAGAAAGCTTGACATTTACCAGAATAGGCAGTATATCAGGACAGCCCGTTTTACACTTGTTTGGTAAGCTTACCGCCACCCTGGAATTCCAATTGTTCGCTGATACCAAGAGCTTTATTTCTTGGTCTTTCTTGAAATGAATTTACTTCATACTGTGTCACTAGTCAAGTTCAAGAAGTCATCTCACTTTTTCCCTTGGAAAAGTGATAGGTCGATTTTCATAAAGCTTCGTTGATTTTACTTCGACAACAGATAGGTACCTCGGTTCTCTCCCAAGAGCTGCATCCTTGCCTGGGATTGTTCTATTTCTTTATAAAAGAGCCCGCCAACCTCTCTAACATAGTTCTCATTGCCATGCTTCTTTTGTCACAAATATGAATTTTAATACTTCAATTCGGATCTGATATAATGTTTGCCTTCTCGAAGGATTTTACTACTGTGGCCTTCTGTAAATAATTGTAGAGGTAGATATCGTTCGCTATACTAAGAGATTACAAGAGGAGCTTAGTACTAAGCTCGCTAAGTTAACAACTAGGTGGTAGAGAGTTCTTCTATTAGTAAAACCAAACTGACTCTAACAATCATTTGAAGACCTCTATGTAATTAAGAATTTATCTCAAATTATCGATGGCATTGAATGGTATAAGATTATGACATACTTCTTTTTGGCTGGAGGGATTATTTGTAATCTAGTAACGGAGGGAACTCGTGAGGGAGGGTTCTTTTTGTTTTACTTATATAGAGACTTTTGAATAACTAGTAATACAAAGTATACTTGCGAGTTGTGCAAGTTAGAATAATGAGGCTATTTTCTACTAATTTTCTTAGCTATTACGAAGTTTGTAGAACCTTTTCAAAAATGTAAATATACGACGATAGTTAAAAAAAAGTCTGGAATTGGGTCTGGGGTTAAGGATAGCATTTCGCTTAAATGGATGTTACTGTTCGGAGTTTACATAAAAGCCTATATATCTATCTCTTCATGTATCCTTGAGTTTGGATCTGGGAGTCGCTAAGAGATGAGAAGGCGCATTATTAAACCTCCGATGGCGTTAGGCGTTTATATTATACCCGAAAATCTGCCTGTCTCCACTTCCAACGCCTCATGCATAATGTAACCGTCAGCCAGGTACGGAAAACCGCGATAGCATCATCCACTCTGAATATGAAGTGTTGAATGGAGCGATGTAGATTATGCGGGTCTTCTTATCGCTAATGCTGATCGGGAATCGGATATTGGTCTGCTGTGTTGAAATTGACCCGGTTGATGCTGGTCGATTTCTAAGCTCGCCTTCACAAATATCCAAATATCCATATATCCAGGACAGAGCTCCGCACGGCTTCTACTCCGCAGACCGCCATGAGCTTTCTTTTTCCAGCAAGCTTAAGCTTCTTATCAGAGACCTAACTGTCGATCAGCATTGGCACGACTCAGCGAGCCCTGAACACCGAAGGCCCTTTGTTGTGTGTGTTCCAAGGAATGTAAGGCGAGGCTGGTTTAATTTCCATCATACAAACGCGCCTTACCACTACTGACGTTTCTTGAAATTTATTGGCACCCACTACTATGCGATACTACCAACCTTGAAGCACCTGCGTTAGTAAGACCATCAAACAGATTTTGGTTGGTAAGCTACTAGTATTCGCAGACATCGCAGTTGTAACACAGACTAGCGGGAGTTAGTCCTAAACTCCTTGACCCATTCACATTCACATTCATAATTCCGTTTACGCTTTAGGGGGTAGAGGGGATAAATTAGCATTTTCTCCAGCTTCTCCTTTCTCAGCTTGATTCGCAACCTTCCCTTCTCCTTTTTTCTTTCTCTTCCTCTCTCCGGTGTGTGTGCAACTCGACGAGCAGTTATCTACGCTATGTTCTACACCACAGCGGAACGTTCACAGCGCGATGCGCAAGAAGGCACGATTCCGTTGCATAATGTCCAACAAAACGAAATACCTCTGCATGCACGTGAAGAGACGTCATCCTCATCATCGGGTAATGATGTTGAAGACAATGGAACCTGGGGCGAGAGGGACATTGGAGGTCCCGTCAATTTACGGAATGCCATGCTGGAGTATGAAAATATGAGATGCGAATTTACCCATTTGTCGAAAACACGAAGTGCAAAGACAGAAAAATCACAAACGAATAGGTCTGGTCTGAGGAGACTTGTAACGGGAGCTAGTGGTCGGTTACATGCTGCTCCTACAGAACCGGAACGTGATCCTGCAGAGATTGAGGAACAGAAGAAGCCAGAAAGTTTGGATGAGGATGAAGATTTTGAGCTGAGCGAATTTCTCAAAGATGGATTTTTTGAAAAGCGCCAGGAAGGAAAGTCGGCGAAGAAGGTGGGCGTGGTTTACAAGAACTTGACGGTCGAAGGGGTTGGCGCAACTGCGACGTTCGTCAAAACATTACCTGGAGCAGTTATGGGAGTATGTTTACCCTCTTATCATTTCAAGTCTGCTTTCTAACCCGTGGATCTAACCAATTTTGATAGACTTTTGGCCCGGACTTTTACAAATTACTGTCCCGTTTTGTGCCATTCTTACCGCAACTCGGCTCACAAGGCGAGCGAAGAGATCTCATTCATGATTTCAGCGGTGTCGTGAGAGACGGAGAAATGCTTCTCGTTCTTGGCCGGCCAGGAAGTGGATGCAGCACTTTTTTGAAAGCAATTTCCAATAAACGGGATAGCTTTGCTGGTGTTAATGGTGAAGTGTCTTATGGTGGTATTCCTGCAAAAGAGCAGAGAGAAAAATATCGTGGAGAAGTTGTGTATAATGAAGAAGACGATCTGCACTTCCCCACGCTCACGGTAGAGCAGACTTTGGACTTTTCGCTTTCCAACAAGACGCGGAAGCATGAGAAAGGGGATATTCCAGTCATCATTGGGGCTTTGCTTAAGATGTTTGGAATAACCCACACAAGACATACTCTGGTTGGCGATGTAAGTCCAATGACCCTCTTCACATTTCCCTGTTTTCATTCTACCGGAAACAATTTCTGATAATGAGTAGGCTTTTGTGCGTGGAATATCTGGTGGTGAGCGAAAACGAGTGTCAATAGCAGAAACACTCGCCACAAAATCCACTGTCGTTTCTTGGGATAATAGTACACGTGGACTTGATGCTTCTACAGCCCTTGACTATGCCAATAGTCTTCGGGTTATGACTGATATCAGTAACCGGACCACTCTAGTTACGTTATACCAAGCAGGCGAAGGAATATATGAGCTCATGGACAAGGTTTTGGTGATTGACGAAGGAAGAATGATATATCAAGGTAAGAACAGTACCACAATCTCACTCAATCACCCGCCTGCCTTCCTTGCCCTTCGCGCCTTTCGGAAAATACGGTCTAACACACAACAGGGCCTGCAAATGAAGCCAAACGATATTTTGAAGATCTGGGATACCACTGCCCAGACAGGAAGACTACTCCAGATTTCTTGACATCTATCACTGATCCCGAGGAACGGAAATTCCGCGCCGGCTTTGAAGGCCCAATACCTAAAGGACCCATTGAATTGGAGAAAGCCTTTAAGGAGAGCGAATCTTACAAAAATGTTCTTCGTGACATCGAATCTTATGAAACCATGTTGCGAGAGTCTGACCATGCCGATGCAAGAGAATTCAAGCAGACAGTAGAGGAGGGCAAGTCAAAGAGGGTATCAAATACCTCACCTTACACAGTATCTTTCGTTCGACAGGTTCTTGCGTGTACGAAACGCGAATTTTGGCTCACATGGGGTGATAAAACTTCCCTCTACACTAAGTTCTTCGTCATCATTTCCAATGCCCTCATTTTCGGCTCTCTCTTCTACGGACAAACCGCGGATACGATGGGTACTTTTTCTCGCGGTGGTACTTTGTTCTTCTCTATTCTTTTCTTGGGATGGCTTCAATTGTCCGAATTGATGAAAGCTGTTGGTGGAAGAGCGGTTATTGCAAGGCATAACGATTATGCTTTCTACCGACCGTCTGCTGTTGTTATTGCTCGGGTTCTGCAAGATTTACCGCAGCTTCTGCTTTATGTTATACCATTCTCGCTAATCATGGTAAGTAAAGATTTGATTTATGGGTTCATTCCACTGCTGACTGAAAGTCTAGTATTTCTTGACCGGACTTGATGTTGTTGCTGGCAAATTCTGGATTTACTTCCTCTTCATCTACACGACTACTATCTGTATCACTGCACTTTATCGAATGTTCGCCGCTCTCTCCCCGACTATCGATGATGCAGTAAGATTCTCTGGCACAGGACTGAACCTCTTGATGTAAGTAATCTGTCTGCCTTCATTTCTTGCCACGCAACTAATGAATATTTAGTATCTATACCGGTTATGTGATCGCAAAACCACTCTTAATCTCAAAGTACATCTGGTTTGGATGTATCTATTATATCAACCCAGTTGCTTATAGTTTCGAAGCAGTTCTTACGAATGAACTTAGTAACAAGAGATTAGAATGTTCTCCAGCACAAATCGTTCCCTCAGGACCTACTTACAACAACCCGCTGTATCAAGGTTGTGCTACACCTGGTGCTCAAATCGGATCACTAAGCGTATCTGGGGCGACGTATTTGCAGACTGCCCTCGAATATTCGAGAAGCAACTTGTGGAGAAACTTTGGTGTTGGTGAGTCAATCAGTCCTACTAAACATACTTTAGACTCCGGAAACTCACAAAGTATCTAGTGATCGCATTCACGTTCCTGTACATCCTTGTCACTGCAGCAGGATCCGAACTGTTCAATTTCACCAAGGAGGGAGGGGGCGCTTTGGAGTTCATCAAAAGCAAAACCACGAAGAAACAACTCAAAAGCGATAAGCCACCTTCAGACGCCAAGAATGCAGATGTTGAAAAGGGTACAATTGAACGAACAAATACAAACGTTCGTCCAACTAGAACTCTTTCCCAGGCTCAAGAAGAGGAGATTCTGCAAAATATTGAGTCAGCTGGAAGTGTTTTCACCTGGGAAAATGTTTCTTATACAGTGCCTTACATGGGCGGTGAGCGGCAATTATTGAACAAAGTCTGTGGCTATGCCAAGCCTGGCTGCTGTAAGTGATTTTATTGGTTCAGGATGGCAATTCTGGAGTATTGGCTGACCATTTTCGATAGTGATTGCTCTGATGGGTGCTTCTGGTGCTGGCAAGACAACTCTGTTAAATACTCTTTCTCAACGTCAAAAAACTGGCGTGGTCACTGGAGATATGCTGGTTGATGGAAGACCACTGGGAATGGAGTTCCAACGAGGGACCGGTTTCTGCGAGCAAATGGACCTTCACGATGGTACTCAGACGATTGAAGAGACATTGCAGTTCTCTGCTATTCTTCGCCAGGACCGTGATATCCCAAGATCAGAGAAACTCGCTTATGCCGACAAAATTATTGATCTTCTCGAACTTCGTGGTATGAAGGATGTTCTGGTCAGATCCCTCGGAGTTGAACCAAGAAAACGGGTTACGATTGGTGTCGAATTGGCAGCAAAACCAAACTTACTGCTATTCCTTGACGAACCAACATCAGGGCTAGATAGTCAGAGCGCAGACAGCATCATCCGGTTCTTGAAGAAACTTACACATGCTGGTCAGGCTATCGTCTGTACCATTCATCAACCATCAGCAAACTTGTTCCAGCAATTCGATATGGTTCTTGGCCTGAATCCCAAGGGCAATACCTTCTATTTTGGCCCAATTGGCGATAATGGCTCTGATGTTATCAAATACTTTGCCGATCGAGGAGTCCAGTGTCCACCACAAAAGAACGTAGCTGAATTCATACTGGAAACAGCTGCCAAAGGAGGCAAGCGAGAAGACGGAAGAAGATTGAACTGGACGGATGAATGGCGAAACTCGGAAAATGCCAAAGAGCTCATGCAGGAAATTCAACGAATCAAGGCTGAGCGAGGAGAAGTCGAACTCAACATGAACATCCAACAACACGAGTTCGCTTCCACAGTCTTATCTCAGACAACCGAGCTCAATAAACGGCTATTTGTCAACTATTGGAGAGATCCATCATACTTGTACGGCAAGATCTTTATCTCAGTCATCATTGGAATCTTCAACGGCTTCACGTTTTACTCTCTCGGTAACACAATTGCTGATATGCAAAATCGAATGTTCACATCCTTCCTGATTCTTTTGATCCCACCCACCATCGTCAACGGGGTTGTTCCAAAATTCTACGGCAACAGAGCATTGTGGGAGGCAAGAGAACTCCCTTCTCGAATCTATGGATGGTTTGCATTTTGCAGTGCCAACGTATTAGCAGAGATCCCAATCGCAATCTTCGGAGGAACGATCTACTGGGTCCTATGGTACTGGGCCACCGGTCTTCCAACAGACTCCTCAACCTCAGGCTATGTCTTCCTCATGGTCGTTTTATTCGTAAGTCGCTGTCCACCTCCCAATACCTTGGGCAGAAACTAACCAGAGAAACAGTTCCTATTCCAAGCCTCCTGGGGCCAATGGATCTGCGCCTTCGCCCCCTCATTCACAGTAATCTCCAACATCCTCCCCTCCTTCTTCGTAATCTTCTCCCTCTTCAATGGCGTCGTGCGTCCCTACAGCGCCATAACCCCCTTCTGGCGCTACTGGATGTACTGGCTCAACCCATCCACCTACTGGATCGGGGGCGTCCTCTCCGCCACACTGCCAGGAACCCAAATCCAATGCTCCCCCACGGAAGCTGCATACTTCAATCCCCCGCCCAACCAGTCATGCGGCACGTACGCCCGTGACTTCTTGACACAAGTAGGCCAGGGATATTTGATTAATCCGGATGATACGGCGAATTGTGGATACTGCCAGTATCGTGATGGAAACGAGTATATGCGCACCCTGAATATTGAACCGAGTGATAAGTGGAGGTACTTTGGTATCTTTTTGGCGTTTTGTTGGACGAATTGGATGTTGGTTTATTTTTTTATTTATACGGTTAGAGTTAAGGGGTGGGCTTTTGGGATTGCGTCGTTGTTTGGGGGTGTGAAGAAGGGTTTTGGTTGGATTTCTGGGAAGGCTAAGATGGCTAAGGGAGGTAGGAAGGAGGAAGTTAAGGATGTGTAGATGCTGAGCTTGATTTTGCCTCGGTGTCTTCTGTGGTACTTTTATTTTGAAGATTGGGAGGTAGCTCCTGAAAACATAGACTATAATTATTAGAACAAGCTTTCGACATGAGTTGTTTGTGAGAGGCTACGTAGTAAACAAAACCATCTAAATGACTGAGTTCCTCTACAGTCTCGCGTCCTACCTAAACACTGCATGGTAACGATGTGACTTACATAAACTTTTACTCCCCTAGTAGGAACTTCTATACTCCTGACCTTAAAAACCTGATACCTTCTCTCGCAGATTTGTATATTTACACAGTAGCTAGCGCTCAACAAGTACACCACGCAAGCTATGAATATGCACTCTAGCCCGAAAGGCAAAGAACCGGTTAGGTTTGGTTCGTGGTCCGACTGAGAAAGGGTACCGCATGGTGTACTGCCATTCTGAGAGCACAGTGTAGGATCCTGTTAGTGTTGGGCCAGTCAAGACTGCTTGCTAGGAGGGGTGAGTCGGAGTTGGTCGAGACCTCTGAGGCGACAGACATACCATGGCTACTGTCAAGGTTTGAGTGGACTTTCTCTCTTCATTGATTGATGCCTGCCACAGCATACTGTACCAGCTCAACTGGACCAAGGCAATACGACACAAAAGCCGAGTTCGATCGATCGTTTTCTCTTACTCTGATTTGATTTCACGCGATTACTTCGATTGTTAAGACCCAGTAGGTGGACTGAACCTGGAATCAAGGGGTGTATTTGTAGTAGAAATAAGCAGCTTGCGGACGTCCTTCGGGACAAGTTGGACCAATGGTCATCAATACAATCAGTTATCCACATCTTCTTTCTGACCCGAGCAACTGAGAAAGGAAGGCATGGCGCGGTCTTGTCCAGAGTCTAGATATCGAGTCGATGGGAGCCTGGCCAGATCAGGTGTATGTGTTGGAAATTAGAATGGAATTCTCTGGTTGAGCCCTTGCTATCCCATAGTCTGTCTATAGCAGGGCTAGAAAGTTTATATAAATGAAAAATACAGCACCTTATATTTGCTAATACAAAACTGGATTTCAATGGATGGGAAGTGAGACCAGCCTGAGCTTTGATAGGTCAATTGAGTTACGTAACATTGGGCATTATAAATTCTATTCCACATGGTATAACCATTAGGCACCGTTAGAATATATTTGTTTAATTATTTTGTAATTTCACGTTGAATTAAGGCGTTCTCATTCGCTTAAAAATCAACACGTGATTTCCATTTGGAACCACAACTTCCAAGGCCTCATCTAGTTTTATATTTTTTTATTGCACTTATATTCATCTGGAAGATTCCGCTTTAAATTAAAGAGCATTGGAAATATTGATTTCCATCTTGGAATGGAATCTTGGAATTTATAGAATCGTATTCCAAGTATCGAACGTTGTACTTATTCGGTGCTTTTTATATCTATTCCTATAAGTATAGTAATTTCGTACTATTATTTTAGTATTCTTATTATATTCTAGAATATTTGATAGGCAAGCATTTAGACGGTGAGTCCCTATATCTAAAGTATCTAGCCGCGTTATTTTATACGTTATAGAAGTCGAATAATATAGAATTAAAGATACTAAGGAAGTTTGTATTCCACCCCCTATACAGGCTGTAAAAAGGTATTTCTGGCCGCCGTAGCTATAGGGATATACTCTAGTTAGAGACCTACCAAGCTTTATACAATTCTACATCCAAGTTTCAGGGCCGATCTCTTGATACCTTGAAAATTCTTAGCACACCTATTAGCCAGAGGTATAGTACAAGATCTAGGTCCCGTCTCAACTTAGATAATTTTACGAACAGAAAAGGAACCATAAAGGTTTTCCACAGCACTGGGATATCAAGCACCCAAAGGCTCTAAGTACTAACACATTCTCTGAAGTCCTCGCTTATATAACAGATACAGTAGGCTTCGAAGCACGGCAAAGGTCATATTATTTACATAGATAACCTCTCACGAATATCAAGATTCTGAAGTATATAAGAGGGCGTGGTCAGGGTTTTATAGGCACTTGGACAGCCAAAGGCAGTTTTATAAAAAGATTTTACGAGACGAAACCTCAGGACGCTCGTTAAGATACTTAATATAGCCTGTATACAAAAGCCACCGAAAACAATCTACTTAGCATAAAAGCGATAGCGTAGAAATACAATTCTCTCGTTCTCTCTTACCTACAACTTCTAACGCTCGTAAGAAGGCAGAGCGGCTAAGATTACCAGATAACGCCTTTTAAAGATTTCTTCTTTAACCCATAAAACAGCGCGTGTTCCACATAGAAGTTAATCTAGAGAATCCCGATTTTGGAGATCGATAGATCTTTTAGGTAAGTACTTTCGACACCGGGGATCCTCTTAAAATATATACCAAGCTAGAGATAATATACCGATTGGTTAGAACATAGTCTTTAGTTACGTGGGCAAAGGACACTGCTCTAGTCATCGTATATAAACCAAGCTTCTTTTCTCCAGTGCTAGAGGATGAAAATGGATAGACTGGACAAAGGCACGCAAGAGCATGCATGGATTTGGGGATTCGGCTGTGGTGGTTAGGGAACCCTAACGCTAGAGCGAGATGAATAAATAGAAAAGTAGATAAATCTTCTCTACGCTATGGTATTTATCTTGTTGTTGGCTAACAAGTGTTCCTACGTACAAATAGGCCTCAAAACCCCAGCACCGCAATACGCTATGCGCCATACAAACCGAGTGGCATCTTTGATATTATACAAGTGTTGTTATCACCCCCAGCTCCCTCTGCCCCTCTCTCTCTCTCACGATAAGGCCCTTTATTTCCAAGCCACGTCCGTCCTTCGAATCAAATCCTCATACAGAGTCCACACAAAAGCCGAACTCAAAGCCTTCCTCCCCATCCGCAACCCCATCCCATCAAAAAGACTCGTGATCCCCTCACGTTTGAGCATTACCCTCGCCGCCTGCAGGATATTCCGATACTTCAACGGCTCCAGCTGAATCCTGGTCTTGATCGCATCAAACGGGTTCGTAATAGCAGTCGCCAACCCCGCAGCCACAATCCCCGACGTAAAATTAATCTCCGCCGACGTAGAAACCTTCATGCCCTTAGCGATTTCCCCCGGCAACGCAGTTTTCTGCGCAAGTCGACTCAATCGATCCTTCGACTGCTCATAAAAAAGAATCTGTAGTCCCGCATACGGCGCATCTCTCCAAGCCGTTGCGCCGAACCCCGACCAGAATCCTCGCAATCCTTGCGTCTTGAAGATATCTCTACTCGCCCCCCATAACGATGTATACGTATAGAGATTCGACTCATACCGCACCTTCATAACCGTCATCGGCATCGTAATGAACCCCGCAAACGTCCTCGCCACCGCGCCCGTCGTCAGATTCCCCAGATTCGACAGCTTGGGCAGGGAGGAGGAGTAATTCGTCCGCGCATTACGATCCAGTAACACCCCCGGGACGAGAATATTCGAGCGCGCAACCGCGGTGCGCAGGTCGTTCAGGACGGAGAAGTAGATGGCAGTTCCGGCGCCGGTTCGAAGGCCAGAGGGCAGTGTACCCCGCCAGAACGAAAGGACCGACGGCGAGGTTCGCCAGATGTGTATTGCGGTTGCGCGCAGGGAACTATGTCCTGACTGCTGGACTCGGGTTTTTAGGAGATCGGCGGGTTGGAGAATGACTGCGGAGACGAGACCTGATGCGCCGCCTGAGGAGGCATGGGAGACTGTTCAATGGTGAGTGGTGCGGTCTATATATTGCAATGGGAAATTTTAAGTTCATGGGCGACTTACGGAACGAACTGCCGACATCCTTCGGCATCTTCTTTGAATAAATAATTAGATGAAAGCGACAATGCTAGAAGCAAATGTTCTATTTATACGGACTATGTTGCGCCCATTATTTTTGTGAGTCGTGTACCGCGAGGTGGCGGACAAAAGTATTTGGAAGTGAATAAAATCAAATCCATACAAAACTTAAAAAGTTCTGGTCAGCGTCATACAGTACTCATACATACACCCGACGCCACATCCGGGACTTTCAGGCACGGAAGGCACAACACGAATTCACATGACTTTCGTGAGCAATATAAAAAGATAGTGAATATACGAGTAGATCTTACTGTCCAACCGAGGGTGAAATACGACAGAATCCACACCTCCAAAATGCAAATCTCAATTTTCCCATCATCCATTGATAGTCTTCTCAAATACCCCAAATCGGAGTGATCGTCACTCATCCCATGTACCCCAAACCTAGAAATCCACCTCAACTATTCACGTCCAATAATTGGTCGACACGACAACCTTTGCCCAGAATTTGGCCATTTCTACTCGACGACTGTTTTGAGAAAGGGGCAATTCTGATACAGTGCCTTATAATACCCTAATACCTACTTATAAACACTAGACTAGACTATACGTAGTTACTATATGAAATCAATAACCATGGTCAAAGCAGTAAGTTTTTCAAAAAAAATCCCCATTCTTAAAAACCATGATTACTAAAAAGTTCACGTATGTAGGCAGTAGGTCAAATATGTTCAACCTCAAGCATGAGCCACAACCTCTCAATCTGCAAGTACCTCGCCGGTAAAGCCGTAGAAGATGGAGCAAAAGTAATCCCTTTCCCCCAACTCCCACCCTCACTCACTCCCTCCCTCCCCCTCTCTCATAAAAAAAAAACTCAAAAACCACCTAACAAAACCCCAGGTCCTCTTCCTCCCCGAAGCCTCAGACTACATAGCCAACAACCCCACGGAATCCCTCGCGCTCGCCCGACCCATGGACTCCTCCCCCTTCGTGTTAGGAATCCGCAAAGTCGCCAAGGAGCTCTTCCTCGCCGTCAACGTAGGCATCCACGTGCCCGCGCCGGACAACAAAGTCTTCAATCGAAGCTGTTGGATCAACGCCGAGGGGGAGATCGAGTCGTACTACGACAAGCTCCATTTATTCGACTATGGGGAGTTGAAGGAGAGTAGTACGGTCCAGGCGGGGAAGGAGATTGTGAAGCCTGTGGAGAGTGTGATTGGGAGGGTGGGGATGATGATTTGTTTTGGTATGTGACTCTTTCTTGCTTATGATTCATTTTTCATTTTGGAAATTGCTGTTTGGGTTGAGTTTTGGTATTCATACTAACGTTTTGTAGATGTGAGTTTTCAAAGCTTCAAAGCCCTTAAGTTTTATGAGTTTCCGGTGACTGATGAAAACATAAAATAGTTAAGGTTCCCCGAGATCAGTTTAGCACTCAAGCGTCAAAACGCGCAGGTAATCGCTTACCCATCAGCATTCACAGTGAAAACAGGGATAGCACATTGGTCCCTACTACTGAGAGCAAGAGCCATTGAGACGCAGGCATATGTGATTGCAGCTGCTCAAATCGGTCCTCACAACCTGAAGCGAACAAGTTACGGACATTCTCTCGTGGTCGACCCATGGGGTAAAATCCTCTTGGAGATGAGCGGAGAAGGATCAGAACCAGAATATGGGATCGTGGATATTGATTTAGAGTACCAGGAGAAGATTAAGACAGAGATGCCACTGTCAAGGAGAACGTAAGTGATATGAAACGCTCGCTTGGAGAGAGCTGATTGGATTTAGGGACGTATACCCGGAGATATAGTTGCTATGGGTCAGGTGTGAGGAGAGAAGAAGACCGCGTGAGGGCAAGAGACGTTCTGTTTGGTGCTTATGGGATTGGTTGATTTCTTGATACCCACCCACAATGCCTCCATTATTCTTTCTAATTCCCTTTTTACAACGCCCAAAATGCATAGTAGTTGATGACTACGCAATGGCCGCCAACTGTTGAAAGACTTTTTTTTGTACGCCCATGACCCATGAAACTTCCACTTCAAAACTCAAACTTTTCTTCACTCATCGAAAACACTTTTCACACTTCACCTGTACCTCACCTCATCTAACCTGCCCTCCTCATTGGCCAATACAGCACTTAACTCACAACTCCTTCTTACCACCCTTCTTTTGCGCCTTAGCCCTCTTAGCATAAATAGCCCCCGTAAACGGATCCTCAAACCTCAGCGCAATAAGATAAACCGCAAAAACCTCAGCGGTCAAAAGTATACCAGCCGGTTTCCCAAAAAGCACCGCCGTGCCCAGGAAGCTCATGGTCGAACCATAGTACATGGGCGCACTACAGACATTAAACGGAAACCCCGTAACCATCTCATCCATCAGGATCCCAAAGTAGTCTCCCAAGTATGTACCGGTGACACCAAGTGCCCACATGGAAGAAATCACCAGTGTGTTTCCCACGGCGAGGAGTCCGTATGCGGCATATTGGGCAAGAGCAGTTTCGAGGAGGGGATAGCTAGGTTGGGCGCGGAGTGCTCGTTCGTAGAGGAAGTCGCGGAAGATACCTAGGGAGAAGATGGTAATTGCGAGACCGTAGCAGGCATTTCGAGAATTGCCACCTGCGAGCTTGGTGAGGAGTTTGTTGTGGTATTCTACGTGCTATTAGGTCGGGTCGAGATCTATGGTTAGGTCAAAGAATTTGTACCTTGGCGGGCAATAGTGCTGCATGGACGGTTAGTCGCTTTGATTCAAGAACGATGATACAGACGAGCGACTTACTTCCAGAAGATTGGATTGAATGCGATGGCAGCGGCCGCGACTGGAAGAGATGTAAGCTTGGGAAGCTAGCTTGCTGAAGCTCCCCTCCCCCACTTACTGGCTAAACTTCGTTGATCAAAGTCAACAAGGCCTTTGTTACTTCCAAGAAAACTTGTCATTTTGGGCTTTGGAGAATAGGAAATGAAGGTGTATTGCTATTGAGGTTTGTAGGTGGAAAACCTGGTAGGAATGGAGAAACGTTGTGGTAGGTAGTTCTGTTCTTTTCTTCAGGGAGTTGGTAAATAGAAGGATAAGATTTAACCAATCACACGCAAGAGTTCTGCCCTCATGACGTGACGTGGAAGCGACTCGGAGCAAAAGCCGAGCCGAGGTGGCCGCTCCCGTCGCCGATTTATTTCACACCATCGGATAGGTACCTATCAACTCAAGACATAGCGACAACTTCATGCTTTATATAATTGGATCGGTATATTCGTTAAGTCAAGAGGCAAGGCGTTAGTGCTGTACGCCTTGGGATATCATCCTATATTTCCCATCCCCCAAACGCCTTGTGAATCTTTCATACGCAAAAGCATTACTGTCTTCTCGTCCTTGTTTTCTTCGCTGTAGTTGCGGCATCTTCTTCTTCCTCGTCTTGCCCCTTTTTGAGGTCTTCGCCCAACCCCCATTCTTCTTTATCATACCAATCCTCTCCATCTGACATATCTCTGTTCACGCCAACATGGGCCTCGGCTTTGGCCCATTTCATGACTAATTTTCGATATCGATCTGCTCTTAGAAGTCCCTCGTATAACTTTTGAGCGCCTCGGCAGACTTCTTCCTGTTTTTGTATATAGAGCTGGAGTATCCTCCTCGTTTCTTCAGCTTCATTTTGCGGTAAACCAACATCTCGATCGGGATGTGATTTGTTAGGTGCCAAGAAATACGGGTGTATGAAGTTTTCGTTATCGAAATCGGGGGATTCTGATCTAGTTCTACTAGACGTAGCGTTTTCAGATGCTGCTTGCGCTTGCGCGCGGGTTCTCATACGGCGAGGAGCTGGAACATCTTCTGGTTCCCCTCCCTCAATCTCCATATCTACCAGAGTTGTATCACCCTCCTCGTTTTCATTGGCCGTGTCCGCAACGCCTTCCAAATTCATGGCTGTATCTGTCATTTCCCTGTCGATTAACCCATTGGAATTCTCCTGGGGCTCATCCAACTTAACCCCGTTTGCATTGTTACCGATTCCCATATCATGAGTCGGTTTAATGTTCGCGTTTTCTGTGCCGTTGGTCTCCTGGCCCACGTCTTTCATGCTATCAAGAGCGGCATCAGTAGCACGGGTCACAGCATCCAATATCTCCACAGGCTGGTCCGGGTCATACGAAACAAGCGTTCCTGTCGACGCTTGGTCTACATCGTCCTTTGAGAGGCGCTTTTCTAGCACCCTTCTCCTCGGATCATCTCTCTCGTCTAGGAAAAACCGATAATCGTCTTCCGTCTCCAGGCTGCCACAAGGTATCCATGTATGATCACCGCTCAATCTCGTAAAAAGGTGCTTGATCCTCCATAACGAAGCTTTCTCTTTGTGTACCATGTCACCAGCATGTTGTGTGAGTTCTGACAGGGTTTTTGAAAAGAAGGGTTTCGATAGAGTAGGATGATGTGGTAGGTCCGAGGCCACGACCAGTGGCATGAGGAGCTCTATTGGACAGCATCAGCGAAAGCGCAGACCACAACCAAACAAACCTTCTTACCTTCAATTTTGATACCAGCGTACGGGTTGAATTCGGCAGCCGCAGCAATTGCAGCCTGTGCCCTCTCGTCGTCGTCGTCGCTATCGACTTCAAACCCATCTTCGTCAATGAGTGGTGGATTTCGACTTATTGTTTCTCGATAGTATCCTCCGTGCTCGACCGTCTGTATCGTTGTTAGTCGCGTGTAGGTTATAGCTTCTGCAAAGCGCTTCGTCGTACCTTCTTATAAGCTTGGGGGCCTGTGGGCGCTGCCAGCTGGTGTTCGTGAACAAATCTGGACCTTTTCTTCAACTTGTTTCCTCGATTCGTCATTTCCTCGATCGAGCTGTCGGAGTCCGAATCTGAGTGGACACGATCAGTAATAGGTGCTTGAACGAATCGCAGAGCGTGCCTACCGTAAGACTTTCTCTTCAAGGCCTTCTTCATGCCAGCGATCGTCTCGGAGAACATGGCTTGCTGGGTCGCCATGGTGCAAAGAAAACGAGTAGATCCCGCGACCGATATGGTGTGTAACAATACAACAGAGTTCTCGGCGCAAATCTCAATTGAGTTGGAGTTGGCGACTGCATGCAGGGTTTCGCGAGATGGAGGTAGAGGGGGTTGAGCGCGGTCGCAAGAAGCTGTAAAGGTTGGAAGCGGAGGGTCGCAGGTTGCGCAGATATATTTGAGTACTGTTAGGAACTTGGGTCTTGGAGTGGCTTCGAGGTATGCTGTCGACGAGGTGTACTAAGAAGTGGTAAAATGGTCGGGAGCTAGGCTAGGTAGTCGGGGAGTTGTCTGTGTGCAAGTGAGTGGCCATCATAGTGAGTGAGGGAAGAGAGAGATCTCTCAGATTTGGTGCATTGGTGCAGCGCAGTGTAAGCGAGGCCAGACAAGGCTGTAATCGGCTACGACGGGGAGGACCCGAGCGTTTTTTTGTGGTGGACGAACCCCTGGAAATGCCCCCGAGCAGGCCCTGGCGACATCACACGGAGCGACGAGGCTGCCAAATAACTGTCTCTGTCACCACCCAAACTGTAACTGCATCCAAACATCCAAAGCATCCCAAAAAAAGCTTCAACTTGACAACTTACTACTAACCTCGATACACGTGCCTGTCAGCCCACAATGAACTAGCTAGGCGTCCATTAAATTGGCCTTGCCTCGCATCGGAAGCCCTCTTCCAAACCTCGATTCGCAGAGCGGCACGCAGAGCCTTCTGGATTGGACGACAAACGGGCCAGGAAGGTTGTGGATGTCGTTGTGGTCATAGTTCTCATTGTCTATGGAGCTTTTTGGGCGGCATCGCTATGGACGGTTACGCGCCGGCCTTTGTGGCTCATAATCTCCCTCTTCTGGTGGTCTCGGGACTGGTGGTTCATGATGAGGCCGAGTTGGAGAACGATGGAGTGCCTATAGCTTCAGAAATCTCCCCCGTGGATTCCGAAGAGGCACGCACGCTGCTACGGCACTTCCAAGATAGCGATGGGGCAGATTTGGCCTGGAATGGGAGTGAACATGCGGATCGGAATAAGTTCAGGGTCAAAACCATTGGAAGAGTAGATACGCCCGCCGTTGTGATGTTGTTCGCTTACTGAAGCTCTCATCAGGATTATATTCTCCCCACAAGGAATGCCCTTCCTCCTTCAGCATTAATACCCACCAGTCCCACGGCGAGACCTGTCCTTCACTCTACCCTATCACCACTGAGCCCAGGCTCCGCACTTTTCCCTGATGGTCTCATTGATTCGGTCTGGATTGAGAAGCATCAGGAGCGTGTTCCGAGTGCGTATCTTGCTTGTTATACCTTGACATCCGACCCAAATTTAGCATCAAAATCGGATAACCAATTGAAGTCCGACATAAACAACATCAAAGCCATTTTCAGCCAGTCCGGTTATAAGACTCGTCTTATAGTCGCCCTTTTGAGCGAGAAGGCCGTCGTGCCAACATTCGAGCTAGAAGACCGGCTTGCCAATATTCGCAAAGGTACAGGTCTTGACTCCAAGACTTCATTATTCTTTCTTCCAGCGCAGTCGTCGGCTGTCGAACTGCAAGCCTTTGCAGAGACAATCACTTCCACCATATACCCTTTATGCATTGAATACTATAGAGACTTGAGCAAACACGCAAGGCGTAAGCGCAATAGAGGCATTGTCCCACCACCTACAGCGCCCCCTACTTCCGGTACTTCCCAGACCCTCTCTAACCAGGGCTGGAATGTTCGCTATGATTTCAAACTGGGCGTCTTTGCCGAGTTTCGGCAAGAAATGGATGCAGCTATCCGCTCCTACGAGAGCGCATATGAAGCATTGCTTGGCCCTGATGTTTTTGAATCGATTGTGAATTGGAATCCTCGATGGAACGAGGCCCGTCTGCTAGCAGATACTCTTGCCATACGCATTTTACGGTGCTTGCTCTGGCATGGTAATACAACTGCTGCTGTACGTAGGTGGCAACTTCACCGTGAACGGATGCGTGATTTTGTCGACCGGAGAGGCAAAGGCTCTTCTACCTATGGATGGGAAGCATGGGAGGCTAGATGGGCTACTGTAATGGCTGAGATTATCGAGAAGGTATCCATCGCGGACTTCAACCCAGGCACTAACATTTTGCATCTTTCCCCTGAAAAGTCAATCGCCATTGGAGAGCGGACTCAACCTTGGGAGCTCCTTCACCATCCTGGATACTGGTTATATGCAGCTTCGAAGCATACTATGGCTCGACGGAACCTTGCTCTAGCCATTCCTGAGGATGATCGTTTGCCCCCTGCTTCACCGACAGCAAATAGAACCACATACGACACGTATTTATGCCCTGAACCGCATAAAGAGTACCCTCTCCCAGGAGAAAAAGGAGTCAATCATTGCGCTCTTGTAGTAGATTGTCTTGCAAAAGCAATTTCTGAGTTCGATATAAGAGGTCAGAATCGCTTTGTACAAGAATTGCAACTCCTGTCGGCAAAAGAGAGCATGCGACAGGAGGCATGGGTTGATGCACTAAATATTTTGAGACCGTTGTGGCAGAAAATGACATATAGAAAAGAAGGGTGGTGGAAAGCAAACGAGGAGATTGCTTGGGCTCTTAGGAATGCCGCAGTACACGCTGGTGATGGTAGATCCGTTATATCGGTGGATTGGGAGCTGATGAACAATTGTTAGCTTGCCTCCTTTTTTGATATTCGAAATGCTAATCCTCTCCTCAGGCTTCACACACCACCCTACTTGGCACTACGATCTATCTAAATCACTGGAAGGTGTGGATTTGAAATCCAAGCCGGTAGTTGTTCTCCATGATGCGGATGTCAGTTCTTTTCTGACTGCGACTTTCGTGTTTGAGCACGTTGAGGGCAAGGTTGGAGAAGCTTGTCCTTCACAACTTGCTGTCACATCGACAGCGGTGTCGACATCAGCCCCCCTAACGATTTCCTTGGTGAAGTTGGAATTCAATGGAAGTATGAAAACTCTTGTAGTTCAACACAAGGTGGACGAGGAGATTGAAAGCCAGAAAACTAGAACTTTCACCAAGGTAGCTTTGGTCGATGGTATAGAGGATGGCCACCCTAGACAAACTGGTGAAGCTGATTTGACTTTGAGACCTGGTCAAACAAAAATATTCGAGTTTGGAAGTCTCTTGAGAGAGGACGGTGAAGTCAAAGCAGTCTCCGCAACCTTTTCTATCAATTCGGAACAGTTTGACTTGGATTATGTTCATACATTTGAACCGACATCAGCCCCTGATAACTGGTGGGGCCCACGTGGACTTAGAAAGAGACTTGCGCGTGCAGATGTTACCTCTTTGGTAGTGCTTCCAAAGCCACCTAAGATGGAACTTAAGTTTCTGGGGCTTGAGGAGCAATACTATACCAACGAGGAGATTATTCTACGGCTTGAAGTTCTCAATGAGGAAGATGTCGCTGCTATCTCAAACCTCGAGGTTCTTTTACAAGGGCAGGGCGCACCCCTTCTAGAAGTTAGGACCGTCGAACCACCGGTCTTGAGCGCCGAAGAAGAAGACCAGGGGAAGGTTGAGGGAAATACCAAACTCGGCAAAATTGAGAGTGCGTCATCCACGATTGTGGAAATCATCGTTCCGCCGATTGACTTTCCGTCTGTCTTCGACGTTGCTATAAAAGCATCATACAACCTTGTGTCAGATATGGAAACTCCAGTATCCAAGTCTATGACTATGCAGCTAGAGGTGATAAGTCCATTCGAAGCGAATTATGATTTCTCGCCTAGAATCCATCCAGACCCATGGCCGAGTTTCTTTACACATGTCGAATCTTTCGATGGACAAGGAAGCGAACAGGACCAGACTGCCCATGGACTCGCACAAAAATGGTGCTTGACAGCCCGGTATGCTTCTTTCGCCACTAAAGATTTGATAGTTGAAGATTTCGCTGTGGAAGTACTTGCCATGAACGGTGGAATCCAAGCCTCCGCCGAAAAAGCAACTCCGATACCAGAAGGCGGTCTCCGAGTCGCTCCCCGAACCATAGAAGAGGCACAATTCGATACCTACGCCCAGAAGAAATCCTTAGACGATCGCGGGGCCGCCACACTCGACGTCTCCCTCGTCCTTAGCTGGCGAAGAGACATCAAAGACTCACCCATCAACAAATCCATCCTCGGGGTCCCCCGCCTCCAAGTCTCCAGCTCCGAACCCAGAGTCCTAGCCGCCGTCTCCTACTCCAACGTCATCTCCTCCATGATCCACTTCGACGTCACGATCGAGAATCCCTCGAACCACTTCCTCACCTTCGGCCTCACCATGGAACCCAGCGAAAAGTTCGCCTTCTCCGGCACCAAGCAATCTACCTTGCAACTCGTGCCTCTATCCCGACGAACGGTCCGCTTCAGGTTGTTACCGAATATCCGTGGGGATTGGATTGGACCGGTGCATTGCGTGATTAAGGACCGGTATTTTCAGAAGATACTGAAGATTGCGCCGACGGATGGGATGAAGGTTGATAAGGAGGGTATATTGATTTGGGTTCCGCCTGAGGAGGATGTGTAGGTGGTCGATGTGGAGGGGTGGGTGAGTGGGGGATATGCGGTTATTCTGATGTTCTGATATTTGTAGGTAGGTACGAGTAGTTAAGTAGATAGATGGTGGGGTTATGATGATACGATAGGAATGTGAGGTACAATACAATGAATGATTGCTACGCATTTCTACCGAGTTGGGTCATCACACCTATTATTTTGAAATCCAACCATCCTCCGTGGCCTAGCTCTCTCTAAACCTCTCTAGAGTCTGGAAATCTCCAATATGCATTACTCCCTCGCTTGTTAGCATTGCTACACAACATATCATCCAGAATCTCTACGCTGTACTTATATAGGGCTCGCTACGAGAAATCAAGGGACACAGGGACACATAAAACAAGGAAATAAGCGAGTGCTCTCTCCGCACGTCTAAAAATCCCGGATACTGTGCTGTATGAACATACGAGGTTTCTTGCCTTCCTGACATAGGTACATCAGACGAGACTCACGAACACCAGACCAAGAATTTTCATACTAGGTAGTTTCAAATCGTGTACTCGTATAGTAAGTATATAAAGAAGAAAACGGAACTACTCGAGTATTTCATGCTATATATACCTAGATGAACGTGACTTCCTTTCATTTCATTTCGATTTCAATTCTCTTTTTTATTTTTATTTTGCATTGGAAATAAATAAATAAACAATATCCAATCCAATCTCTGTTATACGATACATACAAGAAGGAAAGAGTTTCAACCCCCCNCCCCCCCCCTTCCCACCAAAAGAAAACGTTACGTATACAGACGACAAACGATAAATTTTGAGCACCAGATAGACACCCAAGCCATATAATGCAAGTAAGTGCTGGAATCATCGAGTCAAGCCGGACATTGTGGAAGTAGATAGATAATGAAATACGTCGCATCGTGAGTTTTCCTTCGTCTATTTCCTTTCTTTCGGCGTCCTAATTCCCAATTCCTTGTAGATCGATTTACAAGCAGTCCCACGCTCATCGAGTCGTTATATAAACTCAAGTCCATACCAGACCCCATCCCATCTCGCTCAGCGCAAGAACGTCGCTTAACCAATCCCCTTGAGACCTTTCAAACGGTTGTCTCCTCCCCTCTCATAGCACCAAACCCAGTGGTATGACCGGAGTACCCATCAAACCCACCCTGACTCCCTCCACTGGAACTGACACTCGTACTCGGACTATCCAGCCCACTAGCTCCACTCCCAATCCTCAGTCCCAATCCGTTCTCGCCATTCTCACCATCGCGACTGAACGCCGAATCACCAAAACTCCCAACCGACCCATCGCCCCTCGCAGGACCGATGCCAAAGCCGCCAGCGGTTCCGGTACCAAAGGAGCCGAATCCGAATCCTTCCACGGCAGAACGATTCCGGCTTCGACTTAAGTTGTCGGACTCGGAGCCAACACGTGAGAGAGCAGGTTTCTCTGGGAGCGCTTTGAGAAGTCCGGCCGAGGTGTCGAGCATGCCCATTGCGAATTCCGTGAGTCGCGTGCCGGCGCCGTCGGCACCTGTACCGCCTTTGCAGCTCACAGCTAGCGTCCAACGGTATTCGCCTAATCGTCTTCGATACCAGTCTGCTTCTTCTCTTCCGGGTGCAGTGGCCCAGAGGAGCGAGCCAAAGGTTCCGATTAATGCGAAATTTGTCTTGGATGCAAAGTACCAAAATGCACGGAGGTGAGAGGAGGTGAGTCGGTTGACAAAGTCCATGGCGGAGATCAGACGGGTTTTGGCTGCCGAGCGACAGATGTGGACGATGTAGGGGTCGAGAGCAGGTTTGCTGTCTGGGGAAGTGGTTGGTGAGGAAAGTGAGCGGATGATGCGGCGATGGAGAGTAATTTCGGTGGCAAAGTAGGCAAGATGCAAAAAGCCCGTTGATGAGAGCTTACTACTATTCGAGATTTGGATATTAGAGGGCGAATCCATGCGAAGACATGCAGGTAAGCCTGCGAACCAATCTTTCAATTTCAATTGGACGGGTTTTGCCAATTGGAGAACCAGATGCGTTCCTTGTGGTCCGGCTGAGTCGACAGTCGACATTGCTTGGAGGGTATAGAAAGTATCGAGGACTTCGGCAAGGATCTGAGAGAGTATGATCATGTGGGTGAAAAGAAGACGACCGCGCTCGTATTCAGCGGCTTCAGCACTATCATTTTCATCATATTCAACGTCTGGAAAGTCATTCAAAGAAAGCGGTTTAACCGCCCAGTTTGATGCAAAAATATGAGACGGTCTTCCGTGGACTAGGGAACCCCACTTGTCTTGCATATACAGTGCCCAAGCGAGGCGTCTTCGAAGTCCACGTTCCCAAGGAGGAATTTTCCAATTAGAACAGTCAAGATGGAGTCCCAATTCCTGAGAAATGGCCACCTGTTGATAAAGTTAGCACCAGAAGCAATTTGAAGTTCTTTTTGAAGAAGAAAGATCTTACAAGCTGTGCGGTGGGAGCCCATTGGTCTCCTTCCGGTCGCTGCGAGAGTAACAGACCAGCTTGCCTAGAACACGACAAATCAGCTTATATTCGCTTAGAAAGAACCGGTGACAACTGGAAGGAGGGTGGTTTGATTCCGAGAGACAGTTTCTCGAGATAAAACACAGATAGAGTGTGTTGGGTGCCAGGAAAAAGACTTTGCTTTTCACCTACACAACAGAGAGTTTTGGGCGATACATAGCATCTGCCAAGGTTACACGAACAAGACGTTCCAACTCTTCAACATTTGGCCGTGGAACGTCCGCACCTCCAAGTTCATCGCTATGGTCCCACCAATTGATGGCAAGGATGTATATAGCAGCAAGGAGAGGGGGTGAAAATTCTCGATACGATCTGTGATATTTTTCAAGAACAACAGTTTTTTGTAGAATAGGAAAGTTAGGATGGATGATGCGAAAGTACAACTCCATCAGGGCTGGTCCATGTGGAGCAACGATACTTTCAATCGCATCTGCATCTTCACCACAATGTTCATGGCCTAGGGTATTGTAGTCCGGTAGCATAAGAAAAGTGTCTACATTGCTGACTTTTCGTAGAGTGCCTCTGGATAGCAAGCTCTCATCCTGAGGGTCGAATTGAGATAGATCTATGAGAGATGGTTCAAAATCGGTTGTCGGCCCAATATATTGGCTATATCGATCATTCTGTAAGCCGAGCGTTCGTTTTAACTGGATCGGCCCTCCAATATTTGCCATGTCCTCGATTAATGAGTTAGTTGCCCCGCTACTTGAAATTGTTTCTGGTTGTCTTCGTCGGTCGTCTCTGTCTGGTGACCTATATGGAATCTCGTAAGCGTGACGAGCACCAAGTAGTCATCTATCTTGTTACGAGACATGGTTTTTTCCATAACACGGAAATTTCCAACATACCTTCTTTTGGCCACCGACTCCTCCTTGCCTTCTGTGTTGAGCTTTCTTTTCCTCGGCTGAGGACTTTGTACAAGAGTGCATTCTTGCGTGTGGAATTGACATAACACACAACTCGTCTGGCCCTCGTTAACTACACATCTGCTTTTCCTCTTTCTACATGCGTCGCAAGGCCTATCCTTCCGACTTCTCATATTTAAACCGGAATCGGTAGATGTTGAGCTACTCATGCTTGTCGCAAGGGTACTTTGGCCAATATCGTTACTGGTAGACATTTCAATTGAAGGTTCAATGTTGCGGGGCGTCCGGGAAGCTATAGCTATAGGAGCCGTCCGAGCAATGGAGGTAGGGGTCGTCATTTCGTATGAGGCTCGATTAGACGCTAAGCAGTGTGCAGGTACCGTAATAATGTGCTGTGCTGATGACCAGCAACCGCTCACCACGGTTGGCTCCGGCTGAGGGGGGGTGGGATGAAGAAAGGCTGACAGGGAGATTCTGCAGCTCGGGGAATTTGGTAATGTGTCTCGAGATCTGGATGTTTTTCCCTGTCTCCGGAGAAATGCGATGACTACGGATTTGTTTTTGAAGCCGCCTTACTGGTTATTTTCCCAAAGAAGAAGTCCGGCAGACTGGGAAGGTACGGGGGGGAGGGGGAGGGGGAGAGAGAGAGGGACTGATAGGACGGCTACGGTCCGTCCTGGATCCAACCCAACACACAGGGAAAATGGCGTGTATCAAGATGCTCCCCACTTCCTGCTCCCAAAAGCCGGAGAGTTGCAGAAGATGGTCCTTATCGATCTTGGGGGGG